GGTTAACTAACTACTGTTTATTCAAATATGAATCTGAAATAGAGAAATACCTGCAGTAAGCCATTGAAACTAGAAGACACGCTCTATTGACCGACAATAACGATACTAACAATACCCAGTAAAATATGAATGCGTTTGAAGATCCTTATCTTATTTTGAAACTTGAAACTGTTTTATTTTATAAAACGCCTATTTCTATACACATATTCAATGGCGTTGTACAAAAGGATAATAAAAGTAAGTACATATAAATAGAAAATCACATATGCATGACAAATGAAGTACAAAAAATTACGTTAAAGAAATCAGCCGTTTAAAATATAAAGTATTAAAAACTTGAAAAAAGAATAGTTATAAAAGCTAATTTAAAAGAAAATAAAAATTAATGGTTATTTTAGTGAAATTTTAACACATTTCCACATCTCGATCAGTTTACAGCCCAATCACAATCTTAAAACAATGCGTAAAAAATCTCTAAAATAGTAGGTTTTGACATTTTTCTTGAACATGTCCAAAGTCGAAGACTGTCTTATATACAGAGGCAATTTATTACAGAGAATTGGACCAACGGTACTAAAACTTCTGTCGTTAAATGTTTTTCTTTTTGTTAAAGGGACAGCAAAACAATAATTCATATCATAAACAGATCTGAGATTTGGTCTTTTTATGACAGGTTTGTGTAACAGTTCTGTTAGATAAACCGGAGCATTGCCCATGAAACAGTTAAACATTGTACATAGTATTTTAAAATTGATTCTAGCTTTAATTGGTAACCAATGCAGTTCAAACAAAGAGTCTTTGGAACTATCATATTTTCCGCGTTGCAAAACAAGTTTAGCGCACATATTCTGGATACGCTGTAATTTCTGTAACTCACTTTCTGAAATGCCAAACAATATAGCGTTGCAATAATCCAAATGTGAGACAATACAAGCGACAATACTAGGATTTTTGTGGCGTCGTGAGTCAGATATTTGCGAATGCTCTTTATTCTCAAATAATTTTAACATGGCAGTTCTACACTTGGTCTTAACATGTGTTGGGAATCTTAGGCCCTCGTCTAAGTAGGCACCTTAGTATCTTATTACACTGACATTTTGAATTTATCACCGGCGGTATCAATTTCTTTAATTAAACATTAACCAAGTTGGGCTTTACTACCAAGCGTAATGAATTCTGTCTTATTGGTGTTCATGAGTTTATTGGCATTCATCCAGTCATTGATGATTACAGCACTGTCTTCAAGTTGCTTTATAGCGTTAAGTTCATTTGTCAATGAAGTTGGTCGAAAGTGTTGACCAGCAATGTGGTCAGCAGCAAAGCCGTACACAGATATGATTGGTGGTATCACATCAAATAGGGTTCCCGCATATGTGAGAAAGAGCCACAGACCAAGATAGCTCCCCTGATGTACATGTGTACACTGCATTTCAGCAATCGTGGAGTCGATTCAGTAGAATTAACACTGACGCGACAACTACGAGGTTGCAAGGACGAGTCCATCCATGCTAACACTGTATCATTGACACCGTACTGACTGTGTAACACGTCGAGTAGAATGTTGTGGTCTACGGTGTCGAAAGCTGCACTTAGATCTATTGCAATTAGAGCTGTCACCTCTTGCTTCTCCATACCGTCTAGAAGATCATTGACAAGTCTTAGTAAAGCAGTCTCACATGAATGGTGACGTCTGTATGCTGATTGGTTTTTGGGTAACAAATAATGGGTATCGACATTGTTATTTAGTCTGAAGAACGCAGTCTTTTCTATCAATTTTGAAAGAAACGATAAGTTACTGACAGGCCTGTAGTTTGACAATTGTAATTCTAAACCAGACTTCTTAAGAAGGGGTCTAACGACCGCAAGTTTCCAGTCGAAAACATATTGGATTTCTGATTCAAACAAGTTTACAAAAGTATTGACATCTTCACTATCAACTGAAATCTTCGTCAAATCATCGGAGAATTCAGAATGGGATATGCTTTTCCAGTTTCTAAGTTGTACAATTTGACTTGTAATGTTTTCTCTCTTCACATTAATGACTACGTGGACAGCACAATGTCTGAGAGAATAGGTCTTTGTTCACATTTAAGTACACATACATCATTAATCGATTCAGTAGTTACCAAGTCTAAACAGTTTCCAGCAGTGTGTGTATTAAAGTTGACATATTGCTCTAAACCCATAGCATGAAGGCATGAAAGTTTACGTGTTTCTCCTAAATAAAAGCAGTTACTTAACAATTTTTTGACAGATGACCATCTATTCAAAAGTGTACTATTTAATGTTAACAAATTTTACTAAATCTATTTAAAAATAAGGTCGATTTTTATTTTTGGCTTAAATCAGAGTTAGCCCATTGATAGCTTAAAAGGCACTATGATGTCACCTCTAAATAAATTATTGTTAATTTTTGTTCTTCTTGTAAAGTTTGTATGCACCACTATACAGGCATTTGTATGTCTATAAATATGGTTAATATTTTATGCAAATAAAATGACCTGTTCTATTTTGATAAATCTAAAGAGATATCTTTTGTTTTTTCTCACCACACCATGCAATACGACTATCTCGCTGTGATTTAAGGATAAATAATCTTAATTATCTCTATGAACAAAAGGATCTTACCCCCTGCTGTGTAATGTATGTTCTTTCACAAGATGTTTGTGTCAACAAACTTTAGGGGACACTATGACTTGTCATTCATTTATTTTGTGATCCAACTTTTTTTCCAAAAGATAATTCCTTTATTCAATGGCAATTAGAAAATTAGGACTGCGTTAACCACAATTGCCCAACTTGATTGCATATATATTATGTTACTGTCATTGAAATTTTAGAAAGTTTTCCATGCAATAATGTCATAATATTTCATATCTTTTCTATGTTTATACATTAATGTAATCTACATTCTGTTTTCTTCATGAGAGTGAATTTTAAAGTTTTGTCTGAAACTATGTACATATATTCGCTACTTACTTGTACATGTTTGTGATAAATGTGTTGACACGTGTTTCGTTATGTAATTTTGAGTTGATTCAACTCTATAATCATTGTTTAGTTTGACACAATTTAAGGCCTTAGTTTAATATCATTTTTATTGCAATTTTATGGCACATGTAAAATAAGAATAACACAACAACAATGTACACATAGGTATGTAGTGCAAATCAGTTTGGCTACAAGTTATTAAAAGATAAGCAACAGCCCTTCCCAAATTTAAATGAGATGAAAAACGGGTAAACACTAACATGTAGGACTAAATCAGTCTATTTTTTGATCAAGTTCATCCATAGTATGTATGTTACTGCAAATCATATTACAAAAAAAACACTGAACAAATCGTTATCATGAACAATCACAGGGATATATCATTTTATGTCCTTCTCTTCCGGTTTGAGGTCCCACCTGCATAACAGGACTATTAGAAACCCGGGACTAAAAATGTAACTTCTGTCCAAGATCTGTGATTCCGGACTTTGTAAGGTTTATATGCTTAGGCACTTACCGTACATTAACTTACGCTTGTCCGACATGAATAAAACTGGCACGTGAATATGTTGACCACTGACCTTTATTGCGTGAAGTACTGTTTAGATTATAACTTTGTATGTAACCGCGATTAAATTATTTAAAAATGTGTCTTTAATATTTTCCATTGTTTTTATTATAAATCTTCGAAAAAATTGTTATTTAATATAATTAACATTATCCCGTTTACAATTCGTCTCCATTTTTTTCAAAAAGGAATAATTTCATGATGAAAATCATCAATAATTTTGATAATACTGCATGTATGTATACGTGTTTTAAATGACCATGTCTGTCTGACAACACCAGGCCTGTGCAGGTGCCAAAGAAAGATCTCAATACGAATTTTCTTTTCTTTATGTAAAAGGTATAACCAAAACAGATAGTCCTCTTACGAACACTAGAAGAGGTGTGTAATTTGTGTTAACCGAGTCTGCAATGTTCATGTAATTTTGTTGAGATTAATGCTTCAGAAGGATCAATTGTTTTCCAGATATTTATACACCACAACAGCAGGTGTCAAGTGCAGTGCAAGTTGCCCCGTGCTATATTTTAGTGTTGTTATATAATTTCGATCCTTCGAGATTCCAGCACATTTAAGTTTTGAAAATTGAGAACAACTCAAGCCGGTGCTGGGGGGGGGGCGTTAGGGAAGTTGTACTTTTTCATTACCCCCCCCCATGTGCAGACTCAATCAATTCCAGTCTGCAATGTTATTTGTTTTTATTAACGCTTCTGACGGATCACTTGTTTTCCATATATTGTGTTAGGGGCGTGCAAAAAGTATGGGAGGTAAATTGAATATGTGCCCGTGACTTGAATTGAGTTTGAAATATTATCAAAGTTTGCGACTTATTTTATAGGCCAAGTGATTGCAGTCTCTTTATTTACGAAGGATCCTCCAAGGTCATATGCCAATTTTCCAGCTTAATTTATTGATGGTGTAATACCTCAGGTGTCCATCCGTCAGTCGCGCGAGGGGATACCTGACTAGCAACACAAATAAGCAAGCTGAATACGTTCATCACATGAAATCCAGAATCAAGATTTCTACTCGGGTTCCACCTCATGCTTATATGGGATAAAAGCTTTCTCAAGCTCCAAGAATTCTGTCGGCTAAACTGTACAAATGAATGATCCGTTGTCCCATGCTTGATCGATTTTTTACACAATATGAAACAGCATACTGCAATATTTATAAACCTGTCTGAGAGAAATTTGTCTGCACTACAATGTAGCCAAAGAAAATTTTTTTTCACGTGATTACCTCATTTAAAATAGTCCCAAACCTATTTTTGTCAGTTTTCGCTTTTAGTCGAATTATACCTTTGAATCATTTTAGTAGCGAAAAGAAATATTGTATACATTCTAGACATGAAATAATTACCAGTGTAATTATGTAACACTAGGTTAGCTTGTTTTGATCTTTTAAAGTTTTAAAAAGTCTTTAATCGCACAAATCTTTACAGGTACCACCAGGCACATTTGAAGAAAAGCTGTTTTGTTTCAGAAACCATGAACTATTCATTGATAGCTGGGTTAGTGGTAGCAGCATACCATCTTTATATAGCCTGGAGGCGTCCCGAATATGAAGACGGATATAATAACAGCAGAGGAGGACAAGGAGGAGGCCAAGGAGGAGGAGGCCAAGGAGGAGGCCAAGGACATAATAATCAGGGACAAGTACCTGGCCGAAGTATAACTTACAGAAGAAATGGTATGCTTTGTTTGCCTTCTATTTACAAAGGGAATTTCGATCAGAACACCGAAGTTGCTGTGAAGATAGTAAGAATTCGTCAATCTGACCGTGCATGGATCGATACATACCTTGCAAGTCTCAAAGAACGATTAATACGTGTTGTTGACAATAACCATGACGCCATTAAAGAAGGCTCCATTGCAAATATTGTCTGGTTTTATTGTTACGAGTTTGAGATTGGCGAAAATACGTTACACTTACTTTTGGCATTAGAACTGTGCGACTGCAATCTAGAAGAATATATACAATCCCGGCACAATCACCCACCAATATCAAACAACGAGATAATCTCTCAGATATTATTTGGGCTCCAGTACCTGCATTCACGACAAATTGTCCATGGCAACCTCAAACCGTCAAATATTCTTTTACAAAAGGGGGCCGGTGGCGGGCAAGTCTTTAAGTTATCTGACTTTGGCTTATACAAAATGAATACTAGAAAACAAGAGGTAACTTTGGGTTGGATACCACCGGAGATGTATGCCTTATTGATATCTCAAGACTTTTACCCGAAAGAAAGTTTTGATATTTTCCCACTTGGTCTTATCTTTCATTTCATTGTTACGAATGGTCATTACGTATTCAAGACTCAGGAAGATATACAAAGTGGAAATGCCGATTTTACACATGTTGTTAGTAATAGACCACTTTTTAACTTACTAAGACTCATGTTAGCACAAAGACAAGATGACAGACCATTGACCCAGGCTATAATGAAGCACCCTGCACTATGGAGCTGTGAAAAAATGCTGGACTTTTTTTGTAATGCAAGTAACTTGTTGACGGATCGATCAAAATCCCGGAATTGTACAATAGAAGACAATTCTGCCAATGTTTTATGCGGAGGAAACTGGCGTGTGCATTTAACATCTTCAATTGAAAATTATTTATTTTCCACAGCAGCTATTCACAACCGCAACAGTAGTAATCAGAACCAACCAGATTGTGACGAAACATCTGTGAAGTCTTTATTGCGGGCTATACGAAACAATGACATTAAAGGTCATTATAATCAGTTGCAGCCGGGTGTAAGAACAGAGTTTGGAAACTATCCGGATGGTTATTTACGATACTGGACCAACAAGTTCCCCGACCTGTTGATGCATGTTTATGATGAGATGAAAGTTTATGGGTCAGAGCCAAGTATGAAAACATTTTACGCATAACAATATCTTTAAGTAGCTAAACGGTTGTATTTTAGTGTACTGTACTGTACTTTTAAACCCATGTTGCAACAGCGCTCGTGTTATTGATACAGAGAAAAAACTTGTGCTGAGATTGTTTTAAGTAAAACAAAGCATGAAAAACAAAACATGCAAAGTGTTTTGTAAATGTATATATTTAATTTGTAGACAAAAAACTTGTACAAAGTGTCTTATATAATGAACGAGGTAAATCTATTTTAAAGACACGGAGTGCGCAAAAATAGGCTCAATGTGGAAAGAAAAAATAACAAAAGCTACAAAAACTGTACAATGTCCTTTTTAAAGATGACAAAACTTGTGCAGTGTTTTGTGATTTTAATTTTTATCTAGGAAGAAAACTTGAACAGTGAAAAAATAAAGACCATAAATCTTGTGAAACATGTAAAGTGGGACATTTTGTAGTCACATATATGTAACACTTACTTTTTGTTTGATTTCTTACGTGTACTTTTTATACTTAATGCCTGATATTTTAATAAGTTTATTGTAAATGTGATGAAACACTGTATAAGCATTAAATTTAACACGTGCTTGCGTGTGCAAGCACCGCGCGCGCACACACAAACAAACGGAAATCAATTCTTATATATTGATTGGCAGTTGGAGAAAAACAAATATTTATAATGGATGGATTTTTGAATTTAATTCAGGAGTAGCTATATCCATCGATTTACTGCCTGCCATCCCCCACACGAAAAGCAGTTTTATTTCCTTTTTTTATTTTTTTGTCTTTTTCTTAATATTTTCATATCGATATACACACAAACACGCACGCACGCACACACACACGCACACACACACACATAAATTCATTGAGGATCATTGTTTGTTTGTGTGTAAGAGAAATTTAATTTCATCGAGTGAGCTTCAAAAACAGTACAGTGAGAATACTGGTTTTAAAATAAAATTGCATCTTACACATCAAACAAACACATTTTTTTATTTCATGCTTAAAAACAAGTTTAAATGAAATTCCCCCAATATTAACTTTAATATTAAAATCTGTTTTCCCCACTAGTAGCCTCTTTGTAGTCGATTATGATTATCTCATAAATACGAGAAGTCATGAGCTGAAAAATAAGTTCTACAATCAACGTTAAATTGCGATGATTTTATTTGTAATGTTCAAAAAACATGAATGATCTCTTGTTTTAATAAAAAAATTCAAGCAGTAGAAAAAGTCACACAATCCATCCTTATTTCCGTTACTTACGGCAAATTTATATTAGACCAGGAGCCAAGAGTAGTATAAGCGACCGCCATTTTTTAAAGATCCTGTATGTTTTGTGATTGATATTGTTACTGCGTGTATACCACACTTGCAAAAAATATATATGTATATAATTATGCAAATTAAACAATTTTCAAACATCGAAGAATATGTAAAATGTGTACTGTAAATATTTGTGCACATTATATTTAATGAATAAATTATATGCATTCATTTCTTATTGGAAAATTTGACTTAGAATATATAGAAAATAAATTTCTAATTACCCCCCTTTATTTACATGAAATATTAAATTCGGTAATATCTTTATAAATAATGCTTATTGGAACTTACAATATTGACAAATCTTAATTTGAGCATCATATTTATGAAATAAAACCATGAAAAAAATGTGTTACAGGATCTTTAAAAATTGTGTATAAATAATTGTGTTAGATTCAGGGGAATATCATTAAAAATTTTGTCATGTATTAGTAGAAAAAAAAACTTGAATTTTCTGTTTAGTATATTCTTTTCTCTTTTTTAATCTTATGATTTGGAAAAAAAATCCCTTTAATTTTGTGTTTTGACTGAATTTAGAAAAAAGTAGTCCGGCATGACATCAGTGAAAATTTGGAAAACATCTTTCACTGTAGTCAAAAATAAATGTTTAGTGTGTGTAAAACATACAAAATCACATAATATTACAGTGTGAAAATACGTAAAATGAAAATACGCATTTCATTTCATCAATATAAATTTTCTCAATGTTTCATTAATAAGTCTATAATAAATTACATTATTTACTACTTAACTAACATTAAAACTGTTTACAGTGAAAATAACCTTTCTTTTGTTATTGACGCGTCTTTACTCTATGTTTGTTTATAGGGTTAACGCACGTTTTTCCGTGTTATAACGTCTGCAGAGTCCCGAGGAACGGTTGGTGCCCGAGCCCGGTAGGGCGAGGGCTCCAACAGTTCCGAGGGACTCTGCAGACTTTATAACACGAAAAAACGTGCGTTGACGCTATTATAGCATAAAATTTTAAAACAGATTCATGATGTTTATTATATATAAAACACAAACATTAAATCCTTGTGCTTGAACGGTATTTATCCAACTCTACATGTTTTACGTATGCGTTTTATTTATTCCGGGGCAAACAACTTGAGAACCGAACGAAATTTCGAATTTTAATTGATTTAACAAAGTTTAACTTTGGAGATATATTAACTTAAGAAAAACATAACATTACTCTACCCAAGACAAAACAGACGCCTCAGAAATTCCTAGAATGATTACAGATTGGTGGTAGGAAAAAGATCAGTGACATCAGATTCAAATTCAGAATCGTTTTTTTTAAGCACGCAAGTTTAAAAAAAAAATCAGGCATAAAACATTATTCTCTCAAAGAAACATACAGAACATTTATCAATATAAACGTCAATAAAACAACGTTTTCTTATATTCATTTTGTGCTTTCCATTTTTGTAAGTTAATCGGGGGATTAAACTGAATGACAGATTCTATTTGTTTACATTGACAACTGTCCGTTTCTAAGAAAGGGCGACAACCAAGATAAGCGGCGATGTCTATACGCCGTATTGCCGGCATAATTACTTGAATGCTGCTCGCCGTTATGCGACTGAGGCCCTCGAATTAATAATTCCAAAATAACAAGAGCGCATGACTCTGGCAAACAGGCCAAATCGTCATTTTTTTGTTTGTTTACTGGGCCCTGTATGTATTGCGCATTTATAAGTGAAACCGGGCTATATTACAAGAGCGCGTGACTATGTTAACGCATGGTTTTGGTCCCATTATAACATGGGCAAAAGAGGGGAAAATAGCCGATTTTATGCTATAATAACGCAAATAACATCACGTCAAAATATATGCCCGGTTTTGCGATACCGTGAAAATACATTAGTCCAAAAGTGCCTGCATGCCATGACTCATATGATTTGAGTCAATTAATAATAGTTTAGTTAAACACTTAGAATAAAAATGCTTGTTGCAAAAATGTGTATAATACCAAACATAGGTTCCTACATCAAACCTAATTGTGTGCTTATAGCTTATGTATAAAGAAGAAGAAAAAAAAACAGAACTATTTTTGTTAAAACACGCGATTTTTTAAAATTTTTGCAAATTTGATATCGTCTACTTATTGTTATACTAGGTATGTTAGTTTCTGTTTTGTTTAAATTCGTTATATTTTTTATGTTACTTTGTACTTTGAAATTTCACAGTTAATTGTTAAATTTATCATACCTCTGTTATTTTACAAATATTTAGTACTTTAAAAGATTGAAGATTAACATTAAGATTTGCAGAAAAATTAATTCTTGTTAAACTAAATGTAAAACATATATGTTTCAATGTTGTAAAATAATTGTTTTTACAATTAGTAAGTACTATTATTGTTTAAGCACAACATGATCTCAAGTTAAACATTCCTGCACTTTTCATGTGCCTTGCAAATACTTTATATATTATAAATGCCATTCCTCACTTAAATAAACCATTTGTAAGAATAATAATCAAGACATATTTCTTCATCTTGTTTTATTGGATGATATATATCAATATTGTTATCAAATTTGGTTTATTACATTTTTAAAATATCTAAATGAAATGCTTTATTAAAATTATTAAATCCTTAATAGATAGTCTCAAATACATATACATTACTTGTATGATTTCTTTATGAATGATGTTTTATGTTTTGTATTGTAATTGACACACATTGACTGAAAATGAATAAACCTACCAGAGATCATGTTTACTGAGATGTTGTCTACTTATTATTGGAGGCACAATTATCATGAAAACAAATATTACACAACTTGGAAGTGACATAAAAAAATAATCTGATATCTTAACAGTGTAAAACATAAACTCAAACTGATGTCCAAGTGTGGAGCAGACATGAAGTGGTTACAGTGTAGTGGTAACAGTGTCTTTTGCTGTAATATTGGGCTGTTGATTTGAACCCTAATCTGGACAACATCATGTTTAATCGTATGAAGCCAGAACTGATTTAAATCCAGCAGTCTTCAAAGTGATAAAGATACAGAAACAATCAAGTATTCACATGATTTATACATAAAACACAATGATTTATACATAAAAACATAAAAAGTCTTCACAGTATTTTTTCAATAGTATATATCATCATTCTGGGTAAATTATATAAACCCTAAAAACCATTAGGTTTTCCCAGCTTTTAATTTGAACAGTCCATTCAAAATTTAAGGGACTTCAACATCAAAATACAAAAATTGAAAAAAAAACAACAGCATAGAGCCTGATAAGACTGCACAGATTTTCAGGGTAGCCATGCTCTATACTGGTGGCAAAGGTTAATTACTTTTGGTTCCAGCAGGTAAAAGCAATATCAAATATATAGAGGATATTTGTTTAGTTCAGTGTAAGATCGGAATATATTTCACCGTGTGAGCACCAAAAGGTATATTTCATGGTGGCACAGCCACGAGTGTAATATGAACTTTTGGTGTTCACAAGGTGAAATACATTTCGATCTTACACTAAACTAAACAATTTTCTTTTTATTATATGCAAAGAAACGTTTTAAAAAGACATTTAACCTAATACTGAATGAAAAGCGCGCCAAATAATAATACAATGTGACATCATGTCATTAAGTTGGTTCCCAGTACTGTGCACGCTGGTATTTCACCGAAACAACGTAAGGGGCTAAAATTCAAAACAGTGAAAAGTTTTATATCACTGATATATTTCTATAAACCATCGAAAAGCATGTAATAAAAATGCCAAATTATTATTTAGCATGTAGCATGCATCAATATCCTACTGATAACATAATAATATAATAGCCTCTACAGTATATATGTATATGTAGTTCACCTCCCAAGTTTTACGCAGCTAAAAATTTATTTACATTTTTAAAATGCATAAAAATCGATGTTCATTCTCTAATAGACGTTGACCACAACACTTTTTTTTCAGAATTTAAATAACATACAACACTCATTTTTAGAATTTAAATAATACATAACACTCATTTTCAGAATTAAAAAAATCCCCAACAACATTAAACACTCATTTTCAGAACATATATGGTGCCTTAATAGTGTATAAAACATTGAGGTAATTTTAGAGCACTAATTTAGTCTGTGTAATTGCCCAGGTATTACATATAGTCTTGTGAGAACTTTGTACATTTGTCATTACAACTTCCTCTGACTGATCACACAACTCCAGTCTGAAAATCTCCATTCCATTTCCACTTATCAGCAAGCAATAATGTGTCCTGAAATGTAGAATATTATTACTTGTATCCACAACTATTACAGATCAAGCCCTGGAATCACTTTGCATAATTCACATACTTTAATTTAGATAAAAATCAATGTTTAACATTGGCATCCTTTCTGTTCCCAATAATATCAACTTTTCCTACTTTATCAAAATGATTTATGGATAACCAAACTTAGGCGCAATATTGAAATTATTCCTAATCAGCTTTGCCTTTTTTTCAACAGTTTTCAAATATATTAAACATACATATTGTCACATGAGAGTGTGGTTTTCACTGTGACTTCATTATTTTTGAAATTTCCAATATGACTTATCGACGCCTCACAAGCATGCTCATTTGGGTCCAAATCCTTTAAAAATTTAAAGAATTGGGTATTTCTACATTTATACATATAATAGTTTCAGTATGATGTATTCATAAGCCCAGATATTCCTGACTTTTACATAAAAGTTAACAATTTCAGATTATTTAAGGCACTACAAATAATTCAAAGATACAAACTTTTCTTTCCACACATCCATGTTGGCTACATCTGACACACTTGTCCACACGCATCCAATCATCTTTAGCTATATGTGATAAATATAAACAAAATGTTAATGACAAACCTTCAGATAAACCTTTTTCAAATTACTAGTGAGAGGTTGATTTAAACATATATTTTTGTCTCAATTAACAATTAAGTCATTTGATTAATGTGGAAACTGTAATATTAAATTATTGAACAGCATGTACATGTTTCAAAAGAAGGCTGCCCACATTATTATAGACAAAGACGTTGATACACTTTCATTAATACTGATTCATGAATTGAAATGGCTAAAAATCCATGACCGCGTACACTATAAAAATGCAATTCTGGTTTACAAAGGGGTGTATTGTGTTGGTGCTATGTAAAACCCAACAGCAGTCCTCAACAATTTTTGCCATGTATTATATCTAATTTATACTCATACTATCCATTCTTCTCTTAGATCTAATACCAAACAGACACTTAAGTGGAATTTTGCAGAAAAGTCCTTGGGTACTTCGGAGCTAAAATTTGGATCAAATTACTATTACACCTCTGGCAATCCAACAGTCTTACAATAATAACCAGAGGGCCATGATGGCCCTGAAGTCGCTCACCTGTATATAGGCCCCTAGAGCAGGGCCAGTTTAAACCCCAGGGCTTTTATTTGAACAAACTTGGTAGACACCCATTAGAAGATATTTCATGCTAAACATCTAAGGTCTAGCTCGTTGAGTTTTTAAAAAAAAGATTTTTTAAGTTTTAACTATACACATATAGTTAAAAGCAATGACACCCCTAGGGCGGGGCCAGTTTTGACCCCAGGGCTTTTATTTGAACAAACTTTGAAGACACTCACTAGAAGATGTTTCATGCTTAATATCTAAACTCTAGCTGTTCGGGTTTTTTTAAAGAAGATTTTTAAGTTTTTGCTATACACATATAAGGAAAATCAATGTCCCCCGGGGCATGGCCAATTTTGACCCCAGGGCTTTTATTTGAACAAACTTGGTAGACACCCATTAGAAGATGTTTCATGCTAAATATCTTAGCTCTAGCTCTTTGGGTTCTTTAAAAGAAGATTTTTTAAGTTTTTACTATATGCATATAGGGAAAATCAATGACCCCTGGGGGCGGGGCCAATTTTAATTCTAGGAACAAAATTTGAACAACTTTGGTTTTGGACCTATAGATGATACCATAGACCAAATATCAAAGCTCTAGGCCATTTACTTTCAGACCAGAAGATTTTTCAAGTTTTCACTATATGTATATAATGAAAATCATTGACCCCCGAGGGTGGGGCCAATTTTGACCCGAGGGCCATTATTTGAACAATCTTGGTAGAGGTCTACCACACAATGTTTCATGCCAAATATCTTACCTGTAGCCTTTGCCAATTCAGAGAAGAAGATTTTTTTATGTTTTACTATATACATATTAGAAAAACCTATGACCCCCAGGGGTGGGGCCAATTTTGACACTAGGGACAAAATTTGTACAACTTTGGTATTGGACCTTCAGATGATACCATAGACCAAATATCAAAGCTCTAGGGCATTTACTTTCAGACCAGAAGATTTTTCAAGTTTTCACTATATGTATGTAATGAAAATCGATGACCCCCCGGGACGGGGCCAATTTTGACCCTAGGGCCATTATTTGAACAATCTTGATAGAGGTCTACTACACAATGTTTCATGCCAAATATCTAATCTGTAGCCTTTGCCAAATCAGAGAAGAAGATTTTTTTAGATTTTACTATATACATATAAGGGAAAACCTATGACCCCCCGGGGCGGGGCCAATTTTGACACTAGGGACAAAATTTGAACAACTTTGGTAGATGATACCATATACCAAAAATCAAAGCTCTGGCCCATGTACTTTCAGACAAGAAGACTTTTTAATTTTGAGTTTTTTGAAATCCTTTTCTGGTCCTATGACCTACATATGCAACAGACCGGAACCATTTGAACAACTTTGAAAGGGGACCACCCAAGGATCATTTCTGTAAAGTTTGGTTGATGTGCAGTCATTGGTTTCAGAGGAGATGTTGTTAATGTTCAAAAGTTGACGACGCACGACGACGGACGACGGACACAGGGCCATCACAATAGCTCACCCTGAGCATTGCTCAGGGTGAGCTAAAAACTAACCAGAAACTGATGATGGTAAGGAACAGCTACTTGAAAATAAGGAAGAGTAGAAAATATTGTTTGTTTTTCTGGATTTTAATTATCTAAACATATTATCTAGGCACTGAATCCACCTAAACAGCTTTCCTGGATATCTTACCAGTAATTAATGATTCTTCAGCAAGAGAATATCTGCTTATCTTGCATGATTTCTAAATAAGTGGTGAGAGACAACTGACCATTACACTCGATGTCCTACATCAAAAGATTTGCCTCACCAGAAGAGTTAACCAGTGACCCCTGGAATAATGATCCAATGATCACAAGATTGAGCTTAGCTGGCAGAGTAGAAAATATGCTTTAGTCTTAAATATGGACACCAATGCAGATGCCAGAGAAGGTTGGGCATCTCACAATATATTTGTATGGTCAAATTAAAAACATTGCACATTTAACACTACTGCCTATAGTTCTTAATTATAAAACAGGCAACTCTTACTCTTTTTACTACATGTACATTAGCAGTTATTAGTCATTAAAATAAAAAATCACCCAATATTAAGAATTAGCTTCCTGTCATAATAGAATAAAGTGGTGGTGGTGGGGGGGGGTTTCAAATAATAACTGATTACTATCATTTTTTGTGGTGGTGGGGGTTTGTTCATACAGTCGAACTTCGTTCGCTCAAACTCGGAGGGCCTGTGCAAATTTGTTCGAGCGATCGGTTGTTCGAGCGAACCAAGGTTGAACAATAATTACATAGAACATAGGCCTAAGGTTTTCCAGCTTATATCGGTCAAATGATAAATACGTCAATAAAACTGTTTTTTAGAACATCTGTTTGTCGAATACGTCATATTAAGAACTAGAACTATCGCTGAATGCGATTCATACCCCCACCAATGTCCTTGACAGAAGACCACTTGGAAAGGTGGTTAAGGGAATAACTTATGTGGCACAAATACATAAAAAGAAATTATCTCTGGTGAAAAAAAGACTAATTGTACAGGTAATAGTATAAATATATATTATCAAATCATGTTCGAAACAGTTACAAATAACCTTTCATTTTCCCAATGTATTAAACATTTTATTTATAAGTCAATTTTTGACCTTCAAGTGTGGCCTTGACCTTAATCTGGCACAAGGGTAAGATGACTTTTGCACATCACCCAGTTTGGTTGAACATTTGAGTAAAGTTTGAAGAAAATCCTTCCATTAGTATAGAATTTATAGAGTAGACACAATATATTGTCTAGTATTGGTTGTATGTAAATTTGAAGACTTAAAAAGGGGCATAACTTTGTCAAAATGCAATACAGAGTAATGAAACTTGACCTGCATATCTTATTTGCCACACCTCATATATCTTTTAAGTTTCAAGCAAATGCCTGCGCTAGTTTCAGAATTATTCAAGTACATGTTAAAATTTAAGAACATTTTCTAAGTCAATTTTTGACTTTCAAGTGTGACCTTGACCTTTAGCCGGCACAAAGGTGACATGGATTCTGCACATAACCTTGTTGAGGTGAAAATTTGAGTAAAGTTTGAAGAAAATTCTTCCATTAGTATAGGATTTATAGAGCGGACACAACATATTGTCTAATATTTGATTGTATGTAAATTTGAAGGCTTAAAAAGGGGCATAACTTTGGTAAAATGCAATACAGAGTTATGAAACTTGAACGAACAGCATATCGGAATTGTGACCCTTCAAAAATATTTTAAGTTTCAAGCAAATACCTTTTCTAGATTTAGAAATATTCAAATAAATGTTAAAATTTAAGAATATTTTCTAAGTCAATTTTTGACCTTAAAGTGTGACCTTGACCTTAAGCCAGCAAAAGAGTGACATAATTTCTGCACATCCCCTGGTTGAGATAAACATTTCAGCCAAGATTGAAGAAAATCTTTCAATTAGTGTAGGACTTACAGAGCAGACATGACATACTGTGTAATATTAGATTGTTTGATATTTGACCTTCAATTGTGACCTTGACCTTGAGGTGACACATGGGCATTAGGATTCTACACATCCCCTTGTTGAGGTGAATATTTGAGCCAAGTTTGAAAAAAATCTTTCAATTAGTGTAGGACTTACAGAGCGGATACAACATACTGTGTAATATTTGATTGTTTGATATTTGACCTTCAATTGTGACCTTGACCTTGAGCTGGCACATGGGCAACATGGGTTCTGCACATCCCCTTGTTGAGGTGAACATTTGAGCCAAGTTTGAAGAAAATCTATCAAGTAGTGTAGGACTTACAGAGCGGACACGACATACTGTGTAATATTTGATAGTGTTTGATATTTGACCTTCAATTGTGACCTTGACCTTGAGCTGACACATGGGCAATATGGGTTCTGCACATCCCCTTGTTGAGGTGAACATTTGAGCCAAGTTTGAAGAAAATCCTTCAATTGGTATAGGAGTTATAGAGCGGACACGAAAATGGAGACGGACGGACCGACCGACCGACTGACGGACCGACCGACGCGACAAAGCGAATCCATTATAGCCCCCCCCACATTTTGTGGTTCATCTAATATTGTAATTGGTTGAGTTCGATCGGGCGATCATTATCTAAACTGTGAACAGTGTTCAAGTTTATCATGGGATGAATTTTATTTTAAACAATGAATCGATAAAATATTGAAAAACAACATTTTACAGCAGCATCTATTTGTAGTCATTTACTAAAATAAACACACATACACATATCATTCTATAAATAGATTACACTGTTACAATTCACGTTACATGAACAACGGTTGTAATTAAAGCCGTCCGGGTAAACGTCATTTACTTATTTACTTACTGGGCATTTCAGGAGTTACTTTCTTTTTATCGTTACTTAAGACTGCAAATAAACAATTGTATCATAACAAACAAATCGGTTAAACACCTTTTATTTTGTATCAATTAACCATAACTGCCTTTGTCACGATCACGAGGTGTTAAAAACATGTGTCGCCGACTGTCAATTATTTAGAACATGTCGACCCGCAACTTTTGTTGTCTGTTTGAGTTCGACCGAAAAGGTGTGATTTACACTATATTTCTGCCGAAGGGACCGGAGATCAGGTTCGAGAGTTCAAGCGATGGGTGTTCGAGCGATCCGAGGTAGAACAGTATATATTATATAGGAATTTTGCCAGGACTGGGCGATGAGTTCGAGCGAAGGGAGGTATTCGAGCGATCCGAGTTCGAGCGAACTAAGTTTAACTGTATATCAACTGATTACCATCATTTTAACTATATTAAACTTCATTTATAACGATATCACTAATAATAGTATGTATGTACCGCTTAAAGCAAAGGTGTTATTGCGGACCAAACTCTTTTTTTTCAAATTGCTTGCACCTCAGACTACATGTTGCCTCTATGATGTAACAATATCCAGATATATTGATATAAATTCAGTGGTCCCCTGAATATCTTTATTAACAGAGTTTACTGTACCTGTATAACAGAGTTCTGTAACATCAACTTCCACACACAAATCCTCTGATCAATTGATGCTGTAACAATGTAGTCTTTCATTACATACCATGCCCCTTTAAAACAAGATTTAAATTTAAGTCTTTATTTTCCATTACAGCATAAGCTTTGCAAAAGCACAAATTAAGCAAAATAAAAACACATATTTTTAAAAATCTTTCAATCTAATTTTGGCAAGTATCACATTTCGTTGCAAACAAGTGTGTCAGATGGTCATGAGATATTTAGGAGAAATTTCTTTAACAAATTAAAAGTGAAAAGATCCAATATGTGTCTTCTCAATACTAGCAACATCCCTATCGTATATGAAGGGTAAAATTATACACAAGTTATTGAATTGAAATGATGTGATTTAAACATAACAGTAAGATCTGTAAAACTATAAAATGTATATCCCCCACCTTAAGAGGACAGTTTATATCAAGAGCTGTCAGGAGGACAGCATGCTTGTTTATTCTCAGTGCTTGATAGTAAGAACAAGAACATAGATAATGTTTAAAGTAACATAATCCATGTTAAGAGATATGAGCCTTGGATAGCGACCTCCTGTTATGCTCTCAAATAAGTGTGTGAAGTTTCAACCCATTCCCATCAGTAGTTTTCAAGATATCAACTTGCACACAAAAACGTAACCAAGTGTGACAGCAATGACAACATAGGCACCTAGGTGAGTACAATAGCTCTCCCTATACCTCAAATAGTCAAGTTAAAAATAGATGTAAGCTTTGTCATTCAGGGTAGCTTATAGGCACAAAACTTTTATCTTAACTATGATAAAAGTTTCTTCACTCCTCCAGTACAACCTCTGCATAGCAACCGCTTAGCAACAACAGTATCAGTTTTTTGTCCAAAATAATTTTCACAATATTCTTTATCATTTAATGTCAGCAGAAACACCTTTTAGCAACAGCCCAAATCTTTGTCTTCACAAGGTAGTTGCTATGCAGAGGTTGTATAAGTTATATATATCCAATTTTACATACCTGTTATCTGAGCAGAATGTGCATTTGTATTTTGACCTTTAGCAATGACCTTGACCTGGGTGACAACATCAGTAACTATGGTAACAATATTAACATGTACTGCATTATCATCACCTCCTGTTACTAAAACATATTCTTCATCTGAAACAGAAAGAAAATGGAGGTTAATAGTAGTTAAGGTATTTAATATATACATGTACATGTATACTTTAAAACATTTATTTTTATTCTAAACTGAAACTAAAACATCTCATCCCTGTCAGTACTGGGATAGTTCTTACAAGTGCTAATTTGCATATGAAGTGCCACCTATAAACATGACAGATGGACATAAATGATTGATAATCATCATAATAATTATCAGTTGATTATCAATCAATCTATCCTATAAAGTCTACTGATACAGATTTAAACATAATATAGAAATACAAAATAAAATGTTAAACCTGAATATTTTCCAAAGTATAAACTATTGATGCCAGATTGGTGAAGTTCTAAATCACAAAAGGGATCCATGTCCAACAACTTTTGTTCCACCTTGCTGCCTTTCTTTCCAGTATTTTCTAAACTTTCAGAAAAATAAGTTGATGTAAACTCTTTGCAGATCTCTGTCACATCCCAGAATGCAACTTTTCCATCTGTTGCAGCAGACAGGATGACAACTCTCACAGGCCATTGGTCACTTTCTGTCACATGATCTTGGTCACATGGCTGTGTCATGTGAGCATTTGGTAGAATCACATGACTTGTTTTAAGAACACAATGATCATGATAGGGAGATGATGCTACCAGCGTTAACACTCTTGACATTTCATCAAATGCAAGCAACCTGAAAAATTAATATATTACTAAACACTTTTGTTTAAAATACAAAGAAAACCTTATATACAAGTTATGTAACTGTAAAATAAAAAATCTTTAATATAATGAACTACAATATTATTATTGATATTTTGCAATGTACCTTAGCTTATACTAACAATGTTATTATTCTGGTAGATTGAGAGGATAAATAGAGGATTAATGCACCTTTTTTCCTGGTGCATTTACATCTGTAGAAGCATGCATGAGGATTCATGTAAAGCCTGTAAATGTCCAGGATAACTCATCAGTAATTGCCAATTTCTCTGCAAGTGACTGACTACTAATCTCACATGATTTTTTAATCAGATGTAAATGACCAGAATACTAAATGTCTAAGATCAATAGCCACTAAGAAATTTCGCCTCACCCTACGATCTAAATCAGGTACCCCTGGATACTGACAAAAACAATAATAGTAATTATAATTATCATAATAAATAAAGCATTTGTGAGAAAATAGAATCATAAACTCACCTTAAATATCCATCCGAGCAAGCAGCTGATATAAAATACAGTGACCTTGACTCTTTTTGACCTAATTCATTTGGGGTCACCACTGAAAGGTCAAGTATCCTAGTCTCTGGGTCAGAATTATTAAATGGCTGCCTCCAAAGTTTCTTGCACTTTCGTTTCAATTCACTTAACTGTAGCCCAGCTAGACATATATAATCTATTTCATATTCAACTTTTCCTTTGACATTTTTATCACAGATATCTAATAAATCACTATCATTATTTTCATATGTGGTGTTAGCCTTGAAGCTATCTTTATCGGAATGTATATGTTCAACCACAGTGTTTTCATGTACATTTACACATTTCTGCAACTGTTCACTTGTATCTCTTTCAACATTCCCCATAGTAGTACAAGAGTTATCTTTATCACATGTTTTAGAATTAGTTGTCCCCCTTATATTATCCGCATCTTTAATTTTATTCTTTTCCCCATTAACCTTGTTTAAAAATTTGACTTCTATGATCAACACTCTTAATTGAGCTCTACCTCCACCACTAAAGATCAACTTCCTGTGTATATTAGGGTTTTCCATTTGCGCAGCAGGGGCCTGTTTTATAGCTTGACTAGATGAGCAGACATACAGACACCTCACAGTTGAGATATGACCAGTGAGATTATGGTATACATCCAACTGAGGAATACCATTTTCATCTTTTGTATGGTTAAGGATTTTAGGCAGTTTAATATTTTACCATTTTACCATTTTTATTACTCATTTTTGATCATTGATCATTATAATAGTCAATCTTTTAAAATATATAACTAAGCCAAAGCATTCTCTAGTTACCAGTATTAATCAGAAAAAATCTGGTCTACAGAATCAAACACCAAACTGTGCATAGTTATACACACACACTTAGATACAATAGTTTGAAAAGTCCTGTCACACCTGGTAACAATAATTAATTGCCTTTTTGTGTAATAATGCTTATAACAAGGATACATGTTAGGACAGACAGACATACAGATGTATCTTCACTACAGGTTACAATGACATTCACTGGTAGATCTGAAAAAAATAAAATACTGTAAATATTCATTATCAAAAGGAATAGACCTGAAAAATATAGAATCCTCTCATCAATATTATTATCATCAAGATTTTATGTATCCTGTTAAAACAAGACTACAAGTTTAGCAAATGAATGCCAACTAACAATGCTTTGACACAGATTAAAACATTGTATATCTTTGGAGTAAAGTAGCAAAAAAATATTTTTAGCCGTAATGACATTGACCTTATTGTCTTCAAACACAATCAAAGAAACAGTCATGTTCATAAAAGGTTAAATTATTAATAATTATCTTAAATATCTGTCTATAAATGAAGGCTTCATATGAAAAAAAAAATAGTGTTTTTTAGCCTCGGTGGTTTTGGCCTTGTCCTTGACCTTGACACTACTCTACTGGTAAAGTAATGAAATACAAAATATTAAAGCTATCCTACAATAAAAAGAGGTACTATAGCAAATTATAGAATGATCTACTGACAGAAGACAGAAGCATGGCCAAGTGGTCAATGCATCTGACTAATATTCTAATGATTGCTATCCACATTGGTTCAAACCCCATCAAGGGCAAGTCTTTGTTTCCTTAAGCAAGAAACTTTACACTCATTGCTCTGTACTGGTTGGTTCTAAGAATTCATCCGAGTGTTTCTATATTTGACAAGCTTACAGCTTCCTACATGAACTTAAATAAATTCTGTATAAACAGACTTCTTTTCATTAATTTATTTCAAATAAACTAATCTTTATTTTTATATATTTCCTCATACTGCATAATTCATTAGAAATCTAAATGACTTACCATTACCATCATACCCCAAGCAAATATGTTTGGCATCACATAACTCTCTTCCATGTAAACATTTCTGAAGGAAAAATAAAAATGAGTGAAAAATACTCCAATATCATAATAATTTATTATATAAGTTTCACAGATAATGGACATGTTTCTTTTAGGAAAGTCATAATGTATCTAAAATAAAATGTATCTTAATTACTTATTTGTTAAGTTTCCATCCACTGGAATAGGAAGATGTCCCTGAGAGCCTTATCTAAGAGACAAATAGGCAGATGTATTTCTCGACATCAACAGTCTGAAAATTTTAATATACTTTACAAAACTTCCTTATAAAAAATAAGCTTTATAAGGCATCAATATACATTCTAACAGGCTTCATACTATTCCCCTATCAAACAGATAGGGCTGTAAAGTGCATTATCATACAATACATGCAAATGTATACACATCATATGAAGTCAGATATTGCATTATGGTAGAATAATGTACAGTTTGTTGTTCAAATGCTTTGTAATTACTTGACCTTCGTGATTATATTCCTTATCATTAGAACTCCAACCGTGCATTATTCCACAGCAATGCACTCAAAATTGATATATCTTTCCTAAATATACATGTACACACTGTGTTAAGAATGGGGTGTTGTCATCTTGTATTACAAGAGACATGATGAGTAAAAGCAAAATGTCATTTAGTAAAATTACTTCTGCACTGAAAGATGTTTGACAACTTTAATTTTCCTATAGTCATAAATACGAGGGATGATCCAAAAATTTGTGGACACCGTGCATAAAACAAAAAGTAATAAAGCAAATCACATGAAATTCTAGTATCTTATTAAGTGAGCATATGTCGGCAAATTCTCAAAATATTGTAAAGATTGTACAAGAATTAACGATTCTGCACCAGTTTATATACATAGACATGACAAAACGCAGCGCAGCTCACGACGTCACAAACAACGTTATGCTATCATAGGAAGTAATCTACGTTACCGTTTTGCCTTATAACTTTTCAAAGTATTCCTCTTTAACCCGCACACATTTTCATGGCGGCGGACCCAGTCTCTAAATGTATTCGCATACCATTCCTGGCTAAATGATGACAGTATGCATTGGGTGGCTCCTCTCAACTCGTCCAGATTGTCAAAACGTCTCCCTATCAACTCTTTTTTTAACCTGGGAAACAAGGCGAAGTCACACGGGGAAAGCTCAGGCGAATAGGGTGGATGACTGAGTACTTCTGCTCCAAGCTGGATTTGAATGGTCAGCTGTGTGTCCCGGGCACGGTGAGCAGGTGCATTGTCTCGCCAGGCGTCTTCCCAAGATTTACACAGAACTGTATAACTGTCCGAAGTTTTGCTGGATCTGTGACGTTCATTTTTGGTAAAGCTGTTTTTAGCACCTGTTCTTTAAAGCATGAGTGTAAAATAACCGCAACTTCAAAATGTCTTCTGATACTGACAGAATGACGTCATACACATCAAAACAACGTTATTATAACGTTTCCCGCAATTTTCTTTGTTTGCACAGGTTTTACATGTGTTTAAATGAGATGAAAACGTTTACATCACAGAGAAAAAGTAAGCTGCGCCGCGATTTTGATACTTAATGTTTTGATGTTGTCATATATAGATAAAAAATGCAATTGGTGTTTTAAAATTTGGTCAATTTATAAAAAAGGCATTGATTAATAATATCGAAAGAGTTCACTTCGGTAGGACGTTATGGAGATACACCCATTGTCCACGAATTTTTGGATCACCCCTCGTATATATATTGTTTCTTGCATTATCATATCAAATGGCACAGCACACCATTCAGATGCTGCGTTATTATAGGTCCATTACTCTATATCACAAGGTTTTAAAACGACAATTCAATGAAACAAATCTCTTATTTACCTTCACAATGACCTGATTTGACCTCATTTCAACATTTGTGACCTTGACCTCTCTAGTCTTGACATACACAAATGCAGCACTGCTACCATGGCAACGGTAATCCCAGGCCCTATGTCCACCACCACATTCTATCTCTAGTAACTTCTGATTCTGTCTTACACTCCAAATAATAAACATGTTCTGCAATTCAATCAAATAAAGCTTTATTAATTTGTTAAAATACAATCCTTTCCTCCAATAAGTTTCAATTCAGGTACCTGTCACGTTACAATCTGATCCCCCTATGAACTTTAACAAATGAACCAGTCAAATCAGAATCCTATCCCTGACAGTTTCTCAACATTTCAACATGACTAAAGTAAAAAAAGAAATTACCTTAATAGCAATTAAACAAATTGCTGAGGTAAAAATGACAAAATTTATTAAGACTTTGTGTACTAAAGAAAAAAGATAAAATTACTTCATAAAGGATAAAATACATTAATATATGTACAACATGATTATCCAATGAAAAGCGATGTTACAAACAAAGTGTTAAATTGTACAATATAACCTACTGTATAAAATCCATATATGTGTATATCATCATCATCTGTAAACTCCAGCTTTTCTAACCATTCAAAACTTTTACACACCTGTACAATAAAAACACCATTAATATCTTATAAAACTAGAAAAGTGTCATCATGCCCCAGATGCCCCCGCATGCAGCCAAACATTCAAATGTCATGATAATATTTAGTTCCAAATTTGTTTGCACAAACTATTTTTTTCATTCAAAGTTTAAAGCCCTTAAACTATTCAATGTTAACACAAACCACTTTTATACAAACTTCCAATTCCATGAAACTATTCAGTGTTAACCTTTTGCAAATTGCATATTGCATAAAAATTATGCTAAGTTGTGTATCATAAATGATGAATGGCAGTTGTTTGTTTAGACACACTTGATTATAACACATCAAGACTGACTGTTATAACTTTTCCCTTTTAATTTATAGACTCGCTCATTTGAAAATACTACAAAATACTATGTACATAGTAAATAGAATATTAAGCTGAAAGTAAAATCACAAAAAAGCTACTCTTTAAAGAGTTATAAAGAAGATCTATAATTAGGTTTATTCTTACTCTGTTATTATGTAATAGTTCTAGCTCTCCAACTTCGGTCCATACAAACATTCTGTACATACCATCTCGCCCAGCTGAATATACATGGTTGTCACAGCAACATAGAAATGTAGCACCTGCTTTACCATGAATCTTCGGGAATGTTTGAACAAGTTCTCCGGTCTAGAATGAAGAAAAGTATAATTGTGAGTATTCAAGTACTTCTAAACTGATATTTCTATGCACATGAGTGTGTGTATTATTGTGTTGTAGTTTAGTTTCTCTGTTTTTAAGTTTCCCACTATAGTGTTACTGTATATGTGGATATTTCCAAGTGTCAAAAACAAATATGAAATTCCAGACATTTCGCGTGTGGAAATATTACACCAATCTCAGTTTAGCGTAAAAAATGGTTGGATGATATATATGCCTGAGGAAATTTTAGCGATTTTTATCAATTTGCAAAATTCACAAATATTTCCGCATCACTAACTTAACCACATATATAATATGGTATGGGTTTCTTCTTGCAGTTGTGAAAAAAAAGTCCAACATTATTGAGCTTTTTTTTTACTGAACTATTACACCATTAAGAAATTGCCATTTACCCACCATGACCCAGTCACCTACTAGTCATAGAATGGTATTGTCTTAGTGGTAAGAGATTAGCAAGGAAGATAGCAGTGCTATTGTTATACAGCACTTTGGTATGATAAGAGCTCATACACATCTTCATCAATGGAAGATCTTCAGTCACTACAACACTGCTGTCAACAGAGCTATCAAAACTAGCAGTGAATTCTGTTAGATATGGATCATGGTTGTAAGATCATTTTTGCCCCACCATCAGCAGCAATGTCTAGACATGCAATGAATGGAGACCAAGATCGTCAGCCATCCGTTCATGGACTGCATTGTTTGCTACTCAGACAGTTTGTTATTCAGTCAGTACTTATTTTGCAATATTCTCTTAAAATATGACATGGTTTTGTCAGATGAACAAGTTCCCCAAGATGATACATGTATATTAAATGGAGTAAGTGTTAATTTCACAAATTTAGTGAGAAATAACATCTAATATAGAATTTCACATTTATGGAATCCTATACTTTATTTGCTTTTTCAGGTCAAGGTTTGTTTGGTTGTTTTCATGTCACATAAACACTGTTAAAGTTATGTGAGAACATCACAGCTTTGATAGTGCTGTAATAACTCAAATAATTCTTCATGCATTAATTCATTTCTTATTAAAATCAAAATTCTCTAAGCTAGCTGAAATAGTTTTCTCCTATGAAAAAAACATTTATTCAAATAGCCTTGTGGGATAACATCCCTTAATGATATTGGACAAATGATGTTTATGCCAATTTTATCTTTTTTTTTAAAATCATATCTTGGTTGTCAATTCACTTAACCAATTACTTTATGAGTATTTTGTGAAAAATCGCTATATTCATTGAAAAGCCACGTGTAAAGGATGGAACCAGCAATGGTTCCAATCCAATGCTCTCTCTATTTAGCTGCCAGGTTGAAAATATACATAATTACATCTGTGTCAAAAAATATAGGCAGAATTAGGGCTTAAAGAGTATGTTTAAAGTAAAACTTACTTTTTTTTCCTCTATAAGTTTGTACAGAAAAAGACTGCCAGTGCGATCACCCACCACAATCCTTGTGTCGTCAAGGGCTATTGTTGCCGTGGAAACCCAACAATGTTTGCTTGGAGGTAGGATAAATGTGAAGGTCATATCAACATTAATCTCATCATCATGGTTTGTAATTTTCCACATATTCTGTAATTTATCACATTATCATGTAAATGTTTATCATATAACTGAACAAACACAGAGGATAAACAAGTCCAGTTCCTGTTTCACAAAAACGTAATTTATAGGCATCCAAGAAACATTAAATTTACAAGAGAAAAGTTCAGCCACCACATTGTTTCTTCAGGCATGCTGTCAAACAGTCCACCAGTATATTAGTGCATTCACTTTAGCAAGGAACTGATTCTTTTTGTACATGCTAAAGCAGAGGTACAGTGCAAAAGATGGAAGGAAAAATTTTTATGATCAACCTTAATGAAAGTGACCTGCGTGTCTTGGAATCCAACCCAGGTTGCCCAATTTACAGTTTTATGCTCTACCTATTGTGCTTGACAGCACAAGTTCTGTATTATTCTTACTTACAACCATGCCTTGTGCTGCTGTAGTCAGCACTGTATCTTCCCGTATCCACACAATGCTAAACAATTTCCCATCATGCACTTGTACATCAGTTTTCCCATACTGCCCTTTATCAAACATGGACGCTTCTGCAGAAAAGAAAGAGTTTTTTGTAAACTGAAGTGGATTTATACATGTTGACATTAATTTAAAACTCTTGATATTTCTAGTACCACTTTTCCTCTGCAAGTGAAAATGCAGACACTCATTTAATGTTAATAGGATCAAGAATATTAAAGATGCTTAAGCAGAGATATATATACATGTATATATATATAATTTGCACGTTTGTAATGTCACTTTTCATTGGACAATCATGACTTTGTAAAGTTTTATAAACAAGGCTTCTGTCAATTTATTAAGAGATCTCACTAAATTTTCTCTAAAAAAATGAAGTATGCTGAAATTTGTTATAAATATTCCTGACAGGTTATATGACCATATATAAACAATTGTTTGCAATATAACTCTTGCCTAGAGTCTAAGATTATATTTCCAAACAACTGTTTGTGTATAACCATATAACCTGTCAAAAATCTTTATAATTGATAATATAGAGGTCTTTATGCAGACTTTCTTTATTGTATTTGATTTTCATTGTGCTTTTGAAATATTTGAAACGTTACATTTCTATATAATATAATATACATGTACTTTACTGAGTCTGATATCTGACTGCATGAATTATTACCAACCAGAATCTTGTAAACAAGTTATAATCTGAATTGCATTCTTGGCAATTAGTGCTCTAAAAATTATAGTGATTAAGCATTTTGTATGGAAGTCAAAATACCGCTTCGTTAACATTTTGCAACATCAATCATAAATTATTTCACATTCAACATTATTTAATTCTGACAGGCATCTCGCATGTTCTGAATTTATTATCACAAAATTATAATTTTACTTAATGTTTACCTTTTCTGCTAAAGATTAATAATATTCATTTCATAGGCATAATGTGTCTTTAATAATAAAACTTTCAAGTCTTGTTTACTAAGTGCCAACTTTCAAGTTTTGTTTACTAAGTGGATGATTATTTTTAACAGAAAAGTGTTCTATAGGTAACTCTGGAGTGCATACATGACAAGACAATGCAAGTTGTGTCCCTTACATTACCAGTAGACTACAAAAATTTTACTTTTTTTCTTACTTCTTAAAATGAAAAACAAATCTGTACTATTCATACTAATCAATCACAAACACAAGCACACACGTTAATGATATAAACTAAAATATTTGAAGTTTTAATGGCAAATGTCCTAATTTTGTATGTCAGCAATATTGGTTATTTATAGCAACTCAGGAAATAACCTAAAATTTCTATTATGCAGGAATTTACATAAAATGGTAAACAAGTTTATTTATATTCTTATATTTCTCAATACTCATGTTATTTAATATTAAACATGTTTTCAATTAGTCTTTTGATTAGATGCATGAAAAATCTAAGTTTATATATTACATTGAAAAAAAATGTGTAAAAAATGCGTAGCAGTAATACTGTACTTAAACATTCTGACCTAGTTTTATGCTTTTTGTAAATATCACAAAATAACTGGTTCTTAATAGATAAACCTGTTCACTGTGAATATATTATAATACAGAATTACTGATTTGTAAAGTATTCTACTTGCTTTATACTCACTCACAGACTTTTTATTTCTACTTGGAAAAATAAGTAAAAAAAAATAAAGTGAATTAGCTGGTTCTATAATTAGCATTTATATAAATCTTGATTGTATTTTAAGGGAACTACACAGAGGTCCAAATGCCTAAGAACATGAAAATTTAAATTCTTAAAAAGACCAATTTTCAGCAGTGGGTTTTTGGTGGGTGGCGGGGAGGGGGGGGGGGGTGTGCACTAAAACACGAAATTATGCAAAAGATTATAAGAAAATTTAGACTCAGAATTAAATGGAAAATCATATTTTGTGTTATAATAAACCAGATTTTTTTTTTTAATTTCAAGTCCTGTCATGCCAAAAAAACCTCAGTTGGGTCTCTTGTCTCTTTAAGTTAACTCAAAACAAAACCATTGAAAATGTTTGAAACAACAACATTAACAGCATTATCAGTTCACATGCAATGTCAGTGCATGGAAAAGCCTGCACTTATGTTTGCACACATCACCTCCTAGCAAATATCAAGGGAAATTGGCTCTATATTTCCCTAAATTCCAATAGCATTGGCAACATTCCCAAAGTACTGGCAAAAGGCCTGTATTATGAATAAATACACCATTTGACAAGGACAAACATGATATTACCTTAAAATAAACTCCATAAATAAACTCTTATCCCACTAAATATCTTATATAGACTTGACGATTTTTTAATCTGGAAAAATCTTTTAATAGGGAAAATTTCAAAATATGTACTGCATGAATAGCAAACACAGAGCAGACCATGATAAGATGGCACCTGCAATGTGCCAGCTGAACCTGGTCTGCCCTGGTGCAATGGATAGAATCAGTTGTTGCAAGGTCAAAATTATTTTTTCGAAACCTTAATCACATTCAATTTTTGTTTTAAGGATGATCTGTTTACTCAGAAGGCTTTTCATAGATGGATGCACACACATGAAAAAAAATTCAAGTTACAAGATGACACCAGGAAATAGATAATGGGAGCAGTAAAAAGCAAGTTTCTTAAGTTTTTCACAAAGTTTTCAAAGAAGAAAAGAAAGCCTTCAGAAGAAATAGATTGCACTGCTTTGAATATCAACAGCATATATGTTGAAAAAGTACAGAAAATATCTTATGAACCCCAAGCATCTTTAAATGGCAATAAGACAATATTTAAAGGGAAATATGAGGAGGAACTGCATGCAGCTGTGACGAAAATAAGTGTGGTGGATTATGATTTCAAACAGACAAAAAAAGAAATAAAGAAAATTGCAAAAAAGTTAAACAGGAAAACGCTTCCTGACAAATGTAAACGCCTAATTTCTGTAAATCAGAAGTTGATCTGCAGCAACGAAAACATTGTGAAATATTTTTGTCATGAAATAGATAACGAGACATTATGCATTTATTTGGCTGCGGAACTCTGTGAACACACAATATGTGACTTTATCCAGAACAAAAGTAATTTTCCTACACTGACCACAAAAAGTGTAATTTTACAACTAGTCAAAGGTGTAGAATACCTTCATGAAATCAAAATTTTGCATCGCAATTTGAAACCATCAAAAGTTTTAATTAAAAATCATCAAAATAAAGCCATTGTAAAAATTTCTGGATTTGGGGTATCGAAGTGTATTCCAGACAATTGCTCGTGCATTTCCAACAGTGGCCAATATGGGGAACCTGGATATATAGCTCCAGAAATATATGATGCTCAACAGAACTTACCACCTGGCACTAAATTGAATAAATGCTATAAAAATGGTAGTGATATATTTTCACTAGGTGCAGTGATCTGTTATGTAGGGAGCAATGGGAATCATGCATTTAGCAGTCAAATGGACATACAGAACAAGAAACCTGGAGACTTCAGTAAATTTGAAGGCGGTTTTACTCTCCGCGTTCTTGTGCGAGACGAAATGCTAGCACATGATTGCAAGGATAGGCCATCTGCAAAAGATATCCTTAGACATCCTGCACTTTGGACAAGCACAGAAACTCTTGATTTTTTTCATCAAACAAGCAACATTCTCCAAGATAAGAAAAAACTCCAGATGTGTTCCATTGAAAACAACACAAGTAATGTCTTACGCGGCAATTCATGGAAATCTCATTTAACCAGTCACGTTAAGAATCATCTCTTCCCACCACCAGGTATGAAGACTGGCAACTGGAGCTACAAACGAAAGTCAGTTCTGTCTTTGATTCGTGCACTCAGAAACATGTACGAACATTTTCACACACAACCAATGGCAGTCACTAGTGACCTAGGAAGCCCTCCTGACAGTTTCTTGAAATACTGGACTGACAAATTTCCGGAACTGTTGATGCACACATATACCTGCATGAAAGTTCATTCATCAGAAAGCAATATGGTACGATTTTACAAGTAGGAGATAGAATTAAGGTGCGTTACCTTTTTTTATAACATGTCCACCTCTAAATTCAGGATCTGAATATTAAAATCTTACTGACCAGTGCATGTGCATGTTTCCTCTTATAATGACAAAGTCAAGGAAGCAAATACAACAATGATTTCAAAATCTCTTATCTACAAAACTTTAAATTGCAAAATCAAAACTTAGACGATGTCAAACTTGTTCCATGTCACAGTCTTTTGCATAGCTGATAGATTTGCATAAATATTAAAATCAGCCAGAATGTGTCCCTATCTTAGCATATATGTTCAAAGTGGCTAGACTGTGTTACCTCTTTAGCAAAAATGTTTGAAGACAGTAGACTGTGTCACGTCTTTGCATAAATGTAACAGCTCGATCAGACTGTGTCACGTTCTTGTTGTAGAACTATTTAATCTCGCTAAAGTTATTTTAGCAACAATTACTTTGCCTAATTGTTTAACTTGATCATCCTTGACATACACATATCATTGATAAAACTAAGTCCAACTTTTGCACATCTTCCATTTCTTTAGAAGAATATAAAAGCAACCTATCACTGTATACCAATATTTCAAAAGGTTAAGTAGAGTCAGAGTTTGTAATGTTAGTCATTCTTACAGATTACTTTTAAATAAAACTAACTTCATAATTTGAAATTCTATTTCAGACAAAGAGAATTAAAGGCAATACTCAACTGAAACCCACCTGCCATGACATTGTGCCTCCACTGGTCGATCGTAATTATGTACAAGAAAAACTTTTTAAGTATTTTTTTTTTTTTACTTTTTTCACACTTGTATTAAGTATTTTACATTGTATTTTAATCTTTTTATATTCAATATACTAGACATTTTACACTTTATTTGTATGGTTTTTTTTTTAAACATACAGTTATGATAAAAAAAATTACATAGATATTTACATATTAATTTTATAAAATGTACATGATTTAGCCATCTTCCTGATTTTTTTAACATTGAAGCATCATAGTATGTAAACAAGTTTACTTTCTTTTATTGAATCATGTAAGCACGCAAGCAGGATGCAGTGATTTTATTTAAAAAAATATCTACTGAGAGGAAGATTTGTTTTGATAAAATGTATTATTTTTATCTTATAATATTCAGTTGTTTTGTTACAAGTAAGGTTGTATCATAAAAAAGATTTTGCCTGATTTTGAGTTTTCTGCTCCTGAAAGCGCCTTGAATGGATATTAAAAAAAAATTCAGGGGCAGATAACTCTAAAGTAGGATAGTGACTTCTAAATTTTTTTTCATCAATTTGTTTCAATCATGATTCTCTTTACTCATTCAAAAGTTAAGAAAATTAGTTGAGCATATTAATTTTGAAATTTTAATTTTCGCCTTTGTAAAAACTGTAAAATAATGTTTGTTTCCTGAAATTTTACTTAAAAAATAAAATTTTTGGATTTAATCATGGACCTGTCAAGCAGTTTATGTTTATACTTACAAGCAGAAAAATGTTTTTTGGAAAAGCCAAAAAATATCTTCTTCTGACAGTGCATTCAGTGTTATGTATCTATTTGTGTTATGAAATTTAGGAAAAATTGCACAAATAAAAATTGACCTACAAATGATAAAGTGCCAAGCAGTTTACTTTTAATAGCAGAGAAAGCAGTTTTCAGGAAAAGCCAAAAATATCTTCTACTGACAGTGCAAGTCGTATTATGTTTTATTTGTTTTAGAATTAGAAAAAAATGCATGAAAAGTGATACTTGATTTGATACATTTGTGTAAAAAGTATATTTTGCTTGTCAAACTGTTCATCATGAAAGGGGCACCTCACAGGGTGAATGCAATTGACAGTGTAATTGTAAATATAATTTGTCACCTTAACGCAATAACAGGTTATGTTCTTCTAAATTCTATAGGAGTTAATCAGTTATTGCACTAAGGTGAGGAAATGTAAATAAATGTTTGCATGCAGACAGAGCTATTATTGGACTTGGGTTTTTTGGGAAAGTGACATGGAAGTTTCTTCTTAAAATAATCCTGGTAAAAAGATTGTACAAATTGCTCTTGTCATAACTTTAATTTTAAAGATGGTTCTAATGAAATGATTGTTTTCTAAATGTCTTAAATGTAAATTATGTTTCTTGTTTATATATTTTACATTATTAATAATTGTGGCACTTTAAAGATGAATGGCTCCATTCATTATATTACTGCTACATATATTACTTTTATCGTATAATTATGTGACATTTTAAGTAACTTCTATATACAGTATGTAATACTCAATAGACTATAGAGTTCATTCTTATATGTAAACTTTGCTTTATATTGAATTCTTGCCTACATGGATATCCTGCAGCAACGTGTGTAACACAAAAGTCCTGCTGTATTTTTAACCCATATTGTCCCATTTTGATATTCTTCCTTTTATAAACGACTCTCCACCAGATAGAAGTTCTATAGACCCTTTCAATTCGAGGAAGAGTTACCTCCCTTACCGGATATGAGGTTATTGTTCTATACAGACTTATTTGACTGTTCATTGGCTGAAGGAAATTTTGTATTTACAAGCGGCACAAGGCAGAAATATCATAAATCAATCATAAATCACCAGGGTGCAGATGTGTCATTAAGTTTTATAATATTACATAAGATTATGTCACTTATTTAAGCTGTTGTAATTATGATCCATATTTGGTTAAGGACCATCACAGGGGCTTAACCCTTTCGCTGCCACAGGGTTATTTATTTATTGATCACCTATTTGCCAGAAGGTTTTCTAAGAAATTACTATATTATTAATTAATATTATTATTATTATTTGTTTATATTAGTATTATAATAATTATATATGTTTCCTAATCTGCTTAGTGCTAGTATAATAATAATTATTGTCGATGGTAAAATTATCTATATATTTATTATGATTATTATTATTATTATAATTATTATTATAATTATTATTATAGAAATGGCAAAAGCAGTCCATATTACAAATACGCCGAAAATAAAAGGGACGACATATGCCGTCCCTATGGCAGTGAAAGGGTTAATTGGACATGCCTTAATGATTTGATCCCTTGTAATGACTATCAACTGTTATTAATATAGGATCAATGAACTTAAAACGTCGTATTTTGAATCTTTGATAGGATGACGCATTAATATTTGTTCAGTTATTAACAAAATTAGCCTACTTCTATCCCCCAATGATGTCATCAAAGGGAGACAACTTGAATCTGATCTTAATTGAAAGGGCCTATATGTTTTTTTAATTAATTTTGTTTTTATGACCTCTTGCCTTGATCATCTTTATCACAAAATTTCAATCATTTGAACTTAACAGGAAATATTATCGGAAGATTGTGTATTTAACCATTTCATTATATTTTAAGCTCAATGAATTGCAATTTTTTGTGTTAAAAACATGTGTACATGTATTTAAAAGATATATCCTAGTCACAAAAGCAGTGTTTCATTTTACATACTTCCATCATAAATAATATTTGTTAAAAAGTAAACATTTTCATACAATCATGTATATAGTCATAACCAGTGAAGCAGTATTGTTGTGTTCAGCTTTAAACTATTTATACATGTATTATACGTTAGTTTCTATATACTGATTTTACAATAATATTTGGCCAATGGTGCAAAGCTACTGTAACTGCAGGCTCTAATTTTTACAAGATTATTTGTTACTAAAAACTTAGTTGATATCCAGATCTCAAAGGGGTTCCACATACTAGCCAAAGTCAAAATGAGTGGGTGAATCATGACTGGCACCTTCCTTGCAATCAGCACAGTCATGTACCCCCTTCCCCACCCACCTCATAAGATTAGTGAACTTGTCATGCTTAGAGTATATTTGAAGCAAATAAAGATCCTGTAAATTTTATTATGGTTTTATATCATAAATCTGATGCTCAAATGAAGATTTATCAACATTGTAAGTTCAAAAAATTTTACATGTATTCGTAATGATATTACCGAATTTACATTTCATGTAAATAAAGGGAAGTAATTAGAAATCTATTTTCGATAAAGTCTAAGCCAAATTTTTCAATAAAAAATGAATGCATAGATTTACATGATTACTTATAATATAAACATTTGCAGTACATATTTAACATATTCTTGGATGTTTGGAAATTGTTTTAGAAGATTAATTATATACATATATAAAATTTCACTTATGTATTCTTACATCCTTAATAACAACATACAGGATCTTTAATATGTATCATAAGGGATTCAATTCCAAAACAAAGGAAATTAAGCATTTCACAATAAATAATAGTGCCACTAGGGGATAGTCACTATGACTTCAAGCACTGTCAGAGTCAAAGAGAAAAAGTATAATAGTTTTGCTCCAAAGCATCAATTTATTAAAGGTAGCTATAGATTATATGTAATCAAGAAATAGAATAGATTATAGCTGAAAACTACACTTGTTTTCTTGTTATTACCATGATAATTTGATAGAATCTTAAAGGTAATCCCTTAAAACAAATTGGTTTGTTATCTGATAGTAAGGTTCAAATATGGTTCTAAAATATCTCTTACAAAACAACAATACCTGCCTGCCTGATCTAAAGATGCAGGATTCTCAGTATTAAAATGTTTTCTGGGTTGGGTTTTAAGCCCTAACAATACAATTTAAGTCATAAGGTGACCTTCCAGCTTCACTGGTGGAGGAAGACCTCAGGTACCCCTCCATGCATTATTTCAAGCACGAACAGCAACCTTAGTAGTACCGACCTTCTGTAAGCTAGTTGGAAAGCTTCCTCAGATGAAAGAATCCAAAGTCTCTTGCAGGTTTCCAACCCACAGTGGTGCGGGGCACATGGTTTGAAGTCAACGACCATAACCACTTGGCCACGGACACCCATTTTACTTGAATCTTTAGTCACACTGTAAAGCTCATATGGCATTCCAGCTTAGGTGGCAGAGGAATATCCTAGGTGCCCTTTTGTACATTATTTTAGGCAAAAGAATGCAAGGGAGTATAACCTCATTCTGTGGCTTTCTTGGCTTCATGATGAATGTCAATGATGAACATATTGAATTAAACAAACTATCTACATATGCTTCAAAGAACAAACCTGACACATGAAGTATTCTCAATGTTCCATGAATGTTGCCTATAGCAATATATTGACTTGTAGGTGATACGCTCATCACTGTGTATGATCCAAACTTTTCATCAGACATGAGGTGACTACACTGACCTGACTTCTGGTTGTACAGAACTAGTTTCCTGAAATACAAATAAAGTTAGAATTTTCAATTTCTGAACTTTCTGCTCAGTAAATCAAATGTGTTTTCTGGCTAATTTTTTTTACCTCTATGTCATGTAATGGCTGCTATTTAAGGTCAATAAATATCTTCTTCTGAAAATACTTACTTGCTATGTCTCAGTATTAAGAATGTTTTATTTTTATTTATTGTTATTAGGTTTTACTTCATTCAAACACTATAAAGGTCATATGATAATTTTTTTAGCTTTTCTGGTGTAGGAAGACCTAAGGTGCCACTCCATGCATTAATTTCCACACAAACTGGCATACGAGTAGAAACACAGATGTTCCAAAAGCTAGCTGTAAAGTTTTTTCACATGAAAGAATTCAAAAATCCTGGCAGCCGTTGTTTCCTTAAGCAAAAAACGTAACATTCATTGCTTAGTACTGGTTGGTTCCAGAAATGGATTCAATAAGCTTAAAGCTTCCAACACAATCAAACTCAAATAACTTTGTATAAACTAAACTCAAATCCTTGACCAGATTCAAACCTACAGTGATAAGGGGTAATAAAGTAGACAAGTGAAAAAACCAATTACATTAATTTTGTACAACAGAAGTGTGTTTCACACCTGTTTTTATCTTTAGATCTGTTAAATACATGCATATCAAACAAATTAACTTTGAAAAATTTATTTCTTTGTATCAAATTTGCAATCTGTAAAAACTACATTTACTTATATAACTTATTGTGGTTCATCCTCCAAAAATTAACATTGTGCTTTATCAGAAATATTTTGTTAATTGACTGTGACACTATTTTAGATACTGTATATTGTTTTTATATGTATATGTGATGATGTACTTATTGTACAAATCCTGAATAAACTTATTGTTCTGTTCTGTATTCTAAAAAACAAACTTAAATTTATAATTACCACAAACATCTAAAACCAGTACAGTAAAAATTCTGAAAACTTGACCTTGCTCGAGCTGTCTGTTTTTCAAAGGTTTTACTGTATAATGCTTATATCTGGCTTACCCTGCATTTGTTATTGCCAGTATTCTGTCCACATCTAACAACATAGTGTTCCTGGGAAAGTCATCTTCCTCAAGCTAAAAATAAAATGGTAACAGTTTATTTCCTGATAATGTTTTCAACTGCAAAATATGCAAACTTTGAAATAAATCACATTATTTGGTAAAAATGGACCTTCTGTCAAAGTGTTTTTGACACAATTATTTGACAATACCCCAGTTACCGCACTGTCTGTTGGGGATAAAAAAAAGAGCATGCTCGTTGATTGGCTACGTTTTTTCTGGGATTTACATATTGTGACAACAGGGTTAGGAATAATGATAGAAACGTCATATTTATATGTTTGTACATAGATTACATTTTCTGTAGTTTCGAATTTTGACAACTGAAAACATGTTTTTATTTTCGCCTATGATATAAAACAGAAAGAACGCCCCCTCGTACATATCAGATAACCTCATGTTTTGATATTCTTTCTATCATTTAATATGTACATGTAAGCACTAAAAATGGAAAAATTATTCAATAAATACTATGCATCTTACCAAACAAAACCTGAAATTATTACTTCACCTGAAAATCCACAGATTTTGTGAGCTTGTCTTTGTTTTCTCTATCTTCATGATGAAGATTCCACAGTCTGACAGAGTTATCTCCACCACCAGTTATTACAAAGTGCTCTCCCTTGTCCACACAGATGCTCCATATACTCTTTCCTTTATGACCTTTGAAATTCTTCAATACTTTACCTTCATATGACCATATACAGCATGTGGAGTCCTGTATCCAAGGATAGACTAAAAATGTTAGAAGACAAATTCTATTTCAAAGAAATGTTTTTTTTTGTTTTGTTTTTATTTTGTACCTACTTCAATTTTTTTGTTAATTTTACACTACTTGTCCAATCAAAATGCCTAATAAATGGTATAATTTATCTAATACACAGAAATCAGTATCATCTTTTGTACAAAATGGGTTATAATTCTGTCAAAATCGATGTAAGAGTAATGGGCCTTGGTCAGTGATCACCAGTCCAATTAACTTGTTAATACCATATTAACTCTCAAATAATTGTGTAAAGTTTCAAATTCAACCCATTCCATGACACGAATGCTGATGCCTGGGTGAGTACAATTGGTCTCCCTATTCTTCGTTGAGCTTAAAACAAAGACAACATTTTTACCTCACCAACACTGACAAAGCTTGTTGAAAGTAGTTTTACATCCCAAACTCTTGCCGAATGTCCATATAGTACATGCAACAAACTGGTCTCCATTTTCTCCCAGTCTTCAAGAGACTGTCCAGTATTTTCTCCAGGAAACTTCACCTTGTACAACCTTATACTGCGATCATCAGATACAGAACAGATCAACTTTAATGTTTCATTGTAATCTATAGAAAATATCACACCCTGAAAATACATAACATATGTTTTTACAACATAATGCATTTTACTAACTGAATTAACATGAAAGAAAGAAAGAAAGAAAGGTGGCAACTGTATGCAGTATACAGTTTCTTTCTTTCATGTTAATTCAGTTAGTAAAATGCAGTGTACAGTGTATGCTCCTGTTAGCTCCAATAATTACCAAATTTTAATATAAAACAACATTTACTTGGTACATGTAAATGTTAAATATGTCTTTATCATTGCAATACATATACAAAAGGCAATACAGGAGGGCAAAGTTATTTAAAATCAGCAAACTTAGAAACTTGGCTCAACTGCATGTACTGAATTAAAAGAAATGAACAAATTAAATCAGTAACTAGATACTGACCTGGTGACCAGTCAAGCGATGGAATGGCTCCACTCTTCCTGAGGTATTAACAGTAGACTGTGCACTCCATATTACCACTTGATTAAAAACTGTACCAGAAGCTAATATGACACAGTCTGACTTTGAAGTCAGAAACTTTGCACAATATCTAGTGGAAGTTCAAGAAATTATAAAAAATACCAACAAATATTGTATTTTGATAATTGTAATAGCTCATCAAGTCCCTGCTGAATATGTGTAGATGCACACAGCTATATCTAAATTTAAAGGAAGCTATGCCATCATACACTTACAATCTGTATCTTGCAATTTTTTTTTTGGAGATTTTTCCCATTTTATCTAAAAAGTGTTATTGTAATCAAAATAAGTAACAAACTAGAAATGTGTCCATAGGACACGGATGCCCCCACACGCCACTGTTCTGTCAATCTTATTACTCTAGGTCAAATATTTTTTAGACTACATGTGCCACAAGTTGAAAACTAAAAATCAACAAAGGGCCATAATTCTGTAAAATTTGGTCGCGGCAAAAATTCCTTACTTTACTACCATCTACACATTTAGGTTGTTCATCCCTGGAAGTTTAAGCAAAATCTGCCATCCGGTTTAAGAGGAGTTGCATTCACAAAATTTCTACATAGTATATAGTGAAAAAAATCAACAAAGGGCCATAATTCTGTTAAATTTGGTCGCAGCAAAAATTCCTTCCTTTACTACCATCTACACATTAAGGTTGTTCATCCCTGGAAGTTAAAGCAAAATCTGCCATCCGGTTTAAGAGGAGTTGCGTTCACAAAATTTCTTTATGGTATATAGTGAAAAAATTAACAAAGGGCCATAATTCTGTTAAATTTGGTCGCAGCAAAAATTCCGTCCTTTACTACCATCTACACATTTAGGTTGTTCTTCCCTGTAAGTTTAAGCAAAATCTGCCATCCGGTTTAAAAGGAGTTGCATTCACAAAATTTCTACATAGTATATAGTGAAAAAATCAACAAAGGGCCATAATTCTGTTAAATTTGGTCGCAGCAAAAATTCCTTCCTTTACTACCATCTACACATTAAGGTTGTTCATCCCTATAAGGTTTAAGCAAAATCTGCCATTCGGTTTAAGAGGAGTTGCGTTCACAAAATTTCTACATAGTATATAGTGAAAAAATCAACAAAGGGCCATAATTCTGTTAAATTTGGTCGCAGCAAAAATTCCTTCCTTTACTACCATCTACACATTAAGGTTGTTCTTCCCTGTAAGTTTAAGCAAAATCTGCCATCCGGTTTAAGAGGAGTTGCGTTCACAAAATTTCTACATAGTATATAGTGAAAAAATCAACAAAGGGCCATAATTCTGTTAAATTTGGTCGCAGCGAAAATTCCTTCCTTTACTACCATCTACACATTAAGGTTGTTCATCCCTGTAAGTTTAAGCAAAATCTGCCATCCGGTTTAAGAGGAGTTGCGTTCACAAGATTTCGGGACGTACGGACAGACGTACGGACGGACGGACGGACAGACGGACGGACAAGTGCAACGCTATATGCTCCCACTTTGTGGGGGCATAAAAAGAAATGTCAAAAGTGTAAAAAGAAAAGCAATAAAGATTATGAAGATGTGAATAATTCTCAGTTATGGATGAAATTATAAACACATTTCGTTACGTAAATCAAGATGGCAGATATTAATCAACTACAAGAGCCAATGAATCTCACACAAGGGATTGTGAGTCAGGATTGGAAAATTTTCTATTTTTAGAGCTTCTTATCCCTCTGTTATTAAAGTATTTGGTAGATACAATGGACTTTTTCTGTTTTGAATTTGGAATTTTTCATTGTTAGTACAAGATATTTCATGATCAAAATGCTAAAAGTAAACAGCAAACAATATACTGGTAGTTTTAACGAGGAATACTGGAAGGCTGCCTATACATGTATAATGCCTGCATAATTATTCTAGCAAATCATTATCCCTACTAGCAATTCATCACATCATTTCAATCACAAAGTAGGCTAGTGTTTTTCATGTCATCATTAATTCCAACAGATTTAATGGATTAATGATGACTTCTAAACACTAACTTATATTACATATCAATTTTTGTTATTATCCTATTTATTCAAAGGATACAAAATACATTTTTCTTGACAATGAACACTATTTGTTATACTAAATTTGTCTACATCATATGTTACAATAACATTATGACCAAGTGCCAGACATAGCAACCTGCTTGACAGTGAATCCTGTAATATATATGAAAACATCTCGTAAACATATATTCATGTAATATCTCTTAAAGGCAAATTAAAGCTGCAAGCCTCCAGATGAGCCAAAATATTTCAAGAAAATCAAAATTGGGGAAAAATGAACGAAGAAAAGTATAAACATTCAAGATTCAAGTAATAATTAAAGTTGCACGCCTCCAGATGAGCCAAAATATTTCAAGAAATTCAATCTTTAGAAAAATGTATTAAAATCTTAAGAAAAGTAAAGATTGAATATTCAATTAATTATTTATATGTTATGTGGGATTTAATGACAGATTTTGCAGTATCAATCACTATAATTCTACTGCGTTACTAACTTTACTTTAAATCAAAAATACGTCTCAACATTTTATATCAAATAATTTCAATTCAATTCATACTGTCGGAGTGAAATGTGCTTCATAAAATATACAAATCTGAGTGCTTTTCAATTTAAATATAAATGCTTAAATGCACATTATCATTTTAACTTTTGTTGCCTAACTTTTCCAAAGTAAAAAAGCAAAAATTAGAAAACAATTTAATCTTCCCAATATCACTTCATTTTAACATCCGGTCACCTTTGTTCAATAACTTATTAACGGTTATTAAATTCTGTACTTTAAAAAATTTACCTGAATCCAGGAAACATCCCATATCCAATCAGAAAATTCTAATGGATCATTTAAAGGCTTGATTGTCAGGGAAAGGTCATTAACTTCAACCAAGCGTAAACACTTCTGACCAAACACACATAGCTTTGTTGATGCACCATCATCAAATACTTAAAAAAAACATATGCACAATTACTTAAGCTATTATTTCATGAAAATTACTCTTCTACAGTTTGAAGTAACGGAAGTGTAAATTAATAAGTACAAATGTATTATACTAGCTGCTAAGGGAGTGTAAAGTATGAAAATGTGCTCAAATGCTGACACTAGGTAATGAAAAATAAAAATATAAAGAACTATATAATATATGAATATGAAATGATATGTGATTAATTATAAAATATTACCTTTCAATGGATTTTGGCACCTAAAGGTTAGTTGATTTCTTGTATGTGAATCAATTAAAGGCATGAATGTGCTATGTTCCTTTAATAGTTTGTTTTCTTCAATATTTCACTGACACACTGAGCTGGGTTAGCTAGTTTATTTTAGCCCAAATTTAACCACCAAAAGTGATTACATTTGCAACAACCTTTAGAGCTAGACTTTAGACCATTTGCTGCCCAGATTTATATTTCAAACTTGAAATCCTAGAAATTGATAATGGATACTTCCAAAAATAGACGTTGGACAAATTCATATGAGTAAGTCAGCAAATTAAGGGTTGACAGTATTTCAGAAATATTCCACCAAGTTTTACCAACAGGAATGTATCTGCAATCTGTATCAATGCTTAATTCTCCCTATAAATCATTTGAAACAGATTTCGAGGATGAATGACTCAAATTATTGTCATAAATGAACTAGGTCCTATATATTGTGAAGATAAGTTCCAAAGATTCAAAATACTCTTCCAAATGAGTAAATCAAGTGAACAAAGACATGGACGAAAATAAATTTTTTAAATACCTTGCTTAATACCATGAACAACCCTGGCAGGTAGGATGTCTATTGATTGATGCAGTTTTGTATTGTGTATACTATAAACATGTATCTGACTGCCAATTCCTGAAGAAAAAAAAACATTTTAGCCATTTATACATGTACATCTGATTATTCTAAAAGATAATGAACAGTTTTGATGACTATATTTCAAGATCAATCAAATAAAGCCACCCAAGATCTCTTCATGCAACTCAGGGACACTTAATACATAAACTTAGACACTGATGTTATGTAAAACTAATCTGCATTTTGCTTGTATTCACATACTAGTATACATCTTGTAATGTAATCAAACTTTGTATAATTATGAGGTGTATGAAAAATATCGGTGAACTTTGATATTGTCTATAATGGTCATATAATTTAAAATGAATTTATGGAAGTTTGTGTGTTTTTTTTACCTTAGATGATATACTAAAAACAGAAGAACTTGAACTCACCTGCCAAAATTATGTTACCATGGCAATGTAGAGCTGTCACAGGTCCAGTGTGATAAATCGATGTTAAACTCATTATTTCTGTGTAAAATAAGGATATGTGTATCTAAGAAACAATGGACACATCTTGAAGTTAAAGCTGAAACTTGATAAAGAGGTACATAAAAATAATGTGAAAGAACTAAACCATGTCACCTGAATGAATAGAGGATAAAAAATAATTGTCTCCCTTTCTATTGCATGAAAAATAACCAAACCTTGCATGCACACAAAACCTCAGTTTGTAAGCACATATGAACTTTACATGAATTGTTATTCCAGCATGTGGACGCTGATCAAGAGATAATGAAAATGATCTTTAATGGGAAGTGGAGAGCAAGAACATGTACTTAAACTTTCAGAACCCTTATTTCACAAATTTATGAACTGCAAACATTTGGCACCATTTCACTTTCCAATAAGAATTGCAAAGAAACTTGAAGTCTATGAGAAATTATTGAAATAGTATGTAGCTTATCTTCAGAATAATCCTATGGATTTTAAAGAAAATTCAAATTCAAATCCCAAAGTTAGAAAGTTTGTAAGCAGACATTCTCATTGGTAAGAGGGAAGGGTTCTGACCAATGAGATGTCTTCCTACAGGAGAAGGAGCCCCCTTACATGTCTTCTTCCAGATTTGAATTTGATAGGTATTTTTTGAAAAAAGGTTCATAATAGTTTTTAATATGTTTTGTTTTGATATTTAATTTCAAATTTGATTCATTTAAATAATCTTTTAACACCGGTAATTCTGATTTATGCATTTATCACAACCAGACATGTGTTCAGTAGTGACATTTTTACAGCAAGCAGAATGTCCCATACTTAAGGGACATTTACAAACACTTCAACATTAAATATTCTTATGAAAACCCAAAATAATTATAATAGCAGTTCTATTTCCTTTAAGAATAATCTCTTCCCTAACATTAATTTAGCAACAAATGAAAACTTTTGGAAATTACAAAAAAGATGTAGCTATGAATATTGAATAAAAATTAGATCTGGCATTTGAATCTCATTTCCTTCCTGCATACTATGTATCAAATTATTAAAGATCCATAATATGTTAAAAGTTCTTTATCTGAATAGTTTGAGTCATGCCATATCGCCTATAGGGCGAGTTGACCTGTTACCTCTTAAAATCTGGGAACAAGACACCCAGACACTCTAGCCCCAAAAATCAGTAAGACACAAGTTTCTCTCTTAGTCTAATCATAAAGTTTCTCTATTTAAATGTCAAATCTGTTGGAAAAAGACATTGACTATTCAAAAAATATATCTCGAGGTCACTTTGGCAAGTCTAACCATGGAGCTAAATATTGTATATATATCTGTGGTTTGACTATTCACCCCTCAACCTTTATTTCTAGAGTAAATCCTACAATCATATACATAAACATACATGTAATGATGTAGCTAATGTCACTGATGATGATCCCTCTGTCAATTGTGATAGCTGTGGCAACTGGTTCCACATAGTATGTCAAGACATAGAAAACACCTGGTATCAACAAATGGCAGAAACAGAAGTATCCTTTGCATGGACATGCACTTTGTGTAATAGTTTAAACCATTCCAACACCAGTTCAAGTATAATATCCATTACATCACAAAATAGTTTTTCAAGCCTTTCAGATACAAATGTGACCCCACACCCCCACACTAGTACTTCCAAACCACAAACTCACAATTATGTTTCGAAAATTAAAATTATTTGTGTAAATTGCCAATCTATTGTGAACAAAAAGCATGAATTTCAAAGTATGATTCTTTCTCAAAACCCTGATGTTGTCACCATAACAGAGTCTTGGCTGAAAAAAGAGCATTTTACAAGTGAAATCTTTCCAACGTCCCTAGGGTACACAGTCTACCGAAAAGACAGACAAACCGGAAAAGGAGGTGGTGTACTAATACTTGTAAAAAATAACCTTATTTCATGTGAACAACCAAAACTAAGCACTGACTGTGAAATTTTATGGGTTAAGGTAGAAATTAAAGGTAACAAACCATTCTACATCGCATCCTACTATAAACCACATGAAAACGACACAAAAAGTACACTTGAATTTGAAAAATCACTAGACTTAACAAGAAATCTTAAAGGCACAAAAATAATTCTAGGAGACTTTAACTTTCCAAAACTTACATGGGACATAATTATTCTTACAAATCTGGCTTTAACTCAAACCCCACTTATGATAAATTCCTTGAAGTCATCGAAAATCATAGTCTTACTCAAATGATAAATGAAAACACAAGACACAACAATATCTTAGATCTCTTTTTAATTTCAAACCACACACTTGTCAACAAAACAGAAATAATCCCAGGAATATCAGATCATGACATCATCACAACAAGTGTACACGCAAGACCAATTATAAACAAACAAAAACCAAGAAACTGCCCAATCTACAAAAAAGCCAACTGGCCTGAATTTAAAAATCATATGCAGATATTTAGCCAAGAAATCATACATAAAGTTGATACACTTTCAGTTGAAGAACTATGGACCCAATTTAAATCAACAATTGAAACTGGAATTACTAAATTTGTTCCAATAAAAAGAATAGGATCAAAAAAATCACTACCCTGGATAACAAAAGCAATTAAAAAACTCATGACAAAAAGAGACCATCTATACCAAAAACTAAAAAAACATAAATCAAATCATGAACTTAGACAAAAATTCAAAAAATTGAAAGCACTTATCAAAACTCAAATCAAAACATCTTTACGATCAACACTTAGAACACATATTAGAACTTGATGACAATGATCCCACAGACACCCAAACTAAGTTTTCTACTAAAAAACTGTACTCCCACTTAAAAAACTCCAAACAAGATTCCCAAAATGTAACAACTCTCAAAGACCAAACAACAGGCTATCTTAAATCAAACAACCGCGACAAGGCCAATATATTGAACACGCAGTTCCAATCAGTTTTCTCCAGTGCCTCTCCACTGTCTCTAAAACAAACTTGCATGCAAAAACTTTATTACCTTGACCCCAAAAAATATTGTAAATACCCTCAAATGGATGATATATCTGTCAGCAAAAATGGGGTGCTGAAACTTCTTGCCAACCTAAAGATAGATAAAGCTGCAGGCCCAGACCTTGTTCGGCCGGTTGTCCTCAAAGAACTGAGGAATGAAATCACAGATATCATCACAATCCTATTCCAAAAATCTTTATCTTCTGGTACAATTCCCTCTGACTGGACCAAAGCCTATGTTTGCCCTATTTACAAAAAAGGTGACAGCACAGATCCAGCCAACTATCGACCGATTTCATTAACATGTATCCTTTGCAAAACGCTCGAACACATTGTCGCCTCACATCTCTCTTCACACTTCAGTAACCACAACATTCTCTTCGACCTTCAACATGGCTTTAGGGAGAAACGCTCCTGTGAAACACAGCTTATTGAACTAACAGACTCCCTTGTCAACAACATCTCAGCAGGGAAACAAACAGATCTTATTCTCCTTGACTTTAGTAAAGCCTTTGATAAAGTAAATCATCGTAAACTTCTCCTTACCCTCCAAGAAAACGGTGTCTCCACACAAATTCTCAATTGGACACGTTCCTTCCTGATAGGTCGGAGCCAAACTGTTGTACTGGAAGATGAACACTCTACAGAAGTCCCTGTAAACTCTGGTGTCCCCCAAGGCTCCGTCCTCGGCCCACTCTGCTTCCTGATCTACATTAATGAACTTCCATCTTCTGTCTCCAAGTCCCAAATTCGCCTCTTTGCTGATGACACTGTGGTTTACATTACTATAAACTCGTCTTCAGACTCACAATCCCTCCAGGAGGATCTTGATAAGATGCAAATATGGGAAAGGGAGTGGGACATGGAATTCAACCCCTCAAAATGTCAAGTCCTTCACATCACTAAAAACAAAAAAGTCATCAACAACAAGTACTTCCTTCATGGCCAAGCTTTAACATCAGTTCCTAGCTCAAAATACCTTGGCCTTGACTTGTCCACAGACCTGAACTACAACACACATATCTCAAGAATTACATCAAATGCAAACAAAACCCTAGGATTCATAAAACGAAATATCAATACAAAAAATGAAAAAGTAAAACAACTAGCTTATAAATCCCTAGTAAGACCCCAGTTAGAATACGCATCAACTGTTTGGAGCCCCTACACACAATCAAACATCCAAAAAATAGAGATAGTCCAAAGACGAGCGATACACTGGGTAAAACAGGATTACTCCCCTTTGTCATCAGTTACAGCCATGCAGAAAGATCTTGGCTGGCGTTCTCTCGAGCATCGCAGACTAGACTTTAGACTTATTATGTTTTTTAAAATTTACCATAACCTAGTAGCCATTAGCCTTCCCACCTACATTAAAACTCTATCTAGGCTTACTAGACATATGCATCCCCTCTCTCTTAGGAAAATACAGGTTACATCAGACTACCATAAGTTCTCCTTCTTCCCCCACTGTATCACACTTTGGAACCAGCTCCCAAGGAACATTGTCACCCTGCCTGATCTAGATCAATACAAACAGGCAGTGGTTAAGATACAGTATTAGTTGACTTGTTGTGTTTTTACTTTTAAATCTTTCTTTCACCCTTACTAACAAAAATATTTTAACAATGACTAGAAGTTTTCAATGTCTCTCACTGTCCTGATCATGTTCATTTTCAGGTTTTTACTTTCTCTCACACCTTTTACTAACACACCGACGCGCACAATTTCCTGCCTATAACACTCGCGAGAGGGGTTGGCAGTATTCAGAGATAGATAGCTGATTAGGATTGCACAAAGTTACCAGCAGCATAATTTTGTATTTAAATCAGAATTTTGAAAGACCAACTCACACCTTTATATTTAAATGAAAAAAGAGATGTGATCTGACTTTCAAATTAACACTGATATTACCTACTACTTCTATGAACGTTCATACTTACGATTCAATTAAATTATTAATTTTCACGTGGGTTTGTTTTCTACTTTCATTTTCTTAAACAGCTTATAGCAATAAAAATCGTTTGGACTAAAGAGTATGTTCATAAATATAATTTTGCTTATTTCTATTTTTCATCGCAATTTCTATTTGAAAAGAGAAATATTTCACTACAGTTTTTAAAAAATATTATTATTTCAGTTTGATTTTTACTTGATGTTGGAAGCAAATTTACAACGCCACCTGCCGGATGCGACTTTGCGACGATTATTATTTTGAATAAAACATCGAAAGTCTATCAAATCGCTGTCAAGCAGTGATAAACCTGCTGTAAAGTCATGGCGGATGCAGCAGCTAGATCACTTCAATATGAATATAAATCAGTAAGTAGATGACTGATTAAATTAAAGCAGTAAATATTTTTGTCATATGTTTTCGCGATAGATCATGTTGATTTTTTTGCGGCCATTATGAAAACGTTTTTTTAAGCGATATAATTTGGTCTCCAATCCATGGAGCATTGTTATTTATCAATGAAGATCGCATAAAATATATGCGATCAAAGTGACTGACAAGCAGGGTTAGACATTAACCGTTTCTCTAATTTGGTGTTTTGACATAAAAATCAAATTTTAAAATATCCAAATCAGCAAATGCCAACTGAAATTTTCGTCTGCTAGAAAGCAACATGTTAACAACATGTAAATTACTGCATTGTCGTAAAACATGGTGTTATGATACCACAAATATATTTATCCAAGAGTCATTAAAGCTCTAGTTACATAACTTACAAACATGAAATTCCAGATTTGAGTCAAAATATTTGTTTTCCCAATCAATGTGTGTATTATTGGCACCATTCCTTAAGTTGGGGACGGGGGGATGCTGAACATGGTCAACTTAAATCAGTCTTTAACATTCTTTAAATATCCAAGTTATAGAACTGTCGCGATTCATTATTCAGCCAAGTACGCATGATTGGTTGGAAATGGTGAAGGTGGTGAAAGCGGCAACCAATGTTCTGGCCGCTCACAAGCAGCAACAACACTCATCCCACCGCTGCCACCAATATAGAACTGTCGCGATTGATTATAAAGGGATTGACAATACAAACAATCGACTTACCTTCCACGTCTGGATCGTAGCCAAGCTAGGATTTGCCTAATTATTCTTAGTATATATTACACACAAATATGGCGCCCAACTGTCAGCCTAACACACTAGTTCCGGTTGGTCCGGAACCTTCCGTTAACTTCCGTCAACTCCCGTAACCAGTACCATACGGTACTACAAAGTCATGAAACATTAATTAAACTACATTTGGAAAGGTCATATAAATAGATAAATTATTGAATTATTGATTTATAGTAACTGTTGATCTCTGCTTTAATCATTTAATATTAAAAAATTATTTATTGTTAAGGTATATTTCAAGTTCACATTCTATCTTAAGCAACCATTATTCTGTCCCTGTTGGTGCATTTTAAAACATTTATGTAAAGAAATTTATTTAAAAGAACATATCAGAAATTCAGTTAATGATTTTTTATTGTGTCGCCTCTACGGAGTAGTGTCGACATATAGGGATCACTTCTCTGTCGTCTGTCTGTCCTTCTGTCTGGCTGTCCGTCCGTCACAAAACTTGTCTGGACTACTCCTCATAAACTACTGGTGCAATTTCATCCAAACTTCACAGGAATGATCAGTACCAAGTCTAGACTCTAGTTGTGCATATTGTCAGCATTTTCCGGTTCAATGATTTTTGTTTTAGTTATGGCCCTTTAATAATTTTTATATTTTTAAAGTTTGTCCGGACTACTATTCTTATACCACTCATGCAATTTCAATGAAACTTTACAGGATTGATCTGTAGCTTGAGTCCTTGCGCATATTGCACGGGTTTTCCGGTTGAATGATTTTTGGCTGAGTAATGGCCCTTTGATAAACAGGTGTTTTTTTCTGTGTGTTGCCAGATACACAAAAGCTTGTCCGGACTACTCCTCATAAACTACTGGTGCAATTTTATCCAAACTTTACAGGAATGATCAGTACCAAGTGTAGTTGTGCATATTGTCAGCATTTTCCGGTTCAATGATTTTTGTCAGAGTTATGGCCCTTTGATAATTTTTATTTTTTAAAGTTTTGTCCGGACTTCTTCTCTGATACCACTAATGCAATTTCAATGAAACTTTACAGGATTGATCTGTAGTTCGAGTCCTTGCGGATATTTCACGGGTTTTCCGGTTGAATGATTTTTGGCAGAGTTATGTTTTTTTCTGTGTGTTGCCAGATACACAAAAGCTTGTCCGGACTACTCCTCATAAACTACTGGTGCAATTTCATCCAAACTTTACAGGAATGATCAGTACCAAATCTAGTTGTGCACTGTCCATCTGTCTGTCCGTCTGTCACAAAACTTGTCCCAACATGAAATTGGCCATCATGAGGCGACACATGTGATCACTGATCGCTCTTGTTTTGAATAGTGGGTGTTCATGTCTTTTTACCTCCTAATGATAAATGCTTACACAAAATTAGTGGTAATATAGTATTGTACATTTTGTAAAATTTAATGTTGCCCGACTCTTACATTACTTGATAACTAATGAAATATGCCACCAATTCATTTTGTAGTTTAATTGAATAATGTTTTCTTTATTTACAGAACTCCAATCTTGTACTTCAAGCAGACAGATCTTTGATAGACAGAAGAGCTAGAGATGAACCAACTAGTGAAGTACAGTCCTTGTCTGGGAAACTCACTGGTATTAAAATGGGAGACAAGGCTAAGAGAACCAAACCACCACAAATGGAAGAAAGAAAAGCCAAGTAAGTCCATTTCTTAAGCCTTTGTGTGCTTCACATATTTTTCCAGATCACTTCATGAACTTTAAAGTGACTGCACACTACTTGAAAAAAGTTCAGTAATGCATAGGTATAAGTTTTCAGACATTTGCTAAAGTTCAGGTTTTACATACTCTTAGAAGCACTTTTATTTTTTATAAAACTAATTAAATAATGCTAAATTCAGGGGCTTATTATTGATTTTATTCTGGAAATTAATATTATCTGAAATGTCATCAAAATGCAATGCTAAAGCTTTTTATATAGACTCTTAAATGCTAAATATACTTTAAATTTCATTGTTATATTATATGTTATGATATTATTTTTAGACGTCATAAGAGAGATGAAGCTCAGCGAGATATGTTGAAGATGAAAGGAACAACTTTGTTGACTGAAGGTATCTCTGACATGGTAGGGATTGTGTACAGACCAAAGACACCGGAAACTAGGCAGACTTACGAAGTCTTGCTTAGTTTTATACAGGCTGCCATCAGTGATCAGGTAATGGCACTGTCTTATACCCATGATATAAAAATATTAAGTCCCATTGTTTAAACCATCTGTTGATCTATATTCGGGCCATGTTGAATTATGTTTTGTTTTTTAAATGAGTATTTTTGTACAGTATAATATTTGATCCAATGAATATCAACAGTTCAATAATTTTCTTTCTGTCAATTTAAATCATTAAAGCCCCGAAACATATTTGTATTTTGTCCATATTGAAAGTATATTGTAAATGGACATAAAAGACAATGTGTTTAGTTATTATAAATACTTTTACTGATAAGCCCTTTTCATTATCTAAATCTTACTTAATATGGAAATTTTGCTTTGGCCCCTAATAGGTATGACATAAGATGATACATTATACTTAAAATAGATAACTCGTACTGATTTCCAGTAGTCAGTCTGGTTTGCCAGTAAATTTTATTGATATGCTGGCATGACTTTCTAGTATATATATTTTTGATAGAAAAAAAAGAATAGAAATTTGAGTATAATTGCTTTAATAATGAACTGAGTTATAAATCATCATAATGATACTTTCAGCCACGTGATGTTTTATGCGGGGCTGCAGATGAAGTTCTTGCGGTGTTAAAGAATGACAAAATGAGAGAGAAAGAAAAGAAGAAAGAAGTAGAAGGGTTGCTTGGATCCATGCCTGAAGAAAGATTTGCCCTGCTTGTAAATCTTGGCAAGAAAATAACAGACTGGGTACAGGAGGAGAAAATGCAATTGGGTTTGTACTGGCACTATTTTACATTGAAAGAGGCATTGCAGAAAATGGTACTTTTTGTACGAGCAGTTTGGGTCCCTGACTTCACACTACTTGTTCTTCACTTCTTTGGATTCTTATTCTGTCTTAGGCTTTAAATTCTTTAATGTTTGTGAGGAAGCAGTCCAGCCCAATTATGTAAGGTTGATGTTTCTATTTAGGCATGCCCATTGATACCTGAGGTAACACATCGATAGTCACCTAAGATCTTCCTCCATTGGTTTTTTGCCACTTAAATAGTTTGTGTGACAAAATTAAATAAAAAATAGATATTAAAGAAATATATGCTAAGTTAAACTAGATATAATTTGTTTGTAACGTGTTATTATATTTATTATATTTATTATTTGGGCTTAATCCAATTTGTCAAAAGTTATTCGAAAACTTTCAATTCTTCAACCTTCTGTGATTAAAGTGAAATAAAGTTTTTGTGCCAGCTTAATAAATTTGTTATCTTTGCTGTTTTAGTTTAACTGGTTTATTTTATGTTTTTAGAGGAAAACATTGATGAGACATATGGTGTAAATGTACAGATTGAAGAATCAGATGATGATGTAAGTTTCTATACATTTGTTATTGATATTTACATGATATACTGGTAATGAATGTGAAGACAACATTATTAACCTTTGCCTTATCATTCTATTCTATAAGCTAAAGCCTTCAGACATGGAGATAACTCACTTTCTTATTAAAATTTTGTTTTGAAGCTTTGCAATATTAATTGATCTATTAAATATGTTAGATTTTTCAAAAACATTTGTCATAATTTTATATTTATTTATAGAATTTTGATGGGATTTTAATTGTGTCTTATGGAAATATATTGATATTTATAGCAATAATGAAAAAGCCTAGTTTCATTTGTTGTTTTTATTCAACACATTATGTTAAGTATAAGAGGTCAAGTTTTACATTCTCATATATATTGAGAATTAATTATGGTACAAGAAACTATAAGGAATACAAAATGATGGTACAAGGTGTAACATGTACTGTATCATACTAAGCCTAGCTAATTACATTATTCTCTGCCTTTCAACCTGAGGTCATGGGTTTAAGCTCAGTATACTGCAGGCTTTTTGTCACTGGTAGAAGCCCTTCCCTTAAATTTTTGGAAGTAACAACACAGTATTTCTACAAAAAATGAATAAAAAAGTTGATGTTAATTAGGGGGAAAAAAATTAGCCTATTATAGAAGGGAAAAGCCTTGGGATGGTAAATGCTAATCCAGGAAGTTTTAATATAAGTTTATATTTTCTTATGCAGCTTATTATCATAGTGTAACTTGAGGTATATAAGTTCACATCACATACTATGGGCAGTATTGTAGATTTGAGAATTGTTTCAGGATGATGCCGATGTGTATGGGGAGGTACGAGAAGATGAAGAAGAGGAGGAGGAGTCTGGAGGGGAAGAGGCGGACCTTAATGTGACATTGTCTGCAGGCAATGTAAGATCATTTGCATATTATTTCATAGATGATCATTTGTAAAATCAGTGATAAGTTGGAATGTTGTAATAATTTTTAGAATATTTAATTGGTGAAATTCCCTCTCCTATCCGGCAAGCTTATAGAACGTTGGTTGTTCTCACTTAGGTGTCCCCTCTTGTTTGAAGCACAATGGGACACCTGAGATTTTCCTCCACCAGTAAAGCTGGAAAGTTACCATATCACCACTACTGTGTTGATGTGACGTTAAACCCAACCAAAAAAAAATCCCTCATGTTTTTTAAATTGATGAGAAATTAGTTTTAAATCTTTCAGTAAACCACAAAAACATTTCTTGTCATTTGTTTGTTCTTTGCATTAAATTTTATGTAAGTACATACATTGTAATTATTACTATTTGATAAAATATTTTAGAAATATGATATAAAGTCTTACTCCCAGCATGCCCACTCAATTTTAAATGTAGGGGTACATGTACCCCCTGTCATTGAAAATTGGGGGTACATTTCAAAATCTGGGGGTACACATAAGTTTAAACATGTTTTTGTTTGTAAGAACATTTTATATAAATGTAGTATAATATAGTATAATTATTGTTTTGTTTTGTTAATATTTTTCATGAAATTATTTCATTTTAATTCATCAACACATGGAAATCGGTTTTTTTTTTCACTTTTATATACCAAATCAAATTTTATTCTGGTTAAATAAGTCCACTCTATAGACAAAAAGTTTATATTTGTAAAAAAAAACGTAAATGTATATAGGCAGCGTTTAGCGGAATGAATAGGAAAATCGTGTACAGCTTCACACAGTGTGTTAAGAGATTCATCCGATCGACAATTATTTTAGCAAATATCTTCAAAATGGGGGCAAATTGAAGATCGATATTTAAAGATTTAATGCTGATTTAATAATAAAGGAACAATTCATTCTCATGTTTGGCTTGGAAACTGAGAATTTTTGCGAAATTTTAGGGTTTCTGAAATTCCGGCGAACGTGAAATCGCCGATGTTCGGGATCAATTTTTGGATCAAAGAAAAGCGTACGTGTATTTTGGTTAGTTAATTGTCCTGGCATTTCGGCACAATATGTTAAATTATTAAAACTCTTATAGAACGTTTTTGCAAGAATGAAACGAAAGCATAATTTTGCTTAGAAAGTGCCGAAAATTTCGAGAATAATTCAAAATTACACTCATTTGTAATTTGAGAAAACACTCTTTAAACTTGCGGCGTAAATAGTCAATATTCTTATCCTTTTGTCGGTAAAATTTGCTAATTTCCAATCAACTGTTGATCAAAGATGTTAAATTATCACCTCGTGTTATATCTGGTAATTACATGTACAGCACGTGTATACATTAGTCTGATCTCTATTGCGTGATAATGATTGAAAATGTTATCGCTGATTGGCTAATCGCTTCACGGGTCGATGTGCATAGGACCGCCTACCTATAGACTGACACGCGCTGACGTATTTGTGTATTTGTGGTCGTTTGATGCGTCCCCAGGCAAAATTAAGCGTACATAGGCTATCCCAAACATTCATTCTGACGATTTTACTTTGCGTGCATGTACCCCCTGCTTACAATTTTTATGCGTGCATCTAGAATTTTGTGCGTGAATTACGCACTGTAGTGCGTGAATGGGCATGCTGACTCCTTAAACACTTGTTAAGTTTTATACAGGCTGCTATCAGTGATCAGGTAAAGACGCCTGCTTATACCCTTGATATAAAACAAGTCTGTAAGATCATGTGGGGTTTTTTTTTGCTAAATTTATGCTCAAGACTTATTGATTTTTATACCCCCGCACAACAAAGTTGTAAGGGGGGTATACTGGAATCAGCTTGTCCGTCCGGCTGTCCGTCCGAGCAAACATTTGATATTTATGAGCTTCATTCCGTAGTTAAATAAAGAACAAAAGCTCATAAAATTCAAATTAAGAGCTATTTTTTTGATTTTATGAGCTGATTTTGCTTATGGACTTTGGTCCAGGTGTAGTTTATGAGCTGATTTACCTCTTAAATATCAAAAGTTGGTACGGCCGTCCGGCTGTCCGTCGGTTTTTTCTTGTCCGCCCAATAACTTAAGATTCCTTTGACCCTTAGTCTTCATATTTGGCATGGAGGTTAGTCATGATTAGTAGATGACCCCTATTGATTTTGAGGTCACTAGGTCAAAGGTCAAGGTCACAGGGGCCTTGACTTCAAAAAGCTTGTCCGCCCAATAACGTAAGATTCCTTTGACCTACAGTCGTCATATTTGGCATGGAGGTTAGTCATGATAAGTAGATGACCCCTATTGATTTTGAGGTCACCAGGTCAAAGGTCAAGGTCACAGGGATTTTGACTTCAAAAAGTTTGTCTGCCCAATAACTTTAGATTCCTTTGACCAACAGTCTTCATATTTGGCATGGATGTTGATCATGATTAGTAGATGACCCCTATTGATTTTGAGGTCACTGGGTCAAAGGTCAAGGTCACAGGGGCCTTGACTTCAAAAAGCTTGTCCGCCCAATAACGTAAGATTCCTTTGACCTACAGTCGTCATATTTGGCATGGAGGTTAGTCATGATAAGTAGATGACCCCTATTGATTTTGAGGTCACCAGGTCAAAGGTCAAGGTCATAGGGACTTTGACTTCAAAAAGTTTGTCCACCCATTAACTTAAGATTCCTTTGACCCACAGTCTTCATATTTGGCATGGATGTTGATCATGACTATAAGGTGACCCCTATTGATTTTGAGGTCACTGGGTCACAGGGACCTTGACAAAAAAAAGCTTTTCTTGTCAATTGCTAAGAATGTCCTGTCCGCAATGTATTGATTTTGACATTTTCACATTTGAAGCATGTAGAATACATAACTTAGCAATGCACTGGCTTAGTAACCTCAGATTTGGCAGGGAGGTTGTCCTTGAGCTCTAAATGGCCACTGTTGATTCTGACAAAGTGGTATGCGGGGGTATTCACGCCATGATAGTGGCAGTTCTAGTTGATGTATTTATTTTTTATAAATATATAAGATTCTTTATCTGTTTTGTTTATTAGCTTGGTGGTGGAGACCAGAGTCTAAGTGCTAAGGATAGTGTTGGACTTCACCCGAGAGATATAGATGCCTTCTGGCTACAGAGAAACCTGAGTAAATATTACCCAGATGATCCAACCATGGCACAGTCAAAATCTAAAGAAGTTCTACAAATTCTCCAGGTATATTTGCTTTATATCAAATTAAGGAGTTTATTTTATTTTTTTTTCAGAACTATTTGATAAATACTTGTGTAATGCAAATTCGTTTATGGTTGCAACTGTTTAGTGATTTTATGGTTACAATGTTGACTCTTTGCATATGGAAAATTTTCAATTTTATTGATTGCATCAAGAGGATATTCTCACAGCCTAATAGCACATATATATGCAATTCTTTTTGTTCCCAGATTTAAAAAGGTCTGTTTCATCAAATACCATAACATTATTATATAGCTAAAGCAGTATGATGTATATATATATATATTTAATATTTTATCTTTGTCTAAACCTGTGCTTTAACCTATTTCACTCATCACCAATGGTCTAAGTCTACCTGTGTTTTAACATATTACAGGCATCTGGTGATGACAGGGAGGCAGAAAATCAGTTGGTCATGTTACTGGGAGTTGATGCATTTGCTTTTATCAAAGTTTTGAGGCAGTACAGGCAGATGAGTAAGTTTAAAGTCATGACAGAAATTCACTTTATATCATACTATATAGATTGAGAATTTTCATATTTTGCCGAAACTTTTTGATGGGAATGTATAGTACACTGATTATCTGATAAAGGTAGGATTAAAGACTTCTTGTATAACTGTATTCAATAGAAATCTCTGATGCTGTGGGTTTTCTCACTTAATTGGGAAGAGGCCTTAGTTTCTTGATTTTGGGAAAAATTATTGCTAATATTGCTAATTTGGGAAGTAAAAAAGCTGGTGTAAGTTCAGATTTTTAGGAAAACTACCTGATTTTAAATAAAATTTCAATTGGGAAAAGGCATTTTATAGGCCTCTGGTATATACAGTGAAAAATCACTGTGATTTACCGTAATTAGAAAAAATTCAGTAAGCATTGAACACACAAACAATATTATGAAGATAAAGACACGCCTTTTTAAACTTATATAGCTGACACATTTCTGAGGGAGACATTTAAATCAAGCACTTATTGACTTACTGATTATTTTTCAGTCCTATACTGTACACTACTGGCTCTGTTTTTTTCAGTCCTATACTGTACACTACTGGCTCAAGCCCAGAATGAGAAAGAGAAAGTTGACATAGAGGAGAAGATGGAGAGTGAACCAGAACTGTTGAAGATTTTACAGGCTCTACAAGCTATAGATAAAGAAGATATCGTATCTGAAGAGAGGTCACGTCGAGATCAGGCAAGGAAAAGCCGTGTCGCAGCCGATATTGAGGCGATGGATACAGATGATACACAGGTAATGTTCTGGTCATCTAAGTTTTTGTATGCCATTCAGACAAGCTTGGAAGATGGTGTCTGAACTTTACTGTAGGATGTTCAAGTCTCTGTCAAGGCATATGTTTTCAGAGATTTTCTTTTTCGATACTGTGTTTAAAGCTATTTTAAATATCCTCGAGTGACCAGTTTCGACGCCCATAAGGATTGTTTTGTATGCATCTATAAAAACCATGTGATTGTATTGTATAAAATGTTTTAACTTTTTAAATATTCTCTAACCTTAATGAAATGGGTAAATTTAAGCTGTTTTCCAGCTATTCCTTTTCATGAACAATCCTACTTTCACTTCATCCGGGAGCAGCCATTTTGATTGAGAGTGCCCTAAAACGACGCTATTGATTGGCTAATTTAATTACACACTACAGGAGACTGTACACCATAATACTTTTACTTACGTTGTTCACCAATATCAAGAGCATAGACCTGCAAAGTATCAACAAGTGAAAAATAGTTTATCTAGTCTTTATTTCTTTCATAAATAAAGCATAATTATATATGGTAAATGCTTTTGTTGTATTTTTACAGTGGTTTGGATGGTTGCCCTAGTCTGTTTGACCTCCTCTGCTGAATAATATAGGTTGGAAAATAGCACCTTTACTTCCTTTATTGAACCTGCAAAAACAAAATAATACTAGTAGAGCAACTATTTAAAATATGGCAATTCATTTTATCCAAATAAGATAAACATATCCAATTAATTTTCAATTAACATTCATTCATTGATTAATAACCGTAAAAAATATACAACACGTACAGGTTGCTTTAGGGTGAAAAAATGCGCCCAAAACAACACTATTGGGTAATTTATCTGCCACGTGACCTGAGAATAAGGAAATGAGGTCAGCAGACAGGGGGGTATTTTCCAGCCATTTTTTTCAAGGAAAACATGACATAGTAAAGTGAGGGTCAAAATTGCATCAGTGAAATCATACAAAAATCTCTTAAATAAGGTATAACATGCTAAATCTTTGGGTGTATAACTTACTACATATTGTTACCTGACAAACTAGAGGAATCCCCTTTTGCTATAGCGTAGTACAGTAATGACGTTAGCGGCTGCTTATACCAATGATGAGGCAAAATATAAATGGCGTCGAAATAGGGCAGCGTAAAAACGGGTCACTCGACGATAATTCAGTATTGTTTTGAAGAGATTTGGTCTTCAGCCAAGAGTGGGTAGTAAAATGCTAGAACAGGGGACAGTATTCTTTTATAATTGCTCACCAGTAAATACTAGAAAAAAAAATGTTGAAATTAAATTAAATTAGTTAAATGCATTTATATAACTGAAAATTTTATGAACAGAACATGAACAAACAAAAAAATTGGAATTATTTTCTACACAGGAGCTTGGGTATGTCAGCAATCTTGATCTTGAGGACTTGTCGTTCACTCATGGCAGTCATTTGATGGCCAACAAGAAGTGTCAGCTACCTGATGGATCATTTAGAAAACAGAGGAAAGGGTATGAGGAGGTACATGTTCCTGCTCTAAAACCACAACCATTTGACTCGGACGAGGTAATGTTGTTTTTTGACAGGAAAATTGAGGTTGTAAAAGCAACACTGTACTTTGAAAGAATCTTTAACAGTTAGATTAAAGGAACTCCACTGAGGTCTAAATGCCCAAAAGCATGAAATTTGAATTTCTTACATAGATCAGCTGGAGTGCTTTAAACAGAAAAATATGATAAAGATAAGTAAGAAATTTTCTCAGAAATAAATTTAAAGTCGGTTTTTTTGTGCTATTCTTGCCCTGATTGGAGTGAAAAGTACTATTTGCAACACTTTTTAGTCCCCTACCGGTTTACCGGAGGGGACTTTAGGTTTACCCTCCGTCCGTCTGTCTGTCTGTCCGTCAGTCCGTCTGTCCGTCAGTCCGTCGGTCCACAAAACTGGATCCCGCGATAACGCAAAAAGTACTGAAAATATTTTAATGAAACTTGATATATGGATAGATGGCAGTATGGAGATTATGCACGTCTTTTTCTTTTCTTCCTATCTTGAAAATTCTGGTTGCTATGGCAACAAATAGACTGAAAATATGGCAAATTTTACACATAACCTGGATCCCGCGATAATGCAAAAAGTACTGAAAATATTTTTATGAAACTTGATATATGGATAGATGGCAGTATGGAGATTATGCACATCTTTTTCTTTTCTTCCTATGTTGAAAATTCTGGTTGCTATGGCAACAAATAGACTGAAAATATGGCAAATTTTACACATAACCTGGATCCAGTGATAACACAAAAAGTACTGAAAATATGTTTATGAAACTTGACATATGGGTAGATGGCAGTATGGAAATTATGCACATCCTTCTCTTATCTTCCTATGTTGAAAATTTTGGTTGCTATGGCAACAAATAGACTGAATTTTAAGATTTCTGATTCTAGTTTTTAAGTTTTTTCACTATAAGTTCTTTATTTCTTAAGGTATTTTCTTCAAACTTTAAATATAAGTTGCTTGTCATCAACCACATCATATGTGACAAGGTTTACAACTCTAGCACAAAATTTATCAGAATTACCTCCCTTGAACTTAAAATTTTCATGAAAAAAACATTGTTTTTTTTAATAACTTCTTTTTTTGAATGTATCTACTTCAAACTTCATATAAATGTTTCTTATTATCACTCAACATTTGTGAGTGTTCAATACTCTAGCAAGACTATTTCCAGAATTATGCCCCTTTTGAACTTAGCCTTTTTTTTTGAGAAATTGGTAATTTTTACTCCAACTTCTTCAATCATGATAGGATTTTAAAAATGTTATATTTTGATAACAGGGATGTTTAAAAAATAACTTTAGAGTGTCCTTCAGTCTGTCTGTCTGTACATAAAAACTGTTTCCTGTGATTACTTTTAAATAACTTTTTTAACAAATTTACTTAAAATAGGAACATAAGTGAATGGCCAATGCCCTTCAGAATGTTGCTTGGGCTCTTACCGGTTGGGGACTTATGGATTGCTTGCAATACTATGATAATTGCTTGTTTATTATGTCTCCCCCACCTCGGGGGGAGACATATTGTTTTTGCCCTGTCCGTCCGTCCGTCCGTCAGTCCGTCCGTCCGTCAGTCCGTCCGTCCGTCCGTCCATTCTTCGTTTCCGGACGATAACTAGAGTTCCTTTTGACCTACAGCCCTCAAACTTCATAGGATGATTGGTCTTATAGAGCTGATGATCCCTATTGTTTTTGGGGTCAGTAGGTCAAAGGTCAAGGTCACACTGACCGTTGGTCAATTTCTCGTTTCCGGATGATAACTAGAGTTCCTTTAGACCTACAGACCTCAAACTTCATAGGATGGTTGGTCTTATTGAGCAGATGATCCCTATTGTTTTTGGGGTCAGTAGTTCAAAGGTCAAGGTCACAGTGACCGTTGGTCAATTTCTCGTTTCCGGATGATAACTAGAGTTCCTTTTGACCTACAGCCCTCAAACTTCATAGGATGATTGGTCTTATAGAGCTGATGATCCCTATTGTTTTTGGGGTCAGTAGGTCAAAGGTCAAGGTCACAGTGACCGTTGGTCAATTTCTCGTTTCCGGATGATAACTAGAGTTCCTTTTGACCTACAGCCCTCAAACTTCATAGGATGATTGGTCTTATAGAGCTGATGATCCCTATTGTTTTTGGGTCAGTAGGTCAAAGGTCAAGGTCACACTGACCGTTGGTCAATTTCTCGTTTCCGGATGATAACTAGAGTTCCTTTAGACCTACAGACCTCAAACTTCATAGGATGATTGGTCTTATTGAGCAGATGATCCCTATTGTTTTTGGGGTCAGTAGTTCAAAGGTCAAGGTCACAGTGACCGTTGGTCAATTTCTCGTTTCCGGATGATAACTAGAGTTCCTTTTGACCTACAGCCCTCAAACTTCATAGGATGATTGGTCTTATAGAGCAGATGATCCCTATTGTTTTTGGGGTCAGTAGGTCAAAGGTCAAGGTCACAGTGACCGTTGGTCAATTTCTCGTTTCCGGATGATAACTAGAGTTCCTTTTGACCTACAGCCCTCAAACTTCATAGGATGATTGGTCTTATAGAGCAGATGATCCCTATTGTTTTTGGGGTCAGTAGGTCAAGGTCACAGTGCAGTGGGGGAGACATGCGCTTTTTTACAAAAGCATCCTCTAGTTCTGTTTTATTATTCTCACAATTATTATTATTTTATAGATAGATCTGTGTGGTTTTATAGTAGTAGCAACAAGAGAGCTAAAGCTGATATGTCCCTTGTTAGTCCCCTACCGGTTTACCGGAGGGGACTTTAGGTTTACCCTCCGTCCGTCTGTCTGTCCGTCCGTTAGTCCGTCCGTCCGTCTGTCTGTCCGTCAGTCCGTCCGTCCACAAAACTGGATCCCGCGATAACACAAAAAGTACTGAAAATATTTTAATGAAACTTGATATATGGATAGATGGCAGTATGGAGATTATGCACGTCTTTTTCTTTTCTTCCTATGTTGAAAATTCTGGTTGCTATGGCAACAAATAGACTGAAAATATGGCAAATTTTACACATAACCTGGATCCCGCAATAATGCAAAAAGTACTGAAAATATTTTTATGAAACTTGATATATGGATAGATGGCAGTATGGAGATTATGCACGTCTTTTTCTTTTCTTCCTATGTTGAAAATTCTGGTTGCTATGGCAACAAATAGACTGAAAATATGGCAAATGTTACACATAACCTGGATCCAGTGATAACATAAAAAGTACTGAAAATATGTTTATGAAACTTGACATATGGGTATATGGCAGTATGGAAATTATGCACATTTTTTTCTTATCTTCTTATGTTGAAAATTCTGGTTGCTATGGCAACAAATAGACTGAATTTCAAGATATCAGATTCTAGTTTTTAAGTTTTTTCACTATAAGTTCTTTATTTCTTAAGGTATTTTCTTCAAACTTTAAATATAAGTTGCTTGTAATCAACCACATCATATGTGACAAGGTTTACAACTCTAGCACAAAATTTATCAGAATTACCTCCCTTGAACTTAAAATTTTCATGTAAAAACATTTTTTTTTTTTTAATAACTTCTTTTTCTGAATGTATCTACTTCAAACTTCATATAAATGTTTCTTATTATCACTCAACATTTGTGAGTGTTCAATACTCTAGCAAGACTATTTCCAGAATTATGCCCCTTTTGAACTTTTTTTTTGAGAAATTGGTAATTTTTACTCCAACTTCTTCAATCATGATAGGATTTTAAAAATGTTATATTTTGATAACAGGGATGTTTAAAAAATAACTTTAGAGTGTCCTCTAGTCCGTCTGTCTGTACATAAAAACTGTTTCCTGTGATCACTTTTAAAGAACTTTTTCAACAAATTTACTTAAAATAGGAACATAAGTGAATGGCCAATGGCCCTTCAGAATGTTGCTTGGGCTCTTACCGGTAGGGGACTTATGGATTGCTTGCTATACTATGATAATTGCTTGTTTTTTCAGTCGTTGGTGAATATAGACAGGCTACCAAAATATGCTCAGCCAGCTTTTGAAGGGTTCCAAACATTGAACAGAATACAGAGTCGCTTATTTAAAGCAGCTATGGAAACGGATCAAAATCTCCTTCTTTGTGCCCCAACAGTAAGTTTTCTTCTCTAAATTAATGATTGCAAGGGAAAAGAGCTACCTCTTCTTATTGTCAGAATTCAATTATACTGTATGATAATGAAAGAATTAACATGTCAGAATTTATTTCTTGCTGTTTTGAAATATAAAAATTAATAAGAATTGCCAATGAACTTGAACTATTTTTGATATCTTTGAAATGTAGATGTTCTTATAGATTCTTCACTGTCAGTAACATTTCCTGATACTTATTCTGTAAGAAGAGTCTGTAATAAATTTCTTCATGACTAACTGTTTAAATTCTGTTTGTGACATTAAATTATTTTCTAGTATGGAAGCTATTGATAAATTTTGTGATATTTCTGCAAACATGTGTTCTGTTTTTAAAATGAACATTGTTTATACTTGATGTGGTATTACTCTTTTATTTTGAACTTATTACTCTTAATTTTGAACTTGCATTGTTTATATTAAAATAGGGGAGCAGGTAAAACAAATGTGGCTTTGTTGACCATGTTACGAGAGATTGGTAAGCATGTGAATCCAGATGGTACAATCAACGGAGATGAGTTTAAGATAGTCTATGTGGCACCCATGAAATCACTTGTACAGGAAATGGTTGGCGGATTTGGAATGGTGTGTAGAACCTTTAAAATTGTTATTAATGTATACAAATTAAAGTTTAGCAGTATTACCATTAAATGATCAAATGCTGTTTCTAAAATTGTTAGTATAATTATAATAAATTGGTTTCATTCAGGTTTAATTAATATCAAAATTGATAAAATATTTTGCGAAGATTTGTATCTTGATCTATGACCAAGGGGCATCTGTGGCCGAGTTGTTAAGGTTAATGGCATCAGACCACTTGCCCCCATCACTGTTTGTTTGAATCTAGACAGAGACTTTGGATTCGTAAATGTGAGTAAGCTATCCAGCTAGCTTACAGAATGTTGGTGGTTCTACTCAGGTGCCAGTTTGTGCCTGAAATAATGCTCACAAGGAAACCTTTAGGTCTTCTTCCACCAGTATGGCTTTAAAGTCGCCATATGACATATACTGTGTTTATACTTGTTTTGTGTAAACAATTCAAACTAAATGCACCTTATCAGGTCAACAAACTGTTTGCTTATTAAGTGGCTGAAAACATTGTAACAGTTCTTTGTAGTTTTGGTTATTAAGCTACGGTTCAGGTACATTTGTTGGAAATTTGAATTTAGTCACTCGGGTTTGTTTGAAATAAGTGCTTGATTATTGATGAGTACAGAAATGAGTCTTTAAAGTAGTCCTGTATTGCATAATTATAATCATTTACATGCTGATAAAAAAGAATTCTTCCTGTTACAGAGATTGAAGTCATATGGTATTAAAGTAGAGGAGTTGACAGGTGATTCTCAAGTGACAAAGGAACAGATAAATGCCACTCAGATTATTGTTTGTACACCAGAGAAATGGGATATCATTACAAGAAAAGGAGGGGAGAGAACTTACACACAGCTTGTCAGACTTATGATCTTTGTAAGCTCTCTTATTTAACTTTCACTATTTGAAAAGCAGTTGTGGTTATTATGTAATAAATGTTGCCTTGTAAGTTTTGTATGTTTGTCTAATATTTTTTGTGTGACTAAGCAGTTCATTTGTCACAACTTTCATTTGAACTTGGTTAACATTTTGATTCATTTACTGTGTTATTTATATCATAACATCTGATAGGTAGAATATATCGGTTTGAATCGTGCATAAGGCACAATAGCTTATTTTAAGTCCCTCTCTTACAAAAGCCATTGCTGAAAAGCTATAAGCTTAAATATTTGATAATAGAGCATCTTGCCATTATGACAGTTATGTTACTATATGACATAAGCGGTGTTGGTGGGACATTAAATTTTACTTCCCTGACTAATACCGGCTAGTACAAATTTGCAACTATTTAGTGTGTCTAAAAAAATAGCAAAGAACATCATAAACTAAATTGAAATCTGGTATTAGTAAAACAAAGAACTTTTTTAAACCCTTGTATTGTTATTTCATATCATAACTTAAGAAATTATTTTGTATTTTAGGATGAGGTGCATTTATTGCACGATGAAAGAGGACCAGTTTTAGAATCTCTTGTTGCCAGGTAGGTTATCTAAAGAATATACAAAGGCTGTTAGCTCTTCTAGAAGTGCAATATGTCAGATTTTTATCTTAATCCTGGTATTTTCTCAAATAATGACATCACTGTGAAAAATGCCTTCTCATGTGACAAAAATGTAAGAAAAAAAGATATATGAAAACTGAAAAGAGAACAAAATCAGCTATTGGGTTTATTACCAGGTATCTGTCTATTTTAACCAATTCATAACAGTTCATAATGGTTGAAAGAACAGATATTGATTTGATTTTTTCATCTTTTATTACTTACTACGTACTTTATAAAATGGTCTCTTGTTTTTTCTTCTTTTTTGTTAAAGAAATATGGTCCTTTATGAAATTTAAAGTATACAGTATAGTAGTTACACTAATAATAATATAATTTGAAATATTTAAAACTAAAAAATTTACTTTCAGAACGATAAGAAACATTGAAACTACCCAAGAGGATGTCCGGCTTGTTGGCCTCAGTGCCACTCTGCCTAATTATGAAGACGTGGCCACATTTTTACGAGTCGAACCGTCCGAGGGCTTGTTCTTCTTTGACAACAGTTTCAGACCGGTACCGTTAGAGCAGCAGTTTATTGGTATAACTGAGAAGAAACCAGTGAAGAGATTTCAGATTATGAACGAGATTGTCTACGAGAAGGTTATGGAGCATGCTGGGAAAAATCAGGTAAACTAATAATTATTATTAATAAAAGATAACTGTGCTTAGTCAATGAGATATTTTGAGAAAAGCCAAATGTTGAGACATGTTTTACAGAATTTTTCTTCTGAAGGTATTAGATATTTATCAATGCCTAAAACTACCTTTGGAAAGAAGAGAATTATTTTCAGTTTAACTAATTCATGTTTTCATTCTTTTTCATTACTTATATTTTTTGTTCCTTGATACTAAATGATGCTCATTGATCAGAATTGACAACTCTGCAAAGTAATTTGTTATCTTACATACACTGAACATGTAAAAACAACAATATATTTCATTTAACGTAATAAATAACAAGAGCGATCAGTGATCACATGTGTCGCCTCATGATGGCCAATTTCATGTTGGGACAAGTTTTGTGACAGACAGACAGACGGACAGTGCACAACTAGACTTGGTACTGATCATTCCTGTAAAGTTTGGATAAAATTGCACCTGTACTTTATGAGGAGTAGTCCGGACAAGCTTTGAGTATCTGGCAACACACAGAAAAAACACCTTTTTATCAAAGGGCCATAACTCGGCCAAAAATCATTCACCCTGAAAACCCGTGCAATATGCGCAAAGGACTTGAGCTACAGATCAATCCTGTAAAGTTTCATTGAAATTGCATAAGTGGTATAAGAGAAGTAGTCAAGACAAACTTTGAAAATAAAAATTATTAAAGGGCCATAACTCTGACAAAAATCATTGAACCGGAAAATGCTAACAATATGCACAACTAGACTTGATACTGATCCTTCCTGTAAAGTTTGGATAAATTGCACCAGTAGTTTATGAAGAGTAGTCCGGACAAGTTTTTTCTGTATCTGGCAACACACAAAAAAACACCTTTTTATCAAAGGGCCATTACTCAGCCAAAAATCATTCAACCAGAAAACCCGTGCAATATGCGCAAGGACTTTAGCTACAGATCAATCCTGTAAAGTTTCATTGAAATTGAATTAGTGGTATAAGAGAAGTAGTCCGGACAAACTTTAAAAATAAAAATTATTAAAGGGCCATAACTCTGGCAAAAATCATTGAACAGGAAAATTCTGACAATATGCACAACAAGACTTGGTACTGATCATTCCTGTAAAGTTTGGATGAAATTGCACCAGTAGTTTATGAGGAATAGTCTGGACAAGTTTTGTGACGGACAGACAGATGACGGAGAAGTGATCCTTATATGTGGCCACTACTCCGTAAAAACCAAAATATTTTTTCTTAAACAAAAGGCACCTCTGCAGAGGCTATAGAATTAAACAACCTAATCATAATGTTAAGTATATTGATAGATAACATTCTAATTTTTCCAGGTTTTGGTATTTGTACATTCGAGGAAGGAAACAGGAAAGACAGCTCGTGCAATACGAGACATGTGCCTTGAGAAAGATACACTGGGTCTCTTCCTGAAGGAAGGGTCAATATCAACAGAAGTTTTACGTACAGAATCGGAACATGTAAAGAATTTGGAGCTGAAAGATCTACTACCATATGGCTTTGCTATACATCATGCTGGCATGAATAAGTATGTACTTAATGATACTGTAAAGTTACTGGAACCAGATTTATAGGAAATTTTTGTTTTATCAAAGATTTATACTTAGAATTAAAATGTGAAATACCCCTGTTCTGTCTGTTGAAAACTTTCAATTTGTCTGTTGAGATTACATAATTTGTCTGTTAAGGTTATTTTTGATAGTGAAGAATATTGAGACTGTTTAAAAAATCTGCTTGAGGAAAGTACTATGTTTGTCTGTGGAGAAAATTTGTCTCTGGAAATTACTCTGTTTGTTGAGATTACTCTGTCTGTTAGATATAGTGATAGATTGAATTAGAAGAAGCATATTGTGTACATGAAATGTTTGTATATACAGAGTTGATCGAGCCCTGGTAGAGGATTTGTTTACAGACAGACATATACAGGTATTGGTATCAACGTCAACCCTCGCCTGGGGTGTCAATCTACCCGCACATACTGTCATTATTAAAGGGACACAAATATACAGTCCAGAGAAGGGAAGATGGGTGGAGTTAAGTGCCCTTGATGTCATGCAGGTACTACTAGTTTTGATATGCCATTAGTGAATGATAAACACAATTTTATCCTTTCCAGGATGCTTTCCATAAATTTCTTCATTTTTTTCGTCTCCATTTATCCGTTTTTGTATGAAAGGCATATGATGAAAGATGTAAAATAAATGATTAAAGTTGCCCTTGATTATTACTAATTTAAAATACATGCACACATATATACACAATAAATAATTTGTAATAAATATGATACAGTTATTTACAATAACTGTCCGAGTTGTGTCCATATAATTAATTCTTAATAAAAAAATCGTATGATCTGTTTAAACAATGTTCAGCTGGTAAATCTACAATTGAAATTTAGCCTTTAAAAGGAAAAGGAAAACAGCAAAATGTAGATGCCTATAAGAAAGGGCTTCTGATTGTATGTTGAATGTTTCTGACTCAAAATGAGCATGTCATCTAGTTAGCAAACAGATCAGATGTATTTTTAGCTCACCTGTCACAAAGTGACAGGGTGAGCTTTTGTGATCGCTTTTCGTCCGGCGTCCGTCCGTCGTCCGTCCGTAAACTTTTGCTTTAAATGACATCTCCTCATAAACCACTGAGCCAATTTCATCCAAACTTCACAGGAATGTTCCTTTGGTGGTCACCTTTAAAAATTGTTCAAAGAATTTAATTCCATGCAGAACTCTGGTTGCCATGGCAACCGAAAGAAAAATCTTTAAATATCTTCTTTTAAACAACCCTTAGAGCTAGAGCTTAGATATTTGGCATGAAACATCTTCTAGTGAGTGTCTACCAAGTTTGTTCAAATAAAAGCCCTGGGGTCAAAATTGGCCCCGCCCCGGGGGGTCATTGATTTTCCCTATATGCATATAGTAAAAACTTAAAAAATCTTCTTTTAAAGAACCCAAAGAGCTAGAGCTAAGATATTTGGCATGAAACATCTTCTAGTGAGTGTCTACCAAGTTTGTTCAAATAAAAGCCCTGGGGTCAAAATTGGCCCCGCCCCGGGGGGTCATTGATTTTCCCTATATGCATATAGTAAAAACTTAAAAAATCTTCTTTTAAAGAACCGTAAGAGCTAGAGCTTAGATATTAAGCATGAAACATCTTCTAGTGAATGTCTACCAAGTTTGTTCAAATAAAAGCCCTGGGGTCGAAATTGGCCCCGCCCCAGGGGTCATAGATTTTCCCTATATGCATATAGTAAAAACTTAAAAAAATCTTCTTTTAAAGAACCCAAAGAGCTAGAGCTAAGATATTAAGCATGAAACATCTTCTAGTGAGTGTCTACCAAGTTTGTTCAAATAAAAGCCCTGGGGTCAAAAATTGGCCCGCCCTGGGGGGGTCATTGATTTTCCCTATATGCATATAGTAAAAACTTAAAAAATCCTCTTTTAAAGAACCATAAGAGCTAGAGCTTAGATATTTGACATGAAACATCTTCTAGTGAATGTCTACCAAGTTTGTTCAAATAAAAGCCCTGGGGTCAAAATTGACCCCGCCCCGGGGGGTCATTGATTTTCCCTATATGCATATAGTAAAAAGTTAAAAAATCTTCTTTTAAAGAACCCAAAGAGCTAGAGCTAAGATATTTAGCATGAAACATCTTCTAATGAGTGTCTACCAAGTTTGTTCAAATAAAAGCCCTGGGGTCAAAATTGGCCCCGCCCCAGGGGGGTCATTGATTTTCCCTATATGCATATAGTAAAAACTTAAAAAATCCTTCTTTTAAAGAACTCAATAAGCTAGAGCTAAGATATTTAGCATGAAACATGTTCTAATGGGTCTCTACCAAGTATGTTCAAATAAAAGCCCTGGGGTCAAAACTGGCCCTGTCCGGGGGGTGGGGTCATTGATTTTCCTTATATGTGTATAGCAAAAACTTAAAAATCTTCTTTGAAAAAACCCAAATAGCTAGAGTTTAGATATTAAGCATGAAACATCTTTAAGTAAATATCTACAAAGTTTGTTCAAATAAAAGCCCGGGGGTCAAAACTGGCCCTGCCCCAGGGGTGTCATTGTTTTTAACTATATGTGTATAGTAAAAACTTTAAAAATCTTCTTTTAAAAAACCCAATGAGCTAGAACTTAGATGTTTAGCATGAAACATCTTCTTATGGGTGTCAAGTCTGTTCAAATAAACAAATAAAAGCCCTTGGGTAAAAATTGGCCCAGGGGTGGGGGGCCTATATACAGGTGAGCGACCTCAGGGCCATCATGGCCCTCTTGTTTGATATGGTTGCTTGTGCTAGAAATAATATTTGAGCCGCGTCATGACAAAACATACATAGTGTGTTTGCAACCAGCATGGATCCAGACCGGCCTGCACATCGGCGCAGTCTGATCAGGATCCATGCTGTTTGCTTACCAACTCTATTACAAGTAGAGAAACTGATAGCGAACAGCATGGATCTTGATCAGACTGCGCGGATGTGCAGGCTGGTCTAGATCCATGCTGGTCGCAATCGCATAAAGTTGGTTTTGTCGTGACGCGGCTCAATTTTCAAGTCCTCCTCTTCCTGTATGACTTAAAAATCACCACATCTATGTGTTAACTGTAATTTTACCATGCCAAATAGTCATGAATGATTACTTGTAGAAATATGACTAGATCTGAGATGTATTATCTTGTATTTGTAGATGTTAGGACGTGCTGGACGACCTCAGTATGACACTAAAGGAGAAGGTATTATGTTGACCAATCACAGTGAGCTACAGTACTACTTGTCATTAATGAATCAACAGTTACCCATTGAAAGTCAGTTTATCGGCAAAATGGCTGATAACCTTAACGCGGAGGTGGTCCTCGGCACTGTACAGAATGTCAAAGAAGCAGTTGATTGGCTAGGTATGTCATGTGATATCTGACATATACTCATACTTATGTTAGATATCTATATTTAGTACTAATTATATAGAGTAGCTAAATATTGTTATTTTAAGTCAATTGTTATATTTCAAAAGAAGAATTTAAATGAAAGTTATGAAAAACATGTTCAGTCTGTTTTGTTACTTGATTAAAAGTTAGCTACAATTTTTTAATCGACATTACTAATGCACAGAATGTTTGTATGTCTTTCAAAACTTCATTTGAAAAACTTAAGGAACATTTGTCTGCTATGTTTTCAGGTTACACATACCTCTATATTAGAATGTTACGTCAGCCGACCTTGTACGGAGTTAGTCACGACCAGATCAAGGACGATCCATTGCTACATCAACGTCGTAAAGATCTGATTCATTCAGCAGCTTGTCTTCTTGATAAACACAACCTAGTCAAGTATGACAAGAAGACTGGCAGTTTCCAGGTAGATTTTAACTGTTGTTATATATATGACGAATCTTTTGTGTTGAAAATTTAAAGAAAAAGCAAACAAAAAAAGCATTTCTTAAAAATAGAGAAAAAAGACCTTTTGTAAAAGATGCCTATAACTAAGTTGATACTTGTTATTGGGAAAAATTATTTACCATGGCTGAAAAGTTACACTGACTGACATCAGTTGATTTTGGCCAAAAGCTTGAGGCTAAACTTTCATGAAGTTTTCCTCTATCAAAGAAAAGCTTAGAAGCTGTCTGATTACATTTACAGTAATGATGTGTCTTCTACCTGACAAAAAAATGTAAAAACAGGTTTTTTAGCTTGACTATTCAAAGAATAGAGAGAGCTATTGTACTCACCCAGGCATTGGAGTCACACTTATGTTAAGTTTTTGCATGCAAGTTGGTATCTTGAAACACTACAGTGACTACTGGAGGGAATGTGTTGAAACTTCACACATTTATTTGAGAGCATAAAAGGAGACCCACGGGTCCAAAGGGCCAAAATCCCCTCTAATATAGATAGTTTTGACAAAATTTAAAGGGCCCTTTTTTTTGAAAAAAAAATTTCTTTGTCCAGGCTCTTTTTCCCACTATCAAACACTGAAAAATAGTCGAGCACACCCTTTTGTTTAAATGACGTGAGGATATTACATTTTTGGTACCCTTTCACTTCATAAAATAAAAACTTTGGAAATTAACCCCTTAAGCCCATTGCAAAAAGGTTTATTTTTTTTTCTTTTAAAACCCAAGCAAAAAAAGAAATTATATGTATATTTTTTTAACGGGGTACAGATTTTGGACGTTTTTGGCCGAGCCCTTTTCCCCTTTAAACCACACGGGACAATAGCCAATAAAATCAGCTTTTGGGAAAACCTACCTTAGTGAAAATAAAACGGGTTGGGAGTGTTTTTCTCGTCATCAGAGTTTAAATATATCACAGTGAGAGAGGTAAGGGAGTGTACATATTAATCATATATAATTACCTTATGAAAATATGGTCGCTTGAAATTGAAGACATTAATCTGGATTGATTTCCTGAATTCAATAGATTTCCTGAATTCAATAAGATATCAAATAAAATATTAAAATAATTAAGTTTTAGTAGCCCACAGTTTAGAGTCTTACCTGACTACATAAATGACAGGCTGTGTGTCAAAAAAAGTAGACATGAAAAAGCCTGTAGATTTTAGAAATTCTTTTTTGTGATGTTTTGTTCAATAGAACACATTTCAGGTATAAAGTATATCTTAAGGGACATCAATGAGATATATATTGTATTGCATGAAAATTACTAAATTAATAGTTAAAAAAACACATCTGTGGCTAATTATTTTTTTTGTGGTTTCTGGCATCTATTTACATTGTGCAAATTTAAGTTTATGTGGAGATATTGCATTATTTCATGTTGCCTTCTGATCATGGTCTGCACTGTTTGCTATTCATTTAGGAAATGTGTAGAATTTTTCCTTAAATGGATGAATGGTTTTGTCCAGATTGAAAAAAATTGATAAGTCCAATAAAGATAATTTAGCGAGGAAAGGGTAAAAACAATGTGACCTGTTTTACAGGAAGAGAAGTTGGAACTTTTGAAGTTGCTGGAGAGAGTTCCTATTCCAATCAAAGAGAGCATTGAAGAACCAAGTGCTAAAGTCAATGTACTGTTACAGGCTTATATCTCACAGTTAAAGGTAAAGTATATAGACTTATATCAATTACGAACACAATTGTTTTCCTACCACTTATTGAAACATGTGACCATGCCTGTAACTTTACTGTAAGGACTCAAACAGAGGTAAGCTACATAAAAATAAAAAAGATTTAAGATAATATTTACCTTCATTGTGAATTATCTGCCCTTAAATTCAAGCCAAAAAAGTTCTATTCAGGGACAGATTAAGCAAAGAAAGTCCAATTCAGGGGCAGATAACTCAAAATTAAGAACAGTAACCCTCAAATTGTTTTTGCTGAAATTTGTTTTGTCATTATACTCTAACATCATGCAAAGTTGAAAGAAATTGGATGGCACAGTTTTAATTATGCTTATATGTCTATATGAAAACCCCCTGAATACGTCTTTAAAGATTTTTTGTTACCAACTATAGAATAACAGTCATATATAGTGTTAATTTATTAATGGAAGAATTATATTTGATACCTTTTCTTACATTCTTTATTTTACATTATAGTTGGAAGGTTTTGCACTAATGGCAGACATGGTATATGTGACCCAGTCTGCTAGTCGGCTAATGCGAGCTGTGTTTGAGATTGTGTTACATAGAGGATGGGCGCAACTTACTGACAAGGCTCTAGCACTCTGTAAAATGGTTGATAAACGAATGTAAGTCTAGTAAATATCTATATTTTACTTTATTATTGTAGTACTGATTGAAAAAGTTACTTTTTTCTTGCTCAATTCTGTTAGATAATCTATATCCTACTGAATTTATGTCGTGGGCTTGACCTTCTTTAAAGTTTGTCCGTCTATTGCTAAGAGTAGGAATTTTGGTATCAAAATGCAAAAATTGAGATGAAGAGAAAATTGTAGACAAAAAGATTTTGTATTTATAAAGTATGAACTCTATTAGATGTAACAGAAGTTCATGTTGAAGCCCATTTTCATACATTTTAAAGTGATTCAAAAAATATAATTAAAAGTAACTTTGTGTTGATAACTATAGCTTTAGGATAACCCTTCTAAACAACCAATAAACGATTGTTTTATGTAGTGGAATTTAATTAAATTAGAATAAACAGATAAATGTATGTAGGTTATTTGAGTTTAAACTGTTGATAACTGTAGCTTTTTCTCTAAATATTTTACATTGGTGGTGATACAAAAAAATATAATCACAAAAAGTAATAATTATACTCGGGCCTACTCATGTAATTTGATGAGCTGAGCCTATATTTATATTAAAGATACAATCTTTTTTTTGTTAACAGGTGGCAGTCAATGACCCCGTTACGGCAATTCAAGTTCAAGAAAGTTCACGAGAAAGAGGAAGTGGTGAAGAGAATCGAGAAGAAGAATTTACCGTTTGAGAGACTGTACGATCTGAATCATAACGAGATCGGTGAACTTATTAAGATGCCAAAGTTCGGCAAGAATGTTCACAAGTTTATTCATCAGTTCCCAAAACTTGAGCTTTCTGTGCATATTCTACCGATTACAAGGTTTGTATATATCATTATATGTTAATTTTCTTTATCAGATATATCCATATCCATTTTTGTATGCATTGATTAAACTATCCATTCATTGATTTTCTATGTGTTTAAAATTTTAAGTGATTGTAATATCAAATTACCCGTATTGAGCAGCTGACAACCAAAAGTCCGGTCAGAATGCATGGAATTAAGGCTGGCAATACTCGGTAGCATTAGCATATGTGTAAGGGACGAATTCCATTAAAATTGCACATTGAAAGTAATGTAGCTGTTATAGATAAGTAATACAGTTATTGCAGATGAACAGTGTAAATCATATTGTCAGTTATAGGGCTTTAAATATTAGTCCTCAAGCTTGGAATTTAAATCCTGTCAATGACATTGCAGGGTTTTTTTGGGGGGGCCTTTTGACTTGGATCATCTGTAGATTGTTGAATATGTATACGTGTTTGTGTTTCTTTTTCTGCTTGAAACCTTGTTGTTTTTTTGAACATCTTGGAACTTATTTATGTTGTTGCAGATGGGATATAGACTCCGAAATTCAAAAATACATGTAACTTGTTCTATTTTTAGATCAACATTGAGAGTAGAGTTGACTATAACACCAGATTTCCAATGGGATGAGAAGGTTCATGGTACGTCAGAGGCATTCTGGATCCTTGTGGAGGACGTGGACAGTGAAGTGATTCTGCATCATGAATACTTCCTTCTCAAAGAGTAGGGTTTTTTTTTTTCGCTCTTCAAAAATTGTCCATTTTAAAATAGAATTACACAAAAGAAATATTTCTTGACAATTGCCCTGTAAAAGCTGGAGTTTTACCTTAGTTTCTATACGTCCATTATACTCAACATTGCTGAATTCTTATATTTGAATCTGTTACTTTGTTAGCCATTTTTCTCAAAACTGAACTTTCTTTTGCTTAATAGATGTTAAGCAAATGTCGCTTTTCCAGGGTACGAATTAATTTTGACCTTAATGGCTTAACAATATACTATCATTTACAATAGAGTGATTAAGGTGTTGTCCTAATTCAATATATTTACCAAGTTGTAACAGTTAAAGTTTTTCTGCAGGCTTAGTTGGGAAAATTCCATATTTGCAGAGTTCTGTAATATCTCTATCATGAAACATTTTACAAAATAATTCATTTTTTGTGGCAAATGTTTATAGATTAAATTGTACTTTATAGTATCTGACTATTTTAAGTTACCTTTGTGGTACTTTTCATAGTTAAGGGGCATCCTTGGCCAAGTGATGAAGGTTGTTGTCTTCAAACCACATGCCCCTCACCGCTGTTGGTTTGAATCCCAACATAGACTTTGGATAGCTTCCTCTTTCATGTGAGGAAGCTATCCAGCTACCTTCCGGAATGTTGATGGTTCTACTCAGGTGCCTGTTCGTGCCTGTAATAATGCACCAAAGGTTTTTCTCCATCAGTAAAGCTTGAACGTCTCCATATGACCTAAACTGTGTCGGTGTGACTTAAAACCCAATCAATCAATAACTAGTTACCATGGTCTTCATGAAATGTTTGTGTATTAATGTTGCTGTAAATTGAAAATAAGTTTCCTTTCTTATATTTTACAGTAAGTTTGCACAGGATGAGCATTATGTGAAATTCTTTGTACCAGTGTTTGAGCCCCTGCCCCCTCAATACTTCATCAGAGTTGTGTCTGACAGGTGGATAGGTGAGTTAGATTGGTGTTTTTAGAAGAGTTTGTATTTGTATAAAGGGGAGCAGTTGCCTAGTGGTAAAGGTGTCTGCCTCTCAACCCAGGGATCATTGGTTTGACCCCTACTTGGGTCACGACCACGTTTCTTTATATGGCACAAGTACAGGTTGGTTCCAGGAAGCAGGACTTGAAAGTGATTAATATAAGTTGCAAGAAAATGTTTCGCAGTTTAGCTTAAAGTAATATATTTAAACTAAAATATATTTGGTATGTACAAACTAGTTTTCATTGAAAAACAGATAAAAAAAGGTTGTTTTACTGTAAAGTCTTTGAAAATGTTTCTGGTATGTTAAATTAGTGAGGAAAAAAACCTGATTTTGTGAAATATGTTGCCACTTATTAATTGACCTATGCATTACAGGTGGCAGAGACGTTGCTTGCCGGGTCTCATTCCGACACTTGATCTTACCAGAGAAGTATCCACCACCGACGGAGTTGCTGGACTTACAGCCACTGCCAGTGTCAGCTTTGAGAAACCCAAACTTTGAATCTCTCTACAGTGAGAAGTTTCCATTCTTCAACCCAATTCAGACGCAAGGTAGGTGGTATTGTGACTGTTAAATCTTTGCTTAAAATCATGTCAAAGAAGGAACACAGTCATATAGATGACTAATTGTCAGCTTTGTTATTTCTCATTTCATTAAAATTATAGTGCAAATAAAGTAGCTTTACTACTGTTTATGGTGTTGATGTTATTTCAAATATAACAAGAATTTATAGGACTGTACTAAAAGTAATGTCATCGGATTGTAGTAGTGGTTTCAGGTTTTAGCTGAAATTTATACTTGGACAATGTTAATGATATTGTAATTAAAAATGGGCATCCAGTGCATGGTCATTGACTTGAGCCCATTTGCCCATCACTGCTGTGGGTTCGATTCCTGTCCTGTCACGGACTTTGAATTCTTTCCTGTAAAGAAACTCACTAGTGAGCTTACAGAACATCGTTGGTTCTACTCGGGTGCCTGTTCATGCCTGAAATAATTAGGAAATTGGCACTTGAGGATTTTCTTCACCAGTAAAGCTGGAAAGTCGCCATATAGTATTTATAGTGACGGAACAGCATAAAATCCAATTGAAAATATATATATATATTCATTTACATTTCAGTTTTTAACGCCATTTACAACAGTGATGACAATGTGTTTGTTGGGGCACCAACAGGGAGTGGTAAAACAATTTGTGCAGAATTTGCTGTTCTTAGAATGTTCTCACAAAATGCAGATGGTAGATGTGTTTTTGTAACACCACTGGAACCCCTAGCCCAACAGGTAACATTCAACTGCTTTTCATACAGAGGTCACAAGAATTACCCAGACAGTCTTTATTGTTAAAAAATGATTTAGTTTACTTTTCACATGTTAAGGAGTTATCAGATTAGTTAACGGAAGGCCAATGGTTTTACCAAGGGGCTGGCTCATTCCTGAAATAATGCATGGAGGGCCGTCAGGGCTTCAACTTCCACCAGTGAAGTTGCCATATATCCTTTATGTTGTTGATATGACAAATATGAGGTTTGTGGTTGGTCTGTTTGTTTTATATACTTAGCATTTGACTGTTCATACAATTTCTAATAGTTGCTGATAAATTTACTAACTAAACTTATAAATGTACAAACTAAACTTACAGAATACAACTTGAAAAAATATCAGTCTTTATTCTTTTGACCCTCCTATTGTTATGTTAGTGCAAGTGACTTGCCCTGTTTAGAATTTAGAATAGTTCATAAATATTTCAAAAGGATTCAAGTAAAGAATATTAAAATATTAAGGTCCTAACAAAGTGAAAGTTGGATGATATAGACTTTATAAGCTGATAAACATAACTGTCTCAATATTGATGATGTTGTCTACAATTTCTGCGACTAGTTCTGTCAGTTTTAACGTGTTGATAAATTTTTGTTTTAGATGTACACAGATTGGTACAGTAAGTTTGGACTACAGCTTGGAAAGAAAGTGGTTGTTCTAACTGGAGAAACTGGCACTGATTTGAAACTACTTGCAAAGGTAAATTGTGTTGTACTAAATGATTTCTAGCACATTTTATTGAAGAATATTACTCCAGGGAATGTATTTGTTTCGTATTTAAGTAAGGAAAGTTTCATCACAATTTTCTTGTAACGGCATGTATTTGACTCATAAAAAACAGCTTCTGATGCAAGTGCTACAGGGTGAGAAAAATGTGCTGCCTGACCGGGACTTGAACCCAGGACCATTTACACATCTCCTCTTAAAATTATCACTTCAAATGATGGCCTGATAATATGTTATTAATCAATGTTGATTGTTTGATATTATTGTATGTAAAATTATCAGGATAATATTATTATCAGTACACCTAATAAATGTCATTTTTTCAGGGTAATATTATTATCAGTACACCTAATAAATGTCATATTTTCAGGGTAATATTATTATCAGTACACCTGAGAAATGGGACGTGTTGTCACGACGATGGAAACAGAGGAAGAATGTACAGAATATAAACTTATTTGTTGTAGATGAACTTCATCTGATTGGTGGAGATGTTGGGGTATGATTTTATTTTTAGATCACTAACCTATAATGTATAATATACAGTAAAAGAGCACAATGTGATAGCATTGATTGGAATGCCTGGTTATGATATACTCTAGTTGTTGGTATTGTTTGGACAAGGAAAACCATTTTGCAGTGGAATATTTTGTTTTGAAATTATAAGGGTAATGTTATATTACTTTTAAATTATTAGCATAGCCTAATATTGTAAATAGAGTAAACTTCTAATGACCATACATGCCATATTTTCAGTCAACAAGATAGGGTCATTTGAACTGAAAGTTAAATTTTGAGTAGAAATTTACTTTATGAATTTCAATCACAAAGAAATATGTGAAATCCATATTTTATGAATGTAGAGAAACTTTTTGAAAAACTTAATATTAATTATGATGTATATTTTTAGCCTGTACTGGAGGTTATTTGTTCCCGTATGAGATATATCTCATCGCAGTTAGAGCGGAACATTCGTATTGTTGCTCTAAGCTCCTCCCTGTCTAATGCGAAGGATGTATCACAGTGGCTGGGCGTGTCTACCACTGGATTCTTCAACTTTCACCCTAATGTGAGACCCGTACCACTAGAACTTCATATTCAGGTAATTGTGTTTTATCATGTCTTAGCTACAAAGTTCAAAAGCTGGTAACAAAAATTCAGACACTGATAACAAAATTCAGAAGTTGGTGATGAAATTCAAAAGTTGGTAATGAAATTCAAAAGTTGGTAATGAAATTCAAGAGCTGATAAAAAAAAATCAGAAGCTGATAAGTAATATGATGGCATTTATTTAATTCAAATATATAGATTTTCCACAGAACACTATTTAGAAATCCTTTTGTAGAATGTATCCTTTACCAAACGTGCAAATTCCCTGAACAACAACTTTACTGTTGTTTTTGGAAGTTGTAATATATTTGCATGTAATTATTTAGGAAGGAAATGTAATACTATATTCATCAATCCTTGTACAGTCCCTATTATAAAATGCTTCTTGCTGGAGACTGAAGATTTTAAAAAAAGGGGTATGTAAAGGGAGTGGATACATTGGGTTTCCCTTTGGGCCCAAGTCCCAAATTAAATGCCTTTATGTTTATTATTTTTAAAACAAATAATATTTTAGGTTGCCAAAATGCTTATAGGGCAACTTTGAATTTTTCACCTTTGGGAAAAACAAGTTAAAAAAGCAAAAGTGATTATGGGGGTAAGTTTCTTTCTCAAGGAAACATAGGCATGCCCCTGACTGGTTGAACCCACATATCTTGACTCATTTACCACTTGCCCATGCGGCCACTTTCTGGTAATTAAATACATGTAGGATAATAAACAAATTAATTTCTTTCAAATGTTCAAACATGTCACCTCTAATTTTGCTCTTACATTTACACAGGGTTTCAACATCAGTCATAACATGTCAAGAATTATAGCAATGGCCAAACCCACATACCAGGGGATACTTAGACACGCCCCCAAAAAACCAGTGATTGTGTTTGTCCCGTCCCGTAAGCAGACTCGTCTGACAGCTATAGATATTCTCACGTTTAGTGCTGCCGAAAATTCAGACTGAACGGAGACGCCAAGGAGTCGGTTCTTACATGTGGCCGAGGAAGATATTGCACCGTTTCTTGATAAAATATCAGATAAGGTTTGATATATTTTAATTAAAAATGTCTTGTTTTCCAGTTTTCTCAGTAACAGATGTTCATTTCTAGTTGTCTGTTTATAAAAGACAAAATTGAGAGGATTTTGTTTTTCTTTTTTTTTTCAAAAAAAGATATATTAAGTTCAGTGTTATGTCATTGTACTTTATGAGTTGTTTATTTTAACATGCAGCTTAAAGTTTCGAGTTTATATAATGAATATCATTGGAAAGAGATGTGTATATGTTTTTATTTTATTTTTCTTACAGGATGCAGAATTACGAAAAATTATGTTTGTATTTTGTATGTATATATATATATATGGTTCACAATGGTTTTTGTTTTATCTGTATATCCTTATGTATGTATGCAAATTACTAGTTTTGAAATGTTTTTCAATTCCTTCATTGTATAGACATTAAAAGAAACCCTCAGCAATGGAGTGGCATATCTGCACGAGGGTTTGAACGAGTTAGAACGTAAGGTCGTAGAGCAGCTGTTCTCTACTGGAGCTGTACAAGTACTTGTTGCGTCACGTAACCTGTCATGGGGAATGAACGTGTCAGCTCATCTGGTTATTATCATGGACACACAGTACTACGACGGTAAAACACACTCGTACGAGGATTATCCCGTACCAGATGTGCTGCAGATGATTGGTCGTGCAAACCGACCTCTCACCGATAATGAAGGTTAGTATACATGATTGTTATGTAAACTGACTTATCACAGAGAACAAACGTTAAAGGAACTCCACTTAGGTCCAAAAACTTAAAATTTGATTTTTCTTACATAGATCAGCTAGGCAGAAAGATATATAAAAGATGATTAAGAAATATAGTCAGAAATAAATGGAAAATCATATTTCTCAACGCTTTTAAATTTTTGGTCGCTTTTCATAATTAAAATAATTGTCCAGGAAAAACCCAGTGAGCAAATGATCTGAAATTTTGCTCACAAGTTATTGGTATAGACCTACATCAAATGGAACATTAATCTTGAAAAATTATTTTCAGTCCCCTCGTGTCAAAAAACCTCAGTGTAGTCCCTTTAGAATGAAAGAAGAGAAGATGTGATGTGATGTGAAAATCAATTGAACAACCATTGTCAACTTGCATCAAAAATGATTTTTGAAATTTCACATTTAATGTTAATCATGTTTTTATTGCGGCTAACATATTCCATGAATTTGAATGAACTTTTTCTTATCTTTATTTGAAATTTATCTTTCAGGGAAAGCTGTGATCTTATGTCAGAGTTCAAAGAAAGAGTTCTTCAAAAAATTCTTGTATGAACCATTACCAGTTGAGGTATGTCTTTTATAGATTATTGATGTTCTATATTGGCCCAAAGATAATTTTACTTTATTTATTTCAAAAAGATACAGATATAGATTCATGATCTGATGAACTAAGCTCTGATTATAAATGTACATGTATTTACTTCCTATTCAGTCATTGTTTAAAATATTGGGATACACTTTATTCATATCATATTCATAAACTATTTGGGTAACCATTTTACATAGAGTTATAAACTTATGATTTTAAGGTTAAAGGGAGTCATACACAGCACATTTTTTATATGATTGTGTGTAATTCCAGAGTCACTTGGATCACTGTCTACATGATCACTTCAGTGCAGAGATTGTTACAAAGACAATAGAGAACAAGCAGGATGCTGTAGATTATCTGACGTGGACGTTCCTGTACCGACGTATGACACAAAATCCCAACTATTACAATCTACAGGGCATGTCACATAGACACTTGTCTGATCATCTCTCTGAACTGGTAGAAAACACAATTACAGATCTAGAACAGTCTAAGGTATATATGCATGTAGTTTGTTTTTTGTTTGTTTTTTAATTTTAAGAAGACCGGTAGTTAAAAAATGTTGAACATTTCTTATGTTAATTTCCTGAAACTATCATCTTGTAGTATCAAATTAGCAAACATGATTAAGATTAGGGAAACTATCCAAAAGTGTTCTTATATCTCAATTTTGATGTGTATATTGTGAAATTGATGATTTTGTGGTTTAGTAATTTACATATTTGTTATATAAGAACTTCAAAATGTGTTAATTATATACTCATAAGACTTTCATACTTTTATGATCGCATTCTTGACCAGTAAAGCTGTAAAGTCGCCATTTGGCCTATACTGTGTTGGTGCAAAGTAAAACGCGTGGAAACATCACAATGTGAAACTTAATAATGTCTGGATGTCATAAAATTCAGCATCCCCCACCCCACAACACACACGCAAGTACACTCATAAATGTATATGTATATTTACAGTGTATTGGAGTTGAAGATGAAATGGATGTCTCACCACTTAATCTTGGAATGATTGCTGCTTACTACTACATTAACTATACAACCATAGGTACGTTCTATATACCACATCCCTTCAAATGTTTGAACTGTTTTTATCTCACAATTTATATAAGATGTAGGGTGTCTGTGACCATGTGTCCCTTTTTAGTCCCCTACCGGTTTAACCGGAGGGGACTTTAGGTTTACCCTCTGTCCGTCAGTCCGTCCGTCCGTCTGTCTGTCTGTCTGTCAGTCCGTCAGTCCGTCCGTCCACAAAACTGGATCCCGCGATAAAGCAAAAAGTACTGAAAATATTTTTATGAAACTTGATATATGGATAGATGGCAGTATGGAGATTATGCACGTCGTTTTTTTTTCTACCTATGTTGAAAATTCTGGTTGCTATGGCAACAAATAGTCTGAAAATATGGCAAATTTAACACATAAACTGGATCCAGTGATAACTTAAAAAGTACTGAAAATATTTTTATGAAACTTAAAATATGGGTAGATGGCAGTCTGGAGATTATGCACATCTTTTTCTTTTCTTCTTATGTTGAAAATTCTGGTTGCTATGGCAACAAATAGCCTGAATTTCAAGATTTCTGATTTAAATTTTTCACCCTTTTCACTATAAGTTCTTTATTTCTTAAGGTGTTTACTTCAAACTTTAAATATAAGTTTCTGGTCATCAACCACATCATATGTGACAAGGTTTACAACTCTAGCACAAAAATTATCAGTATTACCTCCCTTGAACTTAGAATTTTTATGGAAAAAAAAAGTTGTCTTTTTTAAATAACTTCTTTATTTCCTAATGTATCTACTTCAAACTTCATATATATGTTTCTTATTATCACTTAACATTTTTGAGAAGGTTAAATACTCTAGCAAGACTATTTCCAGAATTATGTCCCCTTTGAACTTAGATTTTTTTCGAGAAATTGGTATTTTTCACTCCACCTTCTTCATTCCTTATAGGATTACTTTAAAATCCCACATTGAAATAATATGACAAGGTTGTATAAACATAATTTCCTTACTAGGCAGGGAAACTTAACACATTACTGTGATATAGACAAACTTAGAACTCAAAAGATATAAGTTCATTCATGTCATTCATTCACTGGTAAAATTGAATGGCCAATGGCCCATCAGAATGTTGCTGGGGTTCTTACCGGTAGGGGACTTATGGATTGCTTGCAATACTATGATAATTGCTTGTTTTATATCACTTGCCCCTTACCAAAGTAGGTTAGAAATCTGGCTAGAGATTTTATATTGCTTCATATTTTTTCATCCAAGGACGCTTTATATGATTATTATTGACTTGGCTTTGTTATTTTATTATAAAACAATTTCTTGTGATATATTACAGAGTTATTCAGTATGTCGTTGAATGCGAAGACTAAAGTTAAAGGACTGATAGAGATAGTCTCAAATGCTGCGGAGTATGAGGAGATTCCTATAAGACATCACGAGGACTCGGTCCTGCGCCAGTTGGCGAGCAGACTCCCGAATAAACTGGCTAACCCGAAATATAATGATCCCCACGTGAAGACAAATCTGTTACTTCAGGCACATTTGTCTAGGATGCAGCTATCTGCGGAACTGCAGTCTGATACTGAGGAAATTCTGAGCAAGGTAATATTTAAGGATTTATTGTAGAAATTTTGTTACAAAATGTGCTGTATATTTTCTCAGTTTCTCATATACAAGTTACTGCCCATTTTGGCCAAGGCATGTAGAAATGTGTACTTTAAATATATTCACAGTCCTTATCTTTTATTATGTGGAAATGTGTAGTGAGAACATTGTTTTTGAAGTCATTGTTCAAGAAATTGTAATGATTTCACTCGGTAACTTTACACTGCCATCAATATGAATATGTATATTGTTTTCAAGAAATTTTCGTTCTAAGTAAATATTAAAGTTAAGTATTTTTACTGTCTGTTTATCTATGACAGATATGAGTTAATTTACCGTCTTCAAGTATAAATTGTCCACTAGTTTTGCACAATAAGGTTAGCATTGGATTTGTAATCCAGGGCTGCGTGTTCAGTCCTCACCCTCTGAGAAATTTTTCTGTGAAAATTGATCTCTGACATTTAACCTCAGGGGCACTTGTGGAGAAATTATAAATTAATGGTTAGTTATTGAAGAAAGTTGCTTAGGTTAATTGATTAATGAGATACATGTATGATTAAAGATTTGTAAAATTGGGGTAAAAACCAGAAGAAAAAAAAATCAAGTACATGTATACAGTAAATTAATTCTGTACTTTTCTCTCCATCAGGCTGTCCGGTTGATTCAAGCATGTGTGGACGTACTCAGCAGTAATGGTTGGTTGAGCCCAGCTCTGGCTGCTATGGAATTGGCTCAAATGGTCACACAAGCAATGTGGGCCAAGGATTCGTACTTGAAACAACTTCCTCACTTCTCAGCTGACATTATTAAGAAATGTCAAGAAGGTGTAAGTTGAGATTCATTAGCTATTTGTGCAATTTATATATTAAAATGTAAGATTTTTGTTTGTATTAAAGGTACATTTTTTTTACTTTTAAAATAGTACATTTTATTACTTGTAAAACACAGTATATTTATTCCTTGTGAAAAGTGCATTTTATTTTTAACTTTGGCACTGCTTTATATGTGAGAAGTATATTTAAATGGTTGAAATAATGTTTGGAATATAAATGAGGATTCAGTCAACTTGTAGATTGGTTCAGAACTTACCATCCTAGCTTAAAGTAGTGAAAGATATGCAGTGAAAGATATATGTTTGTATATTTAACAGAGTATTGAGACGATATTTGACATCATGGAGATGGAGGACGAGGACAGAAACAAGCTTCTACAGTTCACAGAGGCACAGATGGCCGACGTCGCCAAGTTCTGTAACAGATATCCAAACATAGAGATGACATATGAGGTGGCTGAGAAAGATAGTATTTCAAGGTATGTAGTTTTTGTCTGAAATTCTAGCCGTTTTCCAGCTGTTAGAGCGATATTTACTTCCAATCCTTTGTTCCTTACATCTGTTTTGGTTCAGATAGTATTACAAGGTAAATAGTTTTTGTCCATGATCCATGATTGTATGATCCATGTTATTTGAACTGACCCATGCAACCAGTGCAGATCAAGATAAGCTTACACATTCATGCTGTTTAATCATGATCTCTACCCTGTTTGCTATTTAGTCAGTACTTGTATTGAAATTTTATCTAGAAATGATGAGGTTTTTTTTTAACAGGTCAATTTAAGATATTTAGTCTGGTAAGAGTTAAGTAATGACCCTTGTTCTTGATAATGCCAAAGGTTGTCTTTTGATGGATCTTACACACTTTCATGTTATTTGTTTGTGATTAATTTGCTTTTTCCGGAGGGTTTCACAATATCTTTTTCCAGAAATTTATGTATATTTAACCCTTATTACTAAAATTAACTTAAAATCTTAAAGTTTGTTGTGTTTTTTAGCTACCTTGTCCAAAGTGACAGGGTGGGCTTTTGTTGATTCGCCCTTTGTCCGGGTCCTCCGGGTCGTCGTACCGTTCCTCGTTTTCCGGGTCGTCCGTCCGGTAAACTTTTACTTTTAAATGGAAATTCTCACATTAAAAACCACTTGGAGCCAAATTTTTCTCCAAACTTAAGGAATGTTCCTTTGGTGGTCACCTTTTAATTTGTCAAAGAATTTTTAATTCATGCGAAATCGGTTTTGCATGGCAAGAAAGAAACTAATTTTAAAAAACTTCTTTTTTAAAAAACCTAAAAAGAGCTAGAGCTTAGATATTTGGCATGAAACATCTTCTAGTGAGTGTCTACCAAGTTTGTTCAAATAAAAGCCCTGGGGTCAAAATTGGCCCCGCCCCGGGGGTCATTGATTTTCCCTATATGCATATAGTAAAAACTTAAAAAATCTCTTTTAAAGAACCCAAAGAGCTAGAGCTAAGATATTTAGCATGAAACATGTTCTAATGGGTGTCTACCAAGTTTGTTCAAATAAAAGCCCTGGGGTGAAAATTGGCCCCGCCCCGGGGTCATTGATTTTCCCTATATGCATATTAGTAAAAACTTAAAAAATCTTCTTTTAAAGAACTCAAAGAGCTAGAGCTTAATATATTTGGCATGAAACATCTTCTAGTGAGTGTCTACCAAGTTTGTTCAAATAAAAGCCCTGGGGTCAAAATTGGCCCCGCCCCGGGGGTCATTGATTTTCCCTATATGCATATAGTAAAAAACTTAAAAAATCTTCTTTTAAAGAACCCAAAGAGCTAGAGCTAAGATATTTAGCATGAAACATGTTCTAATGGGTGTCTACCAAGTTTGTTCAAATAAAAGCCCTAGGGTGAAAAATTGGCCCCGCCCCGGGGGTCATTGATTTTCCCTATATGCATATAGTAAAAACTTAAAAATCTTCTTTTAAAGAACTCAAAGAGCTAGAGCTTAGATATTTGGCATGAAACATCTTTCTAGTGTGTGTCTACCAAGTTTGTTCAAATAAAAGCCCTTGGGTCAAAATTGGCCCCGCCCCTGGGGTCATTGATTTTCCCTATATGCATATAGTAAAAACTTAAAAATCTTCTTTTAAAGAACCCAAAGAGCTAGAACTAAGATATTTAGCATGAAAACATGTTTCTAATGGGTGTCTACCAAGTTTGTTCAAATAAAAGCCCTGGGGTGAAAATTGGCCCCGCCCCGGGGGGTCATTGATTTTCCCTATATGCATATAGTAAAAACTTAAAAAATCTTCTTTTTAAAAAACTCAAAGAGCTATGGCCAAGATATTGAGCATTAAAAATGTTCTAATAGGTGTCTACCAAGTTTGTTCAAATACAAGCCCAGGGGTCAAAATTGGCCCCGCCCCGGGGGTCATTGATTTTTTATATGTGTTTAGCAAAAACTTTAAATCTTCTTTGAAAAAACCCAAATAGCTAGAGTTGAAATAAAATAAAAGCCCTGGGGTCAAAACTTGCCCGGCCCCAGGGGTGTCATTGTTTTTAACTATATGTGTATAGTAAAAACTTTAAAAAAATCTTCTTTTAAAAAGCCCAATGAGCTAGAGCTTAAATGTTTAGCATGAAACATCTTCTTATGGGTGTCTACCAAGTTTGTGCAAATAAAAGCCCTTGGGTTAAATTGGCTCTGCAATGGCATTGGGGGGGGGGGGCCTCATTTAAAGGGGGGGGACTCAGGGCCATTTTGGCCCCCTTGTTCTGTTTTCAGTGGGTTTCCCCAGGGGAATTTAAAGGGACAGGTAGTTAGAGAAAAATGGGGTTTCAGGACCTTTGGGGTTTTGCTCCGTTTTTTCCCCCCCGGTTTTTTAAAAAATGTACACATGGTCATTTTTCTCTTCCCCCTGCTGATTTGGAAATTTATGTTTGGGTTATACGGGTTCTTTAAAGAGAAAATTAAAAGGATTACTGGGTTTAATTTAAAACCCCGGAAAACCGGGATAGGTGGCCTTACAGCCGAAAAATCACCAACAATATATGAGCCACGTCACGACAAAACCAACATAGTGCGTTTGCGACCAGCATGGATCCAGACCAGCCTGTGCATCCGCGCAGTCTGATCAGGATCCATGCTGTTCGCCTAAAAACCCTATTATAAGTAGAGAAACTGAAAGCGAACAGCATGGATCCTGATCAGACTGCGCAGGCTGGTCTGGATCTATGCTGGTCGCAAACGCACTATGTTGGTTTTGTCATGATGCGGCTCAATTATTATTCTGTTGAAATTAGCATAATAAACAGACAAACAAACAAACTTTTTAACATCCAAGCTTAAGTCTTAAAATAGGTTTGTTGGATTTGAAAATTTCAAGTATTGAAAGGTATGTTTATTATTGGTGATCAAATTTGCTAATTTCTTATTGGCAAATCTAAATTGTATGTTATAACCTTATAAAGTGCATTGAACACTTTCATGTAAAGGAGATGTCACAATAGTTAATATAGGGAATGGTTCTACCAATATGTGCTTGATGACTTGATTTTCTGTCTTTAAAAACAAAAATTGTAAATGGTTGATACATGTTCTGCCTAATAAAGCCCATTTGTTAGAATAAACATTTTAGAGAGAAACTGCTTCCTGGAAAGTATCTTTATAGTATCAAACTATTGCTGGTTATTCAGAAAACATTGAAGGGATTATATTGCTTTTTGCATTGCATTTAGCTCAACTAAGGTGAATTCATTCATGGCTCTTGATTTTAAGCTTACTCCACCTGGTATTGTTGGTGGGACTTACCTGAATTATTTTGAAAATCTTGATCATAGATTGTGTCCACACCATGTACCCTGCGACCTTGCGTTGACTTATTACAAAGGATTTTAGGGATTTGGAGATTCACAATTTATAGTACCTGTATATTCAAACTCTTAAAGTCTCAAGTTAAAATTTTTAGTATTTTTGATTTTCTTTTTCAGAAACGTGAGGAAGGCTGGTGGGTAGTGATTGGTGACACGAAGAACAATTCCCTCCTGTCCATCAAGCGTTTGACATTGCAGCAAAAAGCCAAGGTCAAATTAGACTATGTGGCCCCAGCACCAGGAAAATACAATTACACATTGTTCTTCATGAGCGATGCCTACATGGGATGTGATCAGGAATACAAGTTTAGTATTGATGTCAGAGAAGGGGAGAGTAGCAGTGAAAGTGACAGTGATTAAATTCATTCACCATACAGTGACTAAATTCTTTATACAGTGACTTAATTATTCATACAGGAATTCAATTCATCATACAGTGACTAAATTCATCATGCAGTGACTAAATTCTTGATATAGTGACTTAATTCACTATACAGTGACTAAATTTACCATACAGTGACTAATTCATCATTCAGTTACTTAATTCACCATACAGTGACTAAATTCATCATACAGTGACTAAATTCACCAAACAGTGACTAAATTCTTCATACAGTGATTAAAACATTTGTACAGTTATTAAATTCATTGTAAAATGAAGTTTATTCATTATACAGGGACTAAATCCATTTTACAGTGACTAAATTCATTTTACAGTGACTAAATTCTTCATACAGTGACTGAATTCAATGTGCAGTGACTTTATTCTTTATACAGTGATTAAAACCATGTTACGGTTATCAAATTCATTGTAAAATTAGTTAAATAATAGTTAAATCATTGTTCAGTGACTAAATTCATGGTAAAGTTGAGTACATGTAAATCAAATGATGTAGTAAGTAAATTTATGATACAGTAATAAAACTCATCGTACTGTTAATAAATTCATTGTAAATGATGTAAAACAAGTTTGGGGGTCTTTTTAAAAGCGATCTGATGGGTTTGATATTGAGGGAAATGTAATGATTTTAGTTCATGATTGTATCGTTCAGAGAAAAAATTTGTTAGTATAAAGTGATTGAGATATGATCTATTTGTCATTGAGCAGGACTTTTATTATATGAAAAAATAAGTAAGCTCAGATTTTTAAATCATTGTATTTTTGAAAAAAACTCACTAAACTTTTTAAACTTTAAAATTTTTAAAGTCTTTTATTCACCTTATTAAGAAAAAAAGATTTTTTTGATACTGTAAAAATTTATAAAAAAATTTCCCCTTTTAATTTATTTCCTATTCTCAGGGGTCTTTTTTCAAAAATATTTTTTGTATGTTTTCTTTTCTTTTTTATTTTTAAAAAATCTAAAATTATTGCCTTCTCTTCTAATGTGCGATTTAAGAAAATGTTCAAGAATGAAAGAATAGGGTCATGGCAGAGTGGTTAAGTTTGTTGACTTCAAACCATTTTATCCTCACTGCTGTGGGTTCGAATACCAACAGGGACTTTGGATTCTTTCATTTGAGGAAATTTATCCAGCTGGGTTACAGAACGTTGGTGATTCTACTTGGGTGCCTGTTCCTGCTTGAAATAATGCACAGAAAGGCACCAGAGATCCTCTGCCACAAGTAAAGCTGGGACCTTTACCATGTTGGTGCGACGTAAAACCCAACAAAAATGAAGAACAAATGATATATTAAATTTTGTATTATACTAAAATTTCATTGAAAATATCATATCTGAATTTTGCTTATTGGTTTAAATTAAGATTGTTCATGTTTATATTTGCTTATCATGTTTTTCAAATTTAAATGATTATGTGGTGAAGTTAAAGACATTTGTTACTTTGTGATTAAAAAAATGAAAAAGAAGGTTTTTACTGGTGATTCTCTTGAAGATAATTATTTTCATTACGTACATTGTATGACTTGTTTTCTTATGTTGGCATAAAATTTTCATGATAAAACAGGTCATATCATTTTCCTGTATGTAAATATTTAATAAAAGAATGAGAAAAGAAAAAATATGTATTTGTTGTATTTGAATTGAGTGTAATATGCTGAACACACAACTACAAACTCGATTTTTAACTACAATATAATTGTTTCTATTGTATTGGAAAATGAAAAAAGAATAGCAATAACAAAGATGTCTGAAGTCAATGCCAAATATTTATGTTGTTTATTTCTTTTGAATATGATTAACTACATCAAAATCTAACAAAAACCTTGCTCTGTCAAATACAACACAGTTATTTTCAGTATTTTTTTTTTTGGTTACAACATTGTTCACAAATTACCATCTGTCATAAGGTTGTCCGGAATCATATTCACAAATCACAGTAAGGAGTTGCACACTGTGACAATCCATATAGTGGATAAATTTACACTAAACTTTTAAAGGAAACTCTTTCTAGTGAATTTTAATAATAAATTTTCTATTGACAGCCCCTTTTAGTGCTCGTTTTTTAGTCCAGTTTTTCTCATCTTCAGTTTATTTAAAAGTTTTTTACATGGTTTGAAATGGGGAAAGTTCATATCTAAATTTTCACATGTTTTTTTTGGCGCAAGTTTTGTTTTTCCAGTAGGGAAAATCAAACCCTACATAAAATAATATTTTGCCCTTAAAAAAGGGTCGAACTTTGCCCCTTTCTAATGTATTTAAAATAAAAGTCAGCCTTTTTAGAAGGGTTTCTTTTGGCCGACCCTTTAATTCAAATAGGAAAAATTAACTGAAATAATAAATAAAAAGTAATTTTGTGCGTTTTTTTTGATATTTATTTTCCCCCTAATTAAATTTTTGGCTTTTTCTGCTTTCGGGGGTTACCCAAACGGTTTAATCCTTACACGGTTTCCCACTTGATAAACTTAAATAATCAGAACTTCGTACAGGCAGCTGTATAGAATGCTTTCTTAAACGCTCTTTAACATCAGCCATTGTTGACTTCTCCTCTTTGATGTGTTTTTGTTCACCTCTCTTTACGTTTTCATCAGCTAATTCTAGTTCAATATCAACCTCCCCAGTTACATCGTCGTCCTCCACGTCTACGACTTTGACATCTTCGGTGTCTTCGTGAGCATGGTTATTATCGGATGTCTCCACGTCAGGATCTTTGTCAGTATTTGTTGTTTTAATAACAGGTATTGGCTGGGACGAAGAAGTTGGCCTAGAACGGACTTTGCGTGGTCGACGTGCTCTTTCTTTCGTGATGGCTTCGCGACGAGCTTCTAGTTCGTCATTCTTCTTCTGAACGTGTTTAGCAATACTGTCTGATATACCTAGAGTATAAATTTTGAAAAAGTAATAAGAAACTAACTATAAACTAACTCCCGACGTCACTATTATTTCTTCACCCATACATACACGCATGTGTCATTGTAACTGTTTTAATCAAATACATGTAAATTTTTAGTCCATATCATTCGTATACAATCTTTTTCAATTGAATGTTATGTATAACTTTGTATGGACAAATATGTGATATACTTAACATTTATATTATTTTGAACTACTTTTTCGTTACTTAGATATACAATCTTTAATTACTATTTATCAGATGATTCATTTTAATAAAATAAAAAAGATGTATAAATTTACGCTTGAAAGATGCATAGTCGGACATTTTCTCTGCCATAAGTTTCATAAGGCGTGTACGTATTCGCCACAAAGGTGTGTCTTCCATTCGTATCGCCCCTTCGCTTTGCTCCGCCTCTTTCATTCGTACAATCGCGTCACGATGCTGTTGTTGCGCAACCAAAAGCTCACTGAAAAAATACATACATATTCATATCTTGATTTTTTTTAATTTGTTCTTAAATTATTCAAATACATTTAACATTTAATAAATGACAAAAGATAAAGAATACAAAATAAAGCTTAAAACTTTATTCTAACATGCCAAAATGTCAGATAAATATGTAAAAAGAACACAAGCACGACTTTAGCATCCTATCGGCATTTGATTCTACCCATGCGACCAGTGCGCACCAAGACCATCTGTCACATCAGTTGGTACTTATTTTGAAAATTTCCCCTAAAATTAGGAATGATCGTGTCCAGACTGAAGTCCAGACAAGTCCATTTTAGATATTTAGCGTGAGAAGAGTTAAGCGATTTATTGTTTTTCCATATGAACATGATAACGTTTCCGGCTCATTAAAATACGTTTTAAATATATGCATTATAGACACCTACCTGAAATCAATCACTCCATCACCATTAATATCGAGTTTCTTTATCAAAATATCTATACAGTCATCGCTAAACGGAACGTTGGCAAGCTATAAGACAAAACATGAATTCTAATAGTCATATACAAATTGCTTAGCTGGTACATTTGTTAGTCAACACTCTATGGCAGCAGTCACCAACTCCTTTTTTGTTGTTGTTGTTGTTGTTTTTACAAATGTTACATGAAAATAAAGGATGAACTTAAAGTGTATTTATTATATTTTATAAGTCCAATATCTGTTGCCTGATTTCGCTTACCCAACGGACCATGAAATATTTCCCGACTCCAAAATTCACGCATATTTTAAAATCAGAAGAAAACCAGAATTCAGCATTGCTTACATTAGGGAAAGTATACCTACAACTCTTATGTTAATTTATGACTTCATGAAGTTATGTTAAGCAAAGTGTGTTGTATTATAAAAAAAAATTTGAAAATTTCTTTTAGCCAGACCTCAGTGATTTTCTTATGTCATAAAGAATTTTATCAACATAGGGAAACATTGGTTAGAAATCCTGTAGACAAATAATAATATCGGTAGCCAAATTATGAAATTTTAAGCAAATGACTAAACTGGCTTATCCATGCCAGGGTGAGCTCTAAAAGCTGGTTATCTCACCTTTAGACCTGATCTTATTTCATCTCGGTCGAGCGTCCGACTCCCATCTTTATCCAGTGACGAGAATAGGTCGACTAGACGAAATCCCATCAATTTACCAAACTCGATCAATACAAGTGCTGGGTGCTCCTCTATGAGTGACTTTTCCAGTTCCGGACCCTTTGACTTTAATTGACCTATCACCCGACCATGAATGACCTTCAACTCTCGCCCCTGTAGATGAACCTCGTTGATAAGAGCTAGAGCATTTTGGTCAACTTGCTGTATCTAAAAACAAAGATTTCTTATTCTTACATGACATCGGTACAATAAAAAGACGTGACATGTTGTCTGATCAATTGTGTGAGATAATGGTGTAAGTAAAAGTACATGTACATAAAGTTTTTTGTAATGTTATATATGTATACTGAAGAAGCATACATGTACTTATTTTTCATTTAAAAAAATAAGCGCATCTCTCAGCGTATATATGGGCATATGGCACTTTAATTTGTGTTTGGAACCGATGTAGGCTTACATTGTGTGTTTGAATCTTACCCCTACATCCAGAAGTTTAATTCCAGATATCGGATTATCAACAAGAAACTGCAACACATCATTTACCCCATCACTTGTCAACGGGTTAAACTTCAACTGGAAAAAGAAAAATGTTGTTTTTTTCTCTACAACAAATTATTCAATACCAAAACAAACGCATGTATTGCAAACTTTTGGTAATTAAAGAAGTTCCATTTTTTATACAAAATAGTTTTTAATGCATAAAACGATTAATGTTTTCACTTGCGACATAATATTAATTACTTGATATCTATTTGTATACTTTTCAACACCCATTTCTTGTTTACAAATGACATTTCTTGTTTACACATTGGTTGACTTGTTTTGGGCCTTCAATCTGATTTGAGGGAAGCGGATCACTATCCTCAGAAGGGCGAGTTTCAACATATTTTGGATAATTTTCCTCGTTACTTTTCATGTCAAATATCAAGTAAATACCAGTAATATATCAACACTTTTTTCTTTTTTTTAATACTACTAGTATACCTTCTTTAACTTACAATAAGGGTATGAACAGTTGAGTTCTTTGCTAGACCGTACGTAAGTTGTTCGATACATTCTCTATTGATCCTATTATTGGTAAGGTCAAGGACTTCTAAGGTGGTGTTGTACAACAAGCTTTTCTGTAGCGCTATACACCCCTCCAGGTAAAACCCGTTCCATCCCAATGTCAGCTTTTTCAGCGAGGTATTATCCTGAAATATAATATAATTAATATTAGATATCAAATAATTGACAAAACCTAATCCAAAAACTTACTTGTCCTACAATCAGTATCATGAAATTATTGCTTTAGTTTAATTTTGTGTGATTAAAGGCGTTTTTGCTCCACTCGTTTTTCCTTAAAAAAAAACATTGGGGAATTGTTTTTTTTCCCTCAAAACCTTTTCCTTTTTCCATTTGTATTTTACTATCTTTTTACCCTTAAAGTGCATGTCTCCAGGTAAGCAAAAATTTTTAAAAAACAAACTTTAGAAAAAAATTTTTTGGGGAACTGATTCAAAATAATAAATTTTCATGTTTGTTAAAAGACGTTTTTTATTTTTAAACCCTATTTTATGGTGACAAGTAAGGGCTTTTTTGATATTTTTTATATTTCTTTGAAAAACATGATTTTTAAAGGGTTTGCAATAAAAAATTACTTTCTCCCTTTTTCCTTTTCAAATATTTTAAACCTTTTCTAAATTTTTTTTTCTTCTAAGTTTTTTTTTTTGGTGTCCAAAAAGTTATATTGCTAAAAACCCGAACCATCTTTTTCACTGTTGTTTTTGGCAAAAAGTACAATATAATAGTATTTTTTTGGGAAAGTAAACATAATTTTTTTTACATTTTTCACTTTGGGGCAATTATTTTAAATTTTTTTTTTTTTTAGGTACAAGCTATAACATGCTCTTTTTCCCCTTATTTAAAAATAACATTTTTAAATAAACCTTTTCAAAAAGTAAAAAATTTTTTTTTTTTTGAGGCAATTGCCTTTTAAAACATTTTCAATTTGGTGAAACTGAAGGGATCTGTTTTACTTAAAATTTGTCATTCTCCCTTTTAATAAAATACAACTATTTGGCTTCCATTTCCCCCCCCCCCCTAGTCCCTGACGCTCGATGGTTCCAAATTTAGATCTAGTTCCTAGGGTGATTGTAACCAAAGGGTTCTCCCGCAGTAACCCCCTCTTCCCGGAGGAAGTTATAGCTGAGGTTTAAGTAACGTAAATTTCTCGTTTCCTGTGATAACAGATTTACAATTTAATGGATTTCTTCTTTGTTCGCTATTTCTACTCTTAATTGTAAATGGGACCGAGTGGTTAAGTGGCAGAATTTCTCACCGCTCTAAATCAAATCACGTCGTCTTCCGTGTTAGGAAGGTTATCAACAAGCCTTTGGGAGACCTATGGTTCTACTCAGATACCGAACAATGCACGAATGGGTCACATGATGCCTTCCTCAACAATCAACAAATATAGCCGGAAAACCGTCATATGTCTTATAGTATCAGTGTTACAAACAAAATGACAATACAGCAATACTTTGATAGTTTGGTAAGAAAGGTATTAATGAATATTTGAAACGAAATATCAATGTTTAAGAATTTAAGTAAAAGCAAAGATTATCTACTAAGACAACGGACTAGCGCACGTCACGATTTATTTATGCTATACAGGTGTTTAAGAACATGAATATTAAAGTCTGTAGTTCGTCACACGATTTGACTCAAATATTATGAACTGTAAATTTGCATAAAATAAGCAAAACTTTTGACAGATTAATCAAGAGAAAATCGGCAAATACCTCAAGGAGTTGTTTGAATAAAACAGCATCTTTGTCTTTGAAACCGTTGTCTGTAAAATAGAATAAACAGTGCTGGCAAATCTCAAAGGACATGTTACATGAAAAGATAGCAAACGCTGCACACAGAAAGAGGAAAGCTAACCTTACTCTAAAAACAGCGAAATAATTGGTACATTGTAATAAAGTACCGTCCGTTAACTCTAGGACCGGACTGTCACGTTAGATTCAAAGAATACTGGTTTGTTTAAGAAATATAAGTTCAATGTCAAATCTTAAAAGATATTGAAATATATCTTTTTCCCCCGAAGAACGCAGAGCGAATATAATATAATAAACCGATGTTAAAATACAATGAATTGTATTTTTCTTGGTTATAGAAGGGGATCTCCATCACCTAGTAAATAGTGAAATAATAATTGCAACTAAAAAAAGCTATGAGCAGCTAACTTACTTGAGAGATCTAGTTTCTGTACAATGTCATTTTCCATCAGTATGTTGACGATATACTTCACTCCTCGAGAACCAATATTGTTGTCCGAGAGAGACTGTTGTTAGAAAAAAAACACCTTATAAATGGTTAGTCCACATCGAAAAAGAAGTACGGATCGGAAGCTCTTTTTGTGCTTAAAAAAACCATATCACCAGCTTTGCCGCATATACCGCATATATTAATAGGGTGTTAACTAAAGGATTAATCTACTGGAACCACAAGTGATAGCCAATTTACTTCAATGTACTGCTAGGCCGGCCTGCAGAGTTGACCAAACGTTAATATAGCGTGGATTGAATACCGCTTTAGCCGGTGCACTTTTCATCAACTCTGATAAACAGACCTTTTTAAAAAAAAAAAAAATTATGCACTTTCCATTATTTGTTTTTATTTTCATTGCTCTGGAGTGATTTTTCCCTTTCCGCAAGCTTTAATCAGATTCTAGATTAAAACTGTAGCACCCGAGATAGACCGAAATCATGTTTCCTGTTTCGGCACCTTATGACTTAATTTGGGTAAGGGCGCGGTAAAACAAAATATAACAAAAATACAAACAAACAAAGAAACAGAAACAAATATATTTTGTTTTAAATCCTCAATAACATTGAGATTCAACACCTACCAGTTCTTTTATTTGTTTGTTCTCTTTCAGCATCATGGCCATGAACTTGGCACCTCTGTGACCGATGGCATTATCGTTCATGTTTACAACACGAACTGACCTTGTTTGCTGCAAGATACAAATAAAGTATAAAATTATCAAATAATATATGCTGCTAGAACAGACGTATCAAATGTCCGCGACAAAGCACACAGTCATGTTTTTACTGTGTAAGTCATAAAAATACGCGTGAATTTAAACAAGACAAAACCTAGAAAGATATTAATATTCTATTAATTAAATGTCATTCAATTATGTGTGGTTTCAAATAAAACAAATGCTTACAACTGCCTATATCTTCCTTAAAGTAAACATTAATGGCTAATCAAACGTAATTTTATATAAAGAGTATAACTTTTGCGCTTTATTAGTCAAGACGCATAATATTTTCTATGACACCGTTATTTGTCGCAACGACGCTTAATGTCGCACTTGCCGCCAAGTGTCGCAATATTACCACTGAATGTCGTAACCTCCACTAAATGTCTCAAAATATTTTGCCGGTAAATTTCGCAATGCCGGTAAATTTCGCAATGATGAATTTAAATGTCGCACCATTTTTCATTATCGTTAAATGTCACAACACTCCCGTTTAATGCTGCAATATCTAAATTCATGTTAAACAGCAGGTATTATGTCAAGGATTTGCTGTGATGTACAAAATGATTGGTTGATACTGAAATCATCTTTGTCGGTATTATAAATGGACGGCCACAAGTCATGCCAAAGACCCCCTTGGTTATAAAATACATAAGAATACATTATTGATTTAGCAAGACGTCGTGGATTTGAGCTACAAATTCAGCATAACACACCGAGAAGTTTATTCTAGAAAGATTGAATTAAAAATTCCATCTCAGATCAGATCAGTTTTTTATAACTTGTGTTGTTCTTTCACCTACGAGCATGTTGTGGCACCGTTACATGTCGTATCCGTCGCTAAATGTCGCAAAATCTTCTGCCGTTAAATGTCGCAATGATTGCGTTAAATGTCGCACGATTTTCTCTTGCCGTTAAATGTCGCAACACTATCGTTTAATGTCGCAAGATGAACAGGTTGTATATTCATCATAAAATTAAGTTAGCTAGTGGTAACGTTGAGTAAATGTCTGTACACATTCGGTTACTTTTGGACATAACGGACTGTCCCGAACCATCTGCCGACTCAAGATAGAAAATGCTTTTTCATGTGGTATGATATACAATGGTTACTTTTCAAAAAAAAAATTGATAAAAACAATGGGGATGTATCATTTAGATATTGTTACTAAATATTTCTTAAACTAAAATGTTATTCTAGTTATATCATTTATATGATGAGTTACTAATATTTTGTTCTAGAACATGTTATTGTCAACATCCACATGGCTTATGACCACACATGATACTTAATACTATATTTATGGTATTAAAATCCTTCAAATTAGGTATTTTATTTTATATCTAGTATTTAGAAGCTCCTCCCAATTAACATTTTATATCCGTATTTTGGTTTCTCCTAATTAGGCTTTTAAAACTTCTTATTATGAGTTACAATGTTTTATTAAGTTCATTTCTCCTAGTTATGAGTAGTTACATTTTGTATTAAGTTTCTTTATCATCTCTCCTATTTAGGAGAATCAAAGTTCTAACCAGATGTATTTTTAAATACAACAGGTTAACCCTTTACTTCATATAGACGTGTTTTAACGGCCTTTCGACCCCCCCCCCTTTTTTTTGAGACCTCAAACAGTGAAAAAGTACCCTATTTAGGCCCCAAACACTGTTTTTCGTTTGGGAAATGTTGCTAAAAAGTGATCACTTTTACCGCCCCTATCAAAAAGGTACATCAGGGCGTTGCTACATCGTATAAGGGGGATGTGCCCCCTTCTGTTTGGGGGGGGGGGGGTTGAAGGGGGACGGAAGTCCTCCTCATCGCCAAGAAAATTTTTAACTTGTGAGAGGCTAAAAATGACCCCATGTCAATCATAAGGTAATGTGTAACCAACGCTGAAAAGCCTTTGACTCTATCTCAATCCATTGAAAAGTTGCAGCCCTTTGAAATCAATTTTGATGGAAAAAAATCAACGCAAAATAGTGATTTTTGGCAATTTTGATATGTCCCCTCGTTGCCATGGTAACATGAAATTTAAGACTGAGCATTTTATTACAAAGGCAATGGTCTAGTCAACATTTGTGCCAAGTTTGGTTAGTATTGAATCATTTTTCATAGTTTCATAGCAGTTTGAACTTGTAACAGGAGGCTTTTTAATGAAAACGGCCAATTTTTCAGTTATCAAGTGAACTCCTGGCAAGTTATCATAAGAACTACATCCTCCGCGTAACAGTTCCTCCCCCGTGTAAATTTGTACAGACAATTTACTTAGTACTCAATATTTATTGTAATTTAATACCACTAGCTAACTCAATTTTATCATGGATATAGAAATCTTGCGCCATTAAACGCTAGTGACATTTAAGTTACGGCAAGGGAAATATTGCGACATTTTAACGTTATCATTTCGACATTTAACGGCCGATGTTTTGCGACATTTAGCCGCGGTAGCGACATTTAGCGGCATTGGTGCGTTATTTGACTGCGACTGCGACATTTAGCACCCTTGCGACATATAGCGGCATTTGACGTCAAGTGCTTCATGTAGCGGCGTTGCGACATGTAACGGCGCCACAAACACAAAGCAAAAAAAGATCAAACAATATTGGTATATGTCCTGTTCTTACCGATAAAGCGATTGCGCAGGCCTCTGCACCTTTAGGACCAATGTTCTGATGTGCAATGTCAACTACAACAGCGGGAAGTGCCTTTAAAAAGATCTTTGACGGCGTTATTAGAAAATCTGCACAACGTTTTAAGTACAGCTTTTGCGCCCGAGTACCCTTTTCTGATATTTCCGACACCACGTCTGACTCGACTGAAACAAAAAAGTGAAATAAAACAGTTATATGGGCAGATGTATTACAGTAAGTTTGTGCATGGTGGCATTTAAATGTTCATTTATATAACCTAAATTCAAATGATTTCCTAGTATATAATTTATGTTACAAATATAAATAACAATATGTTCACCCTAAACATTTAAACGGGTTTGGTTGAAAACGAAAGTACTGAAAGCATATTTTGTTTCCATTTGAATTTTGAATAATGGTGAATGATGAAATACTGTTTCATGTAAGAATAAAAACAATCAAGATAAAAAGATATCTGCTTCATATGATGACTTCATTTTACTGCAAAATTTTATTTGTATTCATTGAAGTCAATTGTATAGTACACTTTTCTTGATGTTACCAAACATATTAGCCTTTATCCCTAGTAAAGAAGCCAGACCAGCCTGCACATCCGCGCTTCCTGTCCAGGATTTATACTTTTGGCACTGTAACTTCATATTCTTATTTTGATATCCCCAAAAGTGATTAAAAAAAATGAAAAGAAGTACCCAAAATGGAAGCTGGAAAATTCCATTTAAGGAATTCAACGTGTTAAGGGTTAAGGTTTTGATAATTTAGTGTTGTTATTATCCTGTTTTAATCCAGCCGTGTTTATTTTTTTAGGAGGAAACTGTAGCATATATTGTATAACAACACAAACAGGAAATGACGTCATCTTACTTCCGGAGAATGGTCTATTGATATTGTAGGATTTTGTCAGTGTGACAATGCTTCCCGCGGCAGCCGACAGCGTTGGCTTCGATTGTATCATTCTGTACAAGTCAACCAAATCTGAAATCAAAAAGCTAAACTATATAACGTTTTAAATATATATCTTTAAAAGATTATAATAAAAATTAAAGATTATGTCAAAAATTATCAAGTGCATCTTGCTCTTATCTTTATGTATTAAAACAACGACAACAACAACCACCACCACAATACCAATAACAAAAAAAAAACACATATATGTCTGTTTTGAATATGAGGTTTGGAATGCATCAATGAATATGGTTTTTCTTTTAGAAACAATACCAGCAAAATAAGATTAAATAACAACAGCAATAACATCATCATCAACATCGTTGTCGTCGTCATCATCACCATCATCAATATCATCATCATTATCATCATCCTCCTCCTCCTCCTCCTCATCATCATCATCACCAACAACAACAACAACAACAACAACTTACCATCTTCCTCATCATCGAAGTCATTCCAATCTTGACTGCAGTCTGACGACGATGACGACGTGACGTCATCATGCACGGTTTTCAACTCTTCCATGGAGTGACGTTCACGATGAACCTTTGTCGTACTTATTCGATGTATTTTTGCACCAATACGAAACTTTGACGTCATACAGAACGCGTTCTCTTGTGTCTTACGGTTGATGAGATTCCAGATGTCAAACTTTAAATATAAAACATAATTCTAAAGTATTCTTATTAAGTTTTGATATCAAAATACAAATCTAAAAATCTGAAAAATGTATCATAAGACTCAATATAGAATCTAGTCTTTCAAAACAAGAAAGAGTAAGTCTATTTGCCGTAAATTTGAATCTTTTAATCCTCGGAAACTCAAGGGAGATAACAAGTGTCACATGTTAGAAGTAGTTTCTGGCCATTGAAACACATACATGTATAATGTTGAATATTTTAATCATTAAATTAAAAAAAAGAAGATATAATTATTTTTTTAACAATATGAACATTCAGCAAATCAATATGAAAAGTTATCAATTTGTGTTGTAAACCTTATTTGGTTTTGTAAAGTCAAACGCGTGAAACAGAATTATCCCAGATCTTTAATACTTTAAAGTGAATAAAAACGTTATTTTTAAGCCAATGAATAAAATACATTAATTTTACAACTGTACATGCCCCATGTGTACGTAATTATTTACATATTATAGTCTTTTTTGGATGGAAAACATATAGCAAGAAGTACCGCTTCGTAGCTATACCAATAACATAGCTTTACCCTTTTGTTTCCAGTTGACAGACAGGGACATAAAAACGTTACCGCATTTCAACTTTCTTACGATCGATGTAACCGGAAACCAGTAATAACCACTTAAACTTTGTTGCAATTTTTTATGTCAGTCTGAGATTCATATAAAAACAATTTGTTTATATTATCAAAAAAAAAAAGAAAAAAAAAAGCAAACTGATTCTTCTTTATACAATATGTAAAGCTCAATTTTACGGGACAGTTGATTTTTAATGCCTAGTATTTAAGACAATAATATTAATTTTAGTCGCGATACCTGTATTTTAAGTCAAACAGTGTCACCAATGAAACACTGTGCTTATTTAATATTTTTTTTTTCATGCTTTCTATTAAGTATAAGATTCTTACTTATATTTCTTTTTAAACACATGTATTTATTGTATAAAGAAATTGCATGAAACTATAAATTACAGACAATCTGACAGGGCATAGTTATCTATTTCAAAATTGAAGACAAAATCAATCAAAATGTAACAAAATATATGATTTTACCTCAACATGACCGTCCGTACATCTTTTCCCTGTCAAATATGCAGACGACGACGAAGACGCTGACATTATATTTCGCGACATATTAAAACTTTATATTCACAAAAACAACATATATAATTATGTAAATGTAAGAAAATCACAGCTATAATTGATAAGCTTTTAAAAACTAAAAAAATGCTTGCTCGTCAACGCGTTAAAATTAAATTATTTAAACTCTTAAAATAATCAACACTTACAAATGTTTACAAAAACGTGCAATATAATATCTAGGGCTATTGTCTTTATCATATTTTACTATTTATAAAGCGCAACTCTAACAAAGCAAGTAATTAATAGTGCGAATCGAAAGTTATATATCTTATTCTTTATCGTTTTTTTTTTCAAATCTCATTTAAATTTTTTAAAGTGTATTGAATTTCGTTGTTTGTTTGTTAGTTAGTTAGTTATAAATTACTTGATTATTAAAATAGCAATGCCATAAGGATCCGGGTAAATTTAACTACTGGCTAGTTTCTTGTATATTTTGTTTTGCTTTGATCTTGAACGACGTAATAAACACAACACGTAAAAGGAAAATTAAAAGGGTAAATAAAAATTATCGTGAAAATATATTTAAAACTTTCATATTTCTCTTCTTCACTTACGAATCATGTCTGTCATGAAATACTGATTGTTTAATTGTCTTTCTTTAAATACAGAAAAGAATTAAAATTAAAGATAAAAAAACAAAAACGAAACAACAACAACAATAGCCACATTGAGATCAAAGAATATAAATAAAACAGAACAGAACAGATACTTTATTTTTGACTTGTACAATCATACATCGTCATACATATATAAACAATTTTACAATACATACTAATATAGATCACAAGATCTATCTTTCAAATCAATACAGAGGATGAATTATTAATATATTAAGTTGTATCTACTATATCTAAATTATGAGACATCGCATCTCGTTCATACAAGGATTAATTTAAAAGTATATTTCTATTGTTTGATTTTAACATATCAGTAAATTTTTGACATACTAGGTGTTATATAATAGTATCTTTTTATGTATTTTTTTCTTATATCAATATAACAAGGACAAATTAAAATGAAATGGTATTCATCTTCGAAGTCATGTAGATTACAATATAAACAATATCTTTCATTTCTAACAATTCTATTTCTATGAAACCTACCAGTTTGCACATGTAATGAATGCGAAGATATTCTAATTCTTGTAAGGTACTTCCTTAAAGTACTTGGTATTATATCAAGAAAATTTTCATATACAAAAGAATCTTTAACATGATTATAAAGATACAAAACAGGACTGCTCTCTTTACTAGAAAGCCCACTTCACACATTACCCTTTGCTTAAATATTGGTAAAAATATTTTACTATTTACGGAATCTGGAAAAATCCCAAATATCACTAAAACCATGATTACATAATAACAATTTAAGATTTGATTACCAATTTTTCTTACCATTATTACAGTCATCAAGAGCAATGTTATATACATTTTTAAGAATGATATTATCTGTCTCAAGAATTTTAAACCAGAATCTTAAAATCTTAACATATCTTGAAATATATAAAGGATAACGTGCTTGTTCACAATACACAGCAACATTACATGAATTAACTCTTGCATTTAATATTTTTTTACAAAATTTAAGATGAAGTCTTTCAATTTCCTTTGATTTAGTAAAACCCCAGATTTCAGCAGCGTAATTTAAAATTGAACCAACAAAAGAGTCATAAAGCTGACATAACACTTTAGATTTTAACTGATATCTATTACAATTAATCAGTAGTACATTTAGAGCTTTATGAGCGTTACCAATCAAATGTTCTTGATTTAAACTAAAACTACCAGTATAAGTAAATATTGTTCCTAAGTAATTGAAGCTATCGACAATATCTAAATGTTTCCCTTCGTAATAAAATAATTCATTGATTTTAAACCTCCACGTCTTCTGAAAACAATAACTTTAGTTTTATCAATATTTACTTCTAAGCTTCATTTTTTACAATAATCATTCAATAACGTCAAACTTCTATTTATATCATCTGGTGTATTTCCTAAAATGACCATATCATCAGCGAACAGTAACAAAATAAAACAATATCTTTTATAGTCAAACCACTATTTACATCCCTTTGTAAACATAATTCAAAGTCATCTTAAAAGAGGGAAAATAAAATCGGTGAAATTACCTCCCCTTGACGTAGACCTACAGCATAATTAAAGAATTCTGAGTAACTATTACATAACCTTACACACAATTTTAATTTACTATACATGTCTTTTATTAGGCGTAACAATTTACCCCTAATCCCACAATTACTTAATTTTAACCAAAGCGCGTTTCTACTAGTACAATCGAAAGCCTTCTTAAAGTCTACAAAAACACAATACAAACGTTTATTATTATTTATATAATTTTGAACAACTGTCATTAGAATAAATAAAGCATCAATGGTTGATTTTCCTTTTCTAAATCCAAATTGTGCACCTGACGAAACATGATAAGGTCCGGCATTTAGTTATTCGACATTGAAAAACAAACACAGGTTTAATAATACGAAATGAACGAATTAAAATTTATTTCACGTGCTATTGTTGAATATTACTGGGACATCGTACATCCCAGATATTACAATGATGTTTTGAGTAGAGATATATGTGCTTTGGTTTTTTTTTTTGTTTTTTTTTTTGAACCACGTTTAAGGCCCTTTTATTTACTTTTCCTTTTTAAATAATACATTCATTTTACATTTTTCAATTAATTATTTTACATAACATACGTTACAAACTAATATATATGTTGTTGTAGACATTTTAAAATAATTTCAAAGAGCTTAAACGTGAATCTCTTTAAGAAAAAGTTAAGAGAAAGGATATTATATTTTAAACAAGATAGAGTTTTGTTAAATCAATTGTGCTTTGTTTCTACAAGAGGAAACAATTCTGATTTGTTTGAAACGTGAATGTTTGGAACTTGTCTTAACTTTTTGATTCAGAAAAGCTGAAATGATCACTAAGGGTCTTTGGGCAGGTGAAAGTAAAGATTGCGATTATCCATTACAGCATTTAGTATACAAGTGTTTTCATAAAAAAGAAACATCCAAGAGGTCATTTTGTAGCTGTAGAAGATTTGTTTAATTGTCAAAAAAATGGCGGGAAAGTAAGAATTTCTAATTGGTCTAATTGCAATCAATAGCTACCTATCTGCTATTTCCGTCAGTCTCTGGATAGGATCTAACTAGGAATAATTGGCAGATGTTCCCATGTTAAAAGAGCCGCAAAATTTCGGTACAAAATTCACTCAGTAGTGCCTGATGATATTGTAGTTTAGTGTTTACGTTTTCGGTTAAGTCTTATTTGGAAGCGGAGCATATGCATATTAAACTTTTGTAGAATGGTTATAATGACTGACGCTTTAGATGAGAGTCATTAACTTCAATTTGATGCGCAAAAATAGATGTTGACAGGAATCATTCTCATTACTTTGGATAGGTCTGAATTCTCCAATTATCAATTTATTGATGCAATACCAAAAACAGTAAAAAAAGTAAATGTAGACATGACCACGTTTAATAAGTTGATATATTTATATGTCGTTCATGACAATATGTTATATGTACGAATCCTTTACTGTTAAACAATTTTCTAATATCATTACTTTTTTTCTTACTTCAATATCCTTAACAAAATTATATTTAGTACATTAGATTACGACCTACTTATAGAATTATTCGCCCTTCACGCTTTTTTACATTAATGTTAATATGAACTAGTATTTATTTTCTGTCTTATTATTCTTGAAATAAATTTTATGATTAAAAAACATGCGTAAATGTGTAACTCATACCTTCAATGATCGCATAAGCAATTTTTTTTTTCACTTAAAATAATCTAAACATTTATCATTCTATCAAAATTTAGTACAACAGACAAACTATCCTCCCAACCAACAAGTATGTTTTCAATTTTTTCCTTTCTCAGATTTTTGTTATTCTCTTTATTATGACAATAATCAATTTCCAATTAACATCGCAATATAACATGTTTTCATTTCTATTTTTGCTCTTCTCTCCCCTTCTTTGTTTCTTAAGGATGAACATAACATTGTCTGAGTATCCAATAAGATGCTTGATTATAGCATTTCGTGATTCTATACCTCTCTCTGTTGTATTGGCTACTGATAAATTTCTTTTTTTGTTGTCTGAAATCACATGAAACATAAAAGACAGACACCGCCATCTACAGAGAGAGCGTTTCGCATCTTTATCTTTTCGTCCATTGTAGTCTGTTCCATCGTAATGCTTTTCTTGCTTGTTCAAGTCTGGAATATTCATACTATAATTCTACTTTCGGGTGATGTTCTTAAAAACCCAGGACCGGTATCTAGTGCGTCTTCAGTATCATCGGCTTCCTCTGATAATGAATTTATTGATCTTTCCCGAAACCTTTCTTTTGTTCATTACAACGTCCAGAGCATTGCCCAAAAACTTGATATTATTTACTCCGAGCTTAAGGATTTTGGTAAAATTCAATCCCCTAAAAACAGAATCATTATTAATATCGCGTAAAACAGACAGACATATAAATCATCCTCCTATTTTTATGCAAAACACACAAATAAAAGAAGTACGTAATCACAAACACTTAGGTATAACTTTTACTCATGATTTACGTTGGTCAACACATATTGAATACATTAAAAATAAAGTTGGAAAAGAATAAATGTCATGAAAAAACTAAAATTTCAACTCGACAGGAACTCACTACAAATCATATACCTATCATTTATTAGACCGATTATAGAATATGGAGATGTATTATTTGACAATTGCAATCAAAATGATAAAAAAGAGCTCGAACAAATTCACCAAGAAGCAGCTAGAATAATTACCGGAACAACTAAACTTGTGTCTATTGATAAACTCATGAAAGAAATTGGGTGGGAATCCTTGGAAAAAAGGCGTTGATCAATATATTCATGGACACTATTAATAACTTAATAATTAATCAATATATTATAAAGATTTTTTGCTATTTAGGAGAAGAATTTAATACTATTCAAATATATTGTGATTTTTTAAAAACAAATATCATTTTGTTCAATATATGTATCGCCATAGCAACCCTATACCGTACGAACGCCGCAGCTCAAAAAAAGTTATATTTACCATTTTGAAATACTTAAAAATTGTCATTATTTTGGCGTGCTTGTTTAAAATATGAAAATGACGGCAACGTTCTTTCATATTGTTTATAGAACATTTAAAAAAACAAGCGTCGCTACGATTTCTTTTGTTTGTTGGAGATGTTAATGGAGACAGGGGTGTGTCACCAGAGAGGAGCACGACGTTGTTGGAGCAGAGGGCAGTAATTAAGTTCTGTGTAAATCTTGGTACGACGCCAAAGCAAACTAAAGAAAACATGGAAATTGTATCTGGAACAAAAAAAGTGTCTTATTCGTTAGTTTATAAGTGACATATACACTTCTGTGAGGGTGGAGAAGAACTTCAAGATGATAATAGATGGGGCAGACCAATTAAAACTTGTTGCGATGGGAACGTTATGCGAGTGAAATTGAAGGCTGAGTTAAAGGGACACAAGTTAACCGGGTTCCATGATTTGCAGTCCATAGCATTGTCTGTGTTGCGTTCATTTGATACTTCATTGTATAAGAACATTTTCAGTCGGTAGGTACACAGGCATGAACGATGTGTAGAAGTTGGTGCTGCATTGTTTTTGAGAAGATGTAACGCCGACGTCACGACGTAACGTAAGTTGCAAATGAGCTGCGGCGATCAGCTTTACATGTATTTCTAAAAACTGTCATTTCGGATAAAATATATGGATTATTTATCTGAAACTTACACATCAAATTGATAAATAATTGAATAAATGTCAAATATAATTATATTAACTTTCCTTCCCCAAAAAAACAATTTCTGGAGTGTGTCCACGAATTTATTGATCATCCCTCGTACAAACATAAATTGATTCTTTTCTTTAAAATGAAAAAAAACTTCAATACCTCTCTGACCTTGTCCCTTCGTCTGTTGGTAGTGAGCATCGGTACCCACTCCGGAACTCAAACGACACACAGAATATTCACACAAATACAGATTATTACTAAAAATCATTCTTGCCTTCTGTTATCAGAGATTTTAATTCTCTTCCACCTCAAACGCAAAATGCCTCAACCTTAGCTTCTTTTAAGCGCCTTCTTAATAATGATTTGCCAAGTGTGCTTGCTTATTTTCTTTCTGGTGATCGCAAACTTCAAATTTTTCACACAAGATTACGCACTCACTGCAGTTCGCTTTCTGCCGATCTACAAATGTATTTGAAAAGAATATTATCGAATCTCCATTCTGCGAATGTGGTGCGAGAGAAAATGCTTATCACTATTTCTTGGAATGCCCTAAATATACTAACCTTCGACCAGAATTAATAACGGCTATTTCCCAATTTTGTAATCCTTCTTTAAATGTCATTCTTACTGGAAACACTTCTTTATCTTACGAGTCTAATGTATCTATCTTTACAGCTGTTCAAAAATACATCCGAGAAACGAAGCGCTTTTAGCGCGTACCCCCAAGTCTTACTTACACTTGTTACATCTAAACATACATAGTTACATTATAATGCATCTTTGTTTACTCCTACTGCTTTATTATTGTTCATCCACCTCTCCTTTTCTTTCTCAATTTTTTTTTGTCAATATTAGCTGGTAGTTTTTTGTTGTTGTTTTTTTCTTAATTGCATAATTGTACTTTATAACTATCAATTAAGATTCTTATTACATTCTTTTGTCTCCGTTAATAAACAGTTGTCTTTTCGATTGCACATTTCTAGGTGAAAATTAAACGGCGACTTCTAACTAAATTAATCTCTGTCATATAATAATTTTTTTTTTCACCTCCATTTTGTTCCATTTTTCTTTTGCTTTTTTTCTCATGACCATTTATTTAGTATTTATTAATTGCAAAATACATATTTTTTGATAATATCTTTGATATATTTTCAACTAAATGAATTTTGTGCATGATAATGCCATGAACTGTATATATGTAAATTGTTTAAACTGGGACAGGACACTCATAAGCTTTCATAGCTTTCTGCCCAATCCCAATTGTGTAAATATTGTTCATCATAATGTAAATATATCGAATAAAATATGTTTAAACCAATACCAAAAACCATTAATAACCCAAGTCAAATTGTTTCGTCAAGACGCGTTCAAAATGATGATGGAAAATTTTTTAGGATGGTCATTGTACCATTCACAACGCCGGAAAGGAAATTCGACTAAAACACCCCCACAGAAAATCAAACCAAGATATCTGATAAGTTGATATAATGATATAAATTCATGTTGATATTGCAATATGATAAAATTACAATTTCTTCGTAACCTACACACTTTTGTTAGTAATAGTGATGGCGTCCAAATGTTGAAAGAAACCTTCGAAAATCGTCGGACGGCGTCGGAAATATTTGCAAGTTATCGCAACAGATTCGCGTAAAATCGGCCATTTACGCTCCTACACTTTAAGGGACGATCGTTGATTATCCCTTTATTTGACTTAGCTAAATAGAATCTGTATTACATACAAACAAACATTTGACACAGGAATTTTATGAATAAAGTGAAAAGACTAGAATAACTTTCAAACGTTTATTCTCACAAATAATTCTACTTTCAGCCAAACCGAGTTCAAACAAAAGAATTTCGCAAGTTTAAATCTTGATTTGTAAAATACGAACAGGAGGTAATTTGAAGAAAGAAATCGAAGTTTGACGGCGATAGAGTCTTTTTCACACCGATTCCATTTTCACAATTATGTGTTTTACAACACAAAAGGTATACATATAATTAACACTGGATGGTTTTAAATAGTTTTACAAAAAATATTTTAGAAAGCAAAGGAACATGCAGAAAAAATCCAAAATACATATTCTAAATAAAGCTCTTTCACCTGAGCGTTTCGATTCAAAATCTTCGACGCATATCCTGGCCCTAAGTCCATCAAAAGACGGACTTGAGACTAACGTAAACTCACCACTGAACATTCTACGGTTTGTGATATTTGTATGAAGTATTGTATCATTTGCAGTCAGAATGAACTCCGAAGGATCAAGTTCAACCTGTTCGCAAATAAACAGCTGAGTAACATGAAATACATTCAGCAAGACTCTAGACCCAATGTACAGCGGTGAAAAATCCGGTAAAGTATGCAATGTCATAATGTTTGGCAGGAATCTAGATTGGAACACCAATGTTTGATCTCTTGTCTTCAATGTCCAGGGTTTAGAAACACACGTCTTTATTGTGTGCATGATGCGCCCAGGATTAACTGAATTTAATTCATTTTTAATGATAACTTGAAGCTCTGTAACTTGTCGGCCATCATTATAAGGTCCCTTTCGGTAATAGATTTCTGTCACAATCCAGTTTTTCGGCCATGGTGATTTAAAATTAGGTAATTTATATATCCATTGTCCAGGCAAAATTTCAAACACATCGTAAACGTTGATAGGGACAGTTAGGCTAAGACTTATATATACCGTAAAATCCTGGTTATACCAGACCGTTGTAGTGTATGCACAATCACCATTGAGTGTTCGAAGTTGTCCCGTGGGGCAATGTACAACTTTGCATTTTTCAGTCTGGAATAAACAAACAAGAATAATATATGCATGTTGGACGATTCCAATGGGAATAATAATTACAGATTTAATAGAAAAACTTAAGGTTTCCCGTAATCAAGAGTGTCAAGTTTGATATCAAAAGAGTACGAATTGTTTTACATTATATTAACACAGGCCAACATCATTGCCACAAGCAGAATATGTTGGTTTTAAATCACTTGAGTTTAACCAAAATTTATCATGCACTGATATTAGCTGCTTGTTTTCATATTTGAAATTACCAAATAATAGTATAAAACAGAATCCCCAAATAAACCTCAACACGGAAAGAATGAAAATGTTGCAAGCTCGGTTTGATTGAGCCTGTTCATTGAAGGTAATGATAATTGCAGGCTACCGTCCAAGTCTCCCAACAATGGCTTAATTCAATGTTTAACGTGAACTGGTAAAAGTTTGAGTATTGAAACATCCAACGTGTTATATAAAACATTTGTTATTAAAACATGTGTATATCTTCTTTTATCAATTCTTACAAATAGAAAAATCATATCGGAGCTATGTATTTCATTATTTTTCAAATACTACAAACCTTTACAGGACTACATATAATCGGGTGGTTTTGACTCTCTGTCTTCTTTTCATTGCTATTTTCTGTTAGAAATATACCATCAACTAGCCCGAGGAATGATCGATCGTCAAAGGCTCGAAGAACGGTACCGTCGTGTACTTCACAAAAATAGATATCGTCGTAAAGCCCTTCATTGCAAATATGACAAAAAACATTTGCGTACATATTGATTGTCTTAAATGGCGAAACTAGCCCACTTGTACACATTTCAATGACATTTTCTTTCTGAAGACTTATTTCAAATGAAGATATATTAAAATCATCATCGGGGCAAGTGTCAATTAAATGTGTATAGCATTTCAAATGTGATATATCTTCTGTGCTGCCACGGTAGATAAAATGCACTATGCAGCCTTCTGGAATACTGTTTGTGTTAGGCCATACCATAAATTTATTGTCAAAGTACTGTTCTTTTGCACAATAAAGTACTGCGTCCAGAAGCTTTCCGTCTGTAACACCATTTCTTGTAGCGCACATTTCGTTCTTATATATTCTTTTCGTTGTAGATGAATAGACTGGATATAAGCTACCCCATGGTGCTACGCGTTCACTCCCACATGATGTATTATATTTTAATTTTGTACCATTTTTATAACTTTCCAGCGACGAGGTTACCATATAATATGACTGATAAGCTATTCGTTTACTCCCTACTGGTTGATTTGTCATAGGAAACAAGCATGTTGATTCTTCTTCATAATTATCTATACCATTGTTGTATTTTGCTGCTTCTGGGAAACAGCAATTGCCGTTCTTTTCACAATCCGGTCCACATGAACAATCTATAACATGAAGAAAAAGTCTCGAATAGGAATTCAGTATTACTCATCATAATTAGTATGAAAGTAGACAGACGCTATGGAATGGGGGAATTTAAACAAACGAACTGAAACTAAGGTGATTATCTCAAAATATATACAGGTTTTAACCCATGATATCTCATCATTTTCATAACATAAGATAATGCTTATGGTGTGAAGATTAACTTTATTAGATCATGTGCAGTTAAACACTTTAAATGACATAGTATCCGTTTCTGAACAGCACGTAAATTAAATTTTCAATCAATGTAATTGAATAATTGTCGGTCTAAAATATTTCTAAGACAAAATAAATGACTCGCCTGTCTTTTTCTCTACCATCGAAAGAAACCCTAAACGTACGTAAGTTTTATACCATTTGTTCGAACTTTCTATAATGCATAGACGAAAGGATAAAGTTAACGAAATTGATGACTGGAAGTTAACTGATCATTTATCAATTTAAAATATTCTGTTTAACTGACATAGATTTATTGATGTACCTGTACAACATGAGCGGAATTCAGAATGTGTCATATAATCAATGTTTCTCTGGAATTGTCTTTCCTCAGCACATACATCAGAACCAGGACAAAGATCATCTAAGACTGTGTGCATTTGCTCCATTAGTGTAATATTTTCTGTAGCCTGGCTTATTATCACTAATTCTATGCTCATGAATATGTAGGTCAACAGCAAGATCTTCATAGTTGCTTGTAAAAAAAATAACAGATATTTATTATTTCAAAATAAAATTCAAATTTGATTCGATAGAGCACAAATAAAATAAAATAATTGTGTGCAAGTCACTTTATCAAGGTTAACAGATATTTATCCATAAACGATACAAATCTTCATATAGCATCTTCAAACTAAGGAACAAATTTACCGAATGTTTATAGGATGCGGATATTGTCTGTAAACTCCTATAATATATTTGCAGACTGTTACAACATATAGGAAAGGGCTAGTCAATTTTCGCTACTATTTAGTACAAGAATCTAAGGTATATATTCCTTCTCATTGAAATGAAATTAATGTATATGCAGAAAAAAAAACGAAAATATTGTGTTTCATGGTACAGTCGAGTATCCCCTTTACACTATCCGATAGAAATGTTTTGCTGAAAAATGTCTCGTTCTGGAAATAAACTTGTTATATACATCGAGATATGGACTCCGCGATTTACAGAATGTATTTTGAATGTTGAATAATAGTTAAACCCGGTCTTATCTAAAAATTTGCCGGGCTCCAATGTTTAAAAATCTGGTAAAGTGGTGATCTCTCGGCAATGAAAATAACAGTATTGAATGAAAATTGCAGGCTTAGTTTGATTGAGTATGTTAAGGACAGAAAATGCAAAATTGCCAAATCTCTCAAGCCCCTTTGCACCGGCTTAAGCATTTTTCAATCTTCAACTCTAATGTGCCACGAAGAACTACAAACATAAAACACGCGGCAACGTTTTAACAGATGTAACACGGCCTTTGTATCATAGTTTGTGAGATATTGATAGTCATAATTATTGAACGATATAAAGAACTGATAACATTTTCAGCACTTTCTCGATTAGGAAATATACTTTCTCGAATAAGTAAGTAAGTAATGATAATTTATGACGAATAGAAATACATTTTATTCCCAAAACAGGAACACATTGACCCTGCATAGAACAGTTAAAATTGTAAATAAGGCCAGCCAAATTTTAGAGAAATTTTGTTAACACTCTTGTGACTACTGTTTTGATCAAAATATCCTGTAAATTGGTCTGAAAGTTTGTTTTCAAATTGATGACTTCTAGGTCAAGTTCGAATACGGGTCACTTGGGGACAAAACCTTAGTTGAACAGCCCAAATGTGGGAAAACCTTGTTAACACCATAAGGGCTACTCTTCTAGTCAAAATATCCTGGAAATTGTTTTGATTATTCTTAGATCAGGTTAGAATTTGGGTCACCTGGGGTTTAAAAACTAGGTCACACAGCCCAAATATGGAAAAAATCTTGTTAACACTCTAGAGGCTACTGTTTTGAACCAAAATATCCTTAGAAGTTGTCAGAAAAGTTATTTTAATGAGTTCAACGTCAAGTTCGAATATGGGTCATATTTGGTTTCAAAACTAGGTCACACAGTCAAAATATGGAAAAAATCTTGTTAACACTCTAGTGACCTCAGAAAAGTTGTTGAATATGGGTCACTTGGATTAAAAAGACAAGGTCACACAGCCCCAATATGAAAAAATCTAATTAACACTCTAGAGACTACTATTTTGAAAGTTGGTCAGAAAGGTTGTTTTGATGATTTGTACCAATATTGGTCATCTGGAGAAAAACTAGGTCACACAGCCCAAATAAAATGGGATTTAGCGTTTATAATCAGGTGTGCGATATAAATGCCGCCATTGCCCTCTTGTTTATTTCATAGCCTTAGCAGAACATACAGAACAAAATATTGCTTTTACTTTTAAAGACACATATTACAAAAATTCAAATATCAACTGTTACAAAAATTCTGACTTATATTGCAGCAAAGTAATGTTATTGCAGTACATTTATTAAATATGAAGAAATGAAAACATTATTTTTTAGACCTTATAAGGATATCAAACTAAATCTTGAATTTCGCATAAACTTCCAAAATTCTTTGAAGTCTTAATCCAGTCAAATGACTTTTATATACTTATTTGATAATATATACTTATTAATTAAAATTGTTATCAATAAAAATGGTAACAAAGAAATAACTGAGAATTAAAAATTTCCACAGGAATTTACTCTCTTTTACATCGGAAATCATATTTTAACTATGTACATTCTGAATAAATGACTCTTTTATTGTCATGTTTTTGTATGATTGCAGTTGTTTTTTATATGTTATACGAATATATTTGAGCCGTGTCATAACAAAACCAACATAATTAGTTCGCGACCAGCAGTGAAACAGACCAGCCTGCGCATCCGCGCAGTCTGATCAGGATCCATGCTGTTCGCTTACAAACCCTATAACAAGTAGAGAAACCGATAGCGAACAGCATGGATCCTGATCAGACTGCGCGGATGCGCAGGCTGGTCTGGATCTATGCTGGTCGCAAACCCATTATGTTGGTTTTGTCGTGACACGGCTCATATTATATATCGAGGGGTCAACGCGATACTAGTCTATCTGGCATTTTATCTGGCATTTTTTCAGGAAAGGTCTTTTTGACAGATTCTGAAATGTCTTAATTGTCCTAACATTATGCGTTAAAATCTTCCTTTTCCTGTGCATAGTTAAGGACACAAAAATATATTAGCCATACTATTCTATTTCAAATTTAACTAGAAATGTGTCCATAGGACACGGATGCCCCCCACACGCCACTGTTCTGTCAATCTTATGTCTCCAGGTCAAATATTTTTGGACTAAATGTGCCACAAGTTGAAATCTAAAAATCAACAAAGGGCCATAATTCTGTTAAATCTGGTCGCAGCAAAAGTCCTTCCTTTACTACCATTTACACATTAAGGTTGTTCATCCCTGGAAGTTTAAGCAAAATCTGAGGAGTTGCGTTCACAAAGTTCGACTAAATGTGCCACAAGTTGAAATCTAAAAATCAACAAAGGGCCATAATTCTGTTAAATTTGGTCGCAGCAAAAATTCCTTTCTTTACTACCATCTATACATTAAAGTTGTTCATCCCTGGAAGTTTAAGCAAAATCTGCTATCCGGTTTAAGAGGAGTTGCGTTCACAAAATTTCTACATAGTATATAGTGAAAAAATCAACAAAGGGCCATAATTCTGTTAAATTTGGTCGCAGCAAAAATTCCTTCCTTTACTACCATCTACACATTAAGGTTGTTCATCCCTGGAAGTTTAAGCAAAATCTGCCATCTGGTTTAAGAGGAGTTGCGTTCACAAGATTTTGGGACGTACGGACAGACGTACGGACGGACGGACGGAAAGACGGACGGACAAGTGCAACGCTATATGCTCCCATTTTGTGGGGGGCATAAAAAGGCTATATTTGTTCAATGCGAACCTAGTCTATCTGCAAAAAATTGCATTTAGACTATTTGCATTAATAATAACATATCGTTTGAAAGTCAAGTAGCCTATGTGAAGAAATATGTATCATTTTTTCTATTAATTGCATTAATTCCTACATTAAATGAATTCAAATCATTAAAAATATTAAAATAACCTATAAAATATATTCAAAATCACATATTGTAGATACTGCCAGTAATGCATTAAAATTCTGTTTGAACTGTTTTGAACTATTATTTAATTTTTGTTTAATTCTAGCATAATTTTTCCTTCGATCGATTTTTACTAAAAATATTGCAAAAGCAAACTTCAAACTGGTGACAAGAATTTATGGAAGCAAAAAACTGTCTGTTCACATAACCAACTTTCCTGAATAACTTAACAGTACACGTCATAACCATATTTTTTCAAATGACCAACTATTTATCACACATTATCACTGACTTAGCAGAAAGAGAAACATGCACATTAGACTTAATATCTGCAATAAATTGCCGCACAAAATCTTCAACTAGCCTGAGGACAGAACCATTAACCCTCCATAACAAATCCAATGCTCAAATGAAATTGCCCTTAAACTTACCTTCAAGATGGTATATCTTGTCTGATTAATATTGAAATAACTAGAAATATCCGCATAGGAAACTTATGCCCCTAACATCCGACAAACCACCGGGACAGCGAAACACAAAGGCAGTAGGGTAGGCTTAAACCCAGAATATATTGTATGTGATAGTTTTGTACCAGATATTGACCCTGAAAGTTATTGTCCTGACCGAATCATTAGCCGGGCCTCAAAGGACAAAACATGTAATTCACGCGGCAGTCAATTACTTAATCTATGTAAGGCTACTACATTTAGAATAGTAAATGGTCGTCTTGGTAGTGATTTCAACTCAGGTGAATTCACGTACTTGAATAACAAATCATGTAGTACAATTGACTACTTATTAGTGCGCGAAAAAGATTTTTCCATAATCCACGATTTTACCGTTGACAATTTCAGTATTTTCAGTGATCATGCATCATTGCGTTTTTTAATATGTTGTGATCGTATACGTGATTTAAGTCAATCTGATACAAATTTGATCTCTGCGTATTTCAAATGGAATGCCGACCATGAGAAAAACTTTAGACGCGGTTTAATTGCCAAGTTGCCCAATTTTAACGAGTTATTATTAAATCTTTGCAATCGTGATTTGATTTCTGTTGACCATATAGTCAATAAATTTACTGGTATTATTCGTGAGATAGCAGACCCATTATTTAAGAAAACCCGAAAAAAATGTAATAGACCGACTATTGATGATAATAACAAAACTTGGTTTGACCATGAATGTCGATCATTAAGATCTATTTACGAGGTGGCACTTAATAAGTTTAATGGGAATAAAACTTAAGAAAATCACATTGAACTGAATAATGCAAAATATGCATATAAACAATTAATAAGAAAAAAGAAAAAATTACATTATCAAAAAATGTCTAAACAATTAACAGAATTAAAGCATGCGCAACCCCGTGACTTCTGGCGATTATTTAGAAAACACGATAATAACAAGACTGAATTATCTAATGATGATTTCAAACAGTATTTTTCGTCAATGTTTGAAGATATTCAGGTACAATGTATCGATGAAGTTGTAAATTTTTTGTCAACAGACGAAATTAATATTAGTTCTGATGAT